CGGGTTTGGCGGTCGTGGCGGCGGCCGTGGTAGCTTTGGCGGCGGTCGCGGCGGCGGTCGCGGAGGCTCTGGTGGCTTCTCCCGTGGCGGTGGTCGCGGCGGCGGCGGGTTTGGCGGCCGTGGTGGTGGCCGTGGCGGCTCCGGCGGCTTCTCTCGTGGTGGTGGTCGCGGCGGTGGCGGCTTCAGCCGTGGCGGCGGTGGTGGTTTCAGCAGAGGTGGCCGGTAATCGTACGGTCAGGAAAGGAGGGCATTGTTTTGCGAGAGGCCATGATGGATGTACGGAGTGGCTTTAGGAATGGGGCTCAACACGGCGTTTTACGGCTTTGTTTCTTTTATCATTATTCACACGTTTTCCTCGTGTATTATCGTGTTTTGTTTTTACCCGAAAACGCTTTGGATCTAACGTGTCAGATGTAACGTTGACGTTGATTGCGCCTAGAGCGATAAAAAAGCATGATTCCTAGAATGATCTATCTGCACGACAAATATCAAGACACATGTAAGGACATCCGAAACGGGGCAATATCCCCGGTCTTGAACGGGGTATCAGTTTTGTGAAAAGACGATAGGCCAAGAGGCACCAGCAACTAGCTGTCTATGATACAGCTCGCGTTGGCCCAAATAAATGCATTATACTTTTGACATTACTCTGCTGGGCAGATTGTACAATGTCTCCCTCAAGCTCGCGTATGCTGCTCCACAACTCCATTCTCTCCTCTCAGCTCGTGAGCAATCTCAAACAATCGTCATCGTTCATGTCTCGATAACCCAATAGTGAAAACATATAAAAGTCGACACAAAAAACTGTCTAATACATTAAAGTTGGGCTTTGGTCCGCAATGTCCACTCCCAATCTGTGGCCCTACACACAGAAAATTGGAATCTCTCTCAAGGCTTGGGTATGCGGATTGTCTTGCTGGTCATGAGGCAGCCGTGCGCGACAAATAGCAGCACGGCGGGGTGGAACTCGAGGGGTGTGCCCGCGAGGCAGACGCCCCAGGGGACGCTCTCGAGGATCCAGCCGTTGTGCAGCCACCAGGCCATGACGCCGTCGAGGGCGAGTGAGGTCGGGATCGGGGTACCCTCAAAGTACTTGCTGTTGCCCGTCTCGTCCTTGGGCAGGACAGCCACCGTCACATTGAAGCGCGCGAGACGGGTGAGGCCGCAGAGGACGAAAAAGGTGAGGCCGAGCGTGTCGGCAAAGGAGCGGAGGCCAATAGTGAAGGCAACCATGGCGGGGGCGACGCCAAACGAGATCTAGCAGACGGTATTGTGTTAGAGTAATACAGGTGGACAAGGGAAAGCAGGCACGCATACCAGGTCGGCCAGGGAGTCGAGCTCCTGGCCCATGAGACTGCTCTTCTTGCGCCAGCGCGCTACCTTGCCGTCAAAGGCGTCAAAGAAGAAGCCAAAAGGCAAAAAGTAGAGCGCCAGCCAAAGCTGTCCGTGGGCGGCAGGATCGGCACCGAGGCAGTAGCGCAGGGAGGAGAAGATGGACATGACGCCGCAGAAGCCTGTTATTTTGGTCGTCAGCATGTGCTCTTCAGAGCGGCATGTGGGCGGTGACTCGGAAGCCGCAGAGCAGAGGACGAGGAAAGGAGGAGTATACCGTTCATCAGGGTAATGAGATCGGCCAGATGCATGGCGCGGACGAGGGAAAAGTGGCCAACATCAGCCGAGAGAAGCGTCTTTTGCTTGTCGACAGCTAGAGAAGAGAAGGTAGGTTAGCATTTGGCTCGTCCTGCGCCGGGCTGCAAGTAGCTGGAATTCCGCTTCAGTCCGGTCTGCATCGTTTGCGCACTGAAATCGGGGTCAGGGTGGCATACCGGGTTGGTTCGCCACAGTCGCGTCCTTGTCGAGGCCGCCGTTGGCAGCGCCGGCACTTGTTCGCTTCGACATAGTGTAGGCAAGCTTGTTGCTAACTGTGCCTGTGGGGAAGAGCTTGCTTGGCGAGATATAAAAATCGACAAAAGTTCGATGGATAGGAGGTGGAAAAAAGAGGCTGAAATATTTTCCGGAACGAATGATGTTGGCAGATGAAGAAAACGATGCTCAGTTGGGAGTTGCTGAAGTATGGAGATTGAGGTTGAAAGAACCAAGGTCGAGAATTGGTGACATCAACGATGGGAAGGGAAGAAAAAAAGTTGGGGTGGGAGGAGCAGGGAAGCGAGCGAGCTAACATTAAGCTTGGTTGGGCAAGCATGTGGTCATGTGGCTGTGCGCTGTGTGCACAGCGACACCCAACAACAGCTCGGGTGAAACAAATTGTGGCTTTCGTAAAGCCGGGGATGAAGCTCGCACTAATCAGTCAATTACGTATGATGGGGCTTTTCTTCTTCTTTTTTTTGTTTCTTATGCGCCGAAGCTACAGTGAGTGCTCGTTGTGGCGCAGATACAAGTGACGCGCCACAACAGCTGGACTGGTGAGTGGGGGTTGCCCGTTTTGGTCCCATCAGGCTGTGGCTTTTTCTACATGACCAACAACTCGTCGAATGCCAGCGACCAAGCGGCACTAATAAAGTTGCTGGTTTTCCTGGTGTAACAAGAGGGCTACTATCATGACTTTCTACCACGGTACGACTCCTTTGAATTTTTTTCCAGCTTTTTTTTTCGTTTTCACCTACGAAAAGGTTGACCTGCCCAGCGCCATGGATCAAACACAGGCCGCCGACATTCCCCTGAAATACGTCCATTCAAGCATCATTAGCGCCACAAAGGGATTGTTTGTAAATCACTCCATGATTCGAACTGCGGAAAGAGCCTTGACCTTTGCTGTGACATTGGCTCCTCTTGATAAAGTACTGGTTGCGGCTAATCGACAAACCGGAGAGCCCAAAGCTCCAACAAAGCTCGAAATCACAGATACTGACCTGCAAAAAGTGATATTAGCGCCCACAGGACACGAGGTTTATTCCTAAATGGAAGTCGCAGAGAGTCGGGGAACTAGAGACCCCTTTTGAAATGGTATCGTTTTGCTCTCTTTCTACGGCCAGAATACTACGACAACTATAAATTCAAGGTCAGCGAGTGGAAATTTTGGGCAGAGAACGTACGTGTCGTGGAGGGTATTTTGTAGAAGCACGGGGATAAGGTGAAAATCTGTATCTGACTTGTTGGAGCGCACAAAATCACAGGCCCAACCCAGCACATGTACACAATTTTATGCCATGCTTGCCAAACAGCCGGTCAATATTCTTCATTGCAGCTTATACTTTTTGTTTTTTTGAATTACACTAATTCGACCTTGTGGTCCTTCTAGTACCTCGATAAACATTGCAGCTTATACACAAATCTACATTTCGAAATTTGCCAACCCTCAGAGTACCCCCCTACTCATCCCTGGCCGGGTCAAAGCCCGGCACGCCATCCCCCGCCGCTGCCCTCAGCGAATCCGTAAACTCGTCATCCAGCTTCGGCCCGACGCCGCCCTTCCACGCATCCAGCATCTTGTTCTTGAGGTCCTCGCTCGGCCACCTGTTCCACCCGACCAGCGGGGCGCGGAAGAAGTCGCCCCGCGGGTTCTCCGGGTGCGCAATGTCGTCGTCGTTGGCGAACCGGAAGCAGTGCGTGCCCGCGCCGTCCTTGTGGTACACCACCAGCGGGTGCCTGTCCCGCAGCGGGAACTCGTTGCGCGCGTTGTCGTACTTGCCGTGGCAGGACGGCGCCACCCGCACGACGGTGTCGCCGCGCGTGAATACGACGACGTTCTCCCAGTCGTGGCGGTGGCCCCCGAGGAAGCTCCCTGCCACCGCTTGATCCTTTTCCAGATATGCCTCGTACATGCGCCCGCAGATTCCGTTGTTGCAGCGCGTGCGCACGTAGCTGTTGGCGTTGTCGAGTTGGTGAGGATCGCGGCAGTCGCCCTGCGGCGTGCCAGTAGCGCCGTGGCCGGGGTTGGTCTATTACACGCGCGCGTCAGTCACTCGCAATGCCAAACTCGGGGCAAAAAAAAACAGCAAAAAACACACCTTGCCGTCCTTGTTGATAGCAGACGTCTGGTAACATCCGTCGCTGTCAAAGTCAAGCAGCGGCTGGAAGTCAATGTCAGCCTGGTCCGCGCTCTCATCGAGCGCGCCAATGACGTCCCGCTTGGCCTCAACCATGGGACTGGCGCTGGCGACAGCCAGCATGCCAGAAAGGGCGAAAAGAGTAGCCTTCATCTTGAAAGTAAAAGTCTAGATTGTAAGATATGCAAGAGTAAAAAGTAAAGGGGAGTTGTGTCGATGTTGCCTCTTCCTGTCCAGACGGGGTTTCACCAGCCGTATTTGTAGTTTTATCTTTCTCTCTCTCATGCCCGGCTCCCTCTGATGCACATCACCAAGCTATCGCACCTTTCCGTCTCCATCATATCAAAACCTGCCAGGGATTCAGCGTCGCGATGTGCCAATCCCCAACACTGCCCGGAGGAACGTGCGTGGAGTGTAAGCGCTAGTTGCTCCGTGAGACTGGGGGGACGGGGGCATGACGTCCCCGTTTCTCGGCTGTGTTAAATTTATGCTTGTTCTATAGACAGAAATGTTTGATGTATCGCCCGATCTGCCTTGTCATGGAGTGGTCGGCGCAAAGTCTTGCTCTAGTGTCACGGCTTGGCACCATCACGGTGTAAGCTGACAACTTGGTCTGCCGCTCTTTTACCAGCAATGGAACAGGCTACTCGAGTCAACGACCTCAACTCCAAGAGTCCGCAACTGCCGGACCATTGCCCTACACGCTCTCTTGGTCCGTTTCTTGTCGGATAGATGGCATGCAAGCCAGCGATTTGTGCAAAAAATAGGCCCCGATGGAGAGCACCATGGTGGGCCAATCCGCCGAGCCTGTTTCTAAACTTACCCGTCGATCGTCCAGCTTACACGAATTCCCTTTTTATTTCCTGATTCAAATCCTTGGCAGGCCATTCCGTTGACAAATCAGAAAAAAATCAAGACGCATCAACGATGCCAAGGATGGATAGAAAGCTAGACACGACAAGTTCACATCACCTGGCATGATTGATACACATGAAGACAGATTAATCTGTTCAGCCCAAACCTCACATTTCCCCTTACAATTTACCCCCTTTTTTTTTTCCCCTCTACCGAAACACACCCAATGAGCGCCAGCCCTGACACCACCAGTCAACCTTGCGACAGCCAACCCACAGCCGCGGCGCTTACACGGCAGTTAGGGAAGTACAGATACGGACGCGCTACTCCAACTCAGATCAAGGTTTGTAGATAGCGCCCAAATGTTCCGTGCCAACCTCACTGTCAAGGACGTCCTCCGCGCGGGCATGCCCAACACGGAACCCCGCCGGAAACAAGGACGACGATGCCTAGTTCATGTTGGTCAGCCGTCAATGGTTGAGGTCCATAAAGGTACGAGTTTCTCAGTCTAGACACTGCATCCGCAGTATCTGACTACCCACCTCGCCTTGAAATGAATTGTGCTTCTCGCCCTCGCCAGACAGCATTGCACATCATTGCGTCTTACAATTGCACTTTGAAACGTCATCGTCACTGTCATGTCTCCCCGTTTATTGAAACGCCAAGTTGACGCAAACTCGATACAAATACTCGATATATAAACTGTATAGCCAGACTAGAGCGTATATTATAGTCAAATCGATCTATGTACAGGTGAGCACCCATCACCATTTAACATCCGCTGCGGCTCTTGCAGAGACCGTCACCTTACTTTCCTAATCGTATATTATCATTACTTTTTAATGTTTGCTTCCCAGGTTTAAACATGCGCCATTTGACTGGAAACGCTCATGTATAATGTGCTAAAAATCGTTGCTGCATTGTGCTTTTGAAATGCATTCCATTTAGCTGCTTTTGAAGGATTCAATCATCGCGTGACCACTGCAGAGATGCTGTCGAGCTGAGATCTGTGGGTGCCTGACACTCCGCAGATCGTGTACCCTCTTGGGGGAAGGATAGTGTGGCTGTCGTCTGTTAACATGACATACCCATCTTTTTGTGGTTAACATACCTTGATCCGCCATACGGATTGCCAAATATGCGGGATTTATGGCCCAGACTTGTCAAAAGCTGGATGCCATGTATCCTTGGTCCTCCCTTGACTGTGAAGCCACTCAAGTACTCGCCTCGTCGCAGATCTAGTCATGTTAGCACACAGTCATCCCCATGCCGACAGTTTTCTTACCAAAGTCGTAGGTATCGCCCCCGACCTTTCCTGCGCGGGTGCCGAATAGCTGGGTGTCGTCGTTGTCGTACACAAACTCGAGTCCGTAAATGACGTCGGCATCATGGTAGACGTTCATTCGTACCATGACTCTTTCCGACTGAGCCGAGCTAAATAACAGATCCTCCGGATCTGTGTTTGGAGGCTGGACAGTTCCAATCTGACAGCTTCGGAAACCCTGTTTCGAGCCTTTAATCTTGACTGCCTGGGCCTTGGATATGAACTGTTTGACATTGTCGATTTCCAGAGAATTGCCGCCGTGAGACTTGATGGAAAGTCGGACGGGGCCTTTCCGCATTGTTTCTGGCAGTCGTGTTATGATATCTTGCTCTGATAGAGAAATTTGGCGGTGTGTTGTGGTGCTGTCCAGGGGAAATTCCATCCAAGAACGGCAAACTTGATCACCTTCGCCATAAATCTCTATAAACGAGATGCCAGACGGAGCGATGGCCAACAGAGTTCCATTCTCAACGGCGTACGCCTGGACACTGGCGTCAGACCGAGCAGGTGGGTCGCGTGGGATTCGAAAGGCAGGATGGGCACGGAATCGAAGACAATCCAGCCTGTGCCACGCACACTCGTCTCCTTGTAGCGCCAAACCTCCTTTCGCTTTTGTTCTCGTCGAGTACGCTTCGCGGGTAACAAATGTACGGCTGAAGACGACATAATCTTTCAGCATGACACCTGTTTCTTGGCGTGGACAACCAAACAGACGGCCAACTTGTTGCAAGTGCGCACCAATACCGGCATTGGCAGCTTCCCACGAACTACCCGCCTCGCTGCATTGATTCTTGATATATTGTGTGTCGGTTGGGGTGCAGTCGGTAAACGATGGTACAATTTCCTCCAGGCTCGAGGGATAATGCTGCAGATGTTGGGAGCCTAATAATGCTATATTGGTTGCGTTGGGGTTGCTTGCTGATGCCAGATCAGCCGGGTCGTTGTTGGAAGCGAGGCCCCAATCGGTATCGAGGAGCATGGCGGCTACGTAGTTTTTTTGGCCGGGGAGTGGTTGAAAGTAGGCGCTGACAGCACTTGTCACGACCGCATGCATGATCTCCCTGCTGGCCATTGTCGTTTTCTGAGAGTCGGCCAGTTGTTGCAGCTCGGCAACCGTCTTGTCGCTACGTATAACGTGCACTCTGGCCTCGGATCGCATGTTGCCAGTTTCGCGATCGCGGTAATTCGTAGAGCCTGTCGTCCACTCCTCTTCGAATCGAAATGTCCTGCGTCCCATTTTGTTGCGCCACATTTGCTCGGCAGTAAATGCTTGCCAGAGATATGCAGCCATTCTGTATTTGCGAATGGCGGTTTCCAGGCCGTTGCCTTCTCTTTCAGCGCGCGTGGGGGCAGCGGAATATGTAGCGGGAGAATCTTTGGCGAGCACAATGGCAAGCTGCAGTGGCGGAGAACTCATTGAGGGAATCATGTGAATAGTGAGGTGAGAGGAGTGAATTGGGTTGGAAGAGCTACTGTTGGCCAGTTTGGGGGAGGCGAAGTCGAAGCGGAGCTTATTGGGGCCGGGGTTGAGGTAGGCCATGGCCTTGAAGTGAGAATCGCAGACGGGCCAGCTTGTGGCAGGCATGTCGTCGTCTAGTCTGCTGAGCGTTATTGTGCCGTCCATGGGGGTTGTGGTGGTGCTGGGTTCGCCAATGGTGCCGTGGAGGAGAATTGTCTTTTGATAGACCTAGGGAGAGGTTAGCATGAGATGGGAGCAACGGGCGGTGCTCTGCCAGGGCGGCAAGGCGCATTGGTGATGGTTCGGCCGCGGAGACTGGGGGAAGGTATACTTGCCCATGAGTTTTCATTAAGATTGTGAACACGCGGGGCATATTTAGACAGGGGGGTGTTTGACTTTCCACCAAGAGTCGGGGAACCCAGACCGGAGATGCCGGGAACGCTCTGGGTACTGAGTCTGCTGGAATTGCCTCCATTGGCGGGTAGAGCTAGGCGCGAGGACGTCTGAGTGAGCTGTTCGCCGCTGTCCTTGAGCTGGAGGTTGAGAGCAGGATCGGAATTGTGGGCAATGGAAGGCGGGGTGACGGAACCGCTGGAAGCGGCAGTACCATGGCTCACGGCGCCCTCACTAGATGTGTCGGTGGAAGCTTCGGTACGGAAACTAGCCTTGGACCGGCGGCGTAGCTCCTTGAGAAATCTGGGGGCCATGGCGAGAGATGACGAGACGTTGATGTTGGAGCTAGACGGACAGGTCGGGGCGTCGAGGCGTCGGGGCCGTTCAAGAGGCCAGAGGCCAAGGGGGGCGCGGCCTTGGGGGAAATGAGGGAGAAGTCAGGCGAGTAAGAGAAGACAGAGGCAGCAGAGAAGCGATTGAGTGGTAGTTTAGCGACGAGGTTGGTGGAGAGAAGCCTCGTATGGGCTCTCTTGGCCAGAAACGCGCGTCAGAGGCAGGGAAGTATGATGCGCAAGCAAGAGTGGGTTGGGGGAAGGAAGCTGTCTGCTTGGTGGACTCGAAGATGAGGCGGGAGAATAAAGGGAATTGGACCAAAGGAAGGCGCAATTCTATAAAGAAGTGGTAATAAAAGAGCAATGGTGGGAAGCTGCAGTCAGAAGCGAGAGACAACGAGGCAGGCGAAGGGAAATGGATCAGGTCGCAGTAGGCTGTATTGGTAGCGCTGCGAACTACCTAGGTAGGTAGGTGGGCAGCTTTGGTGGACGAGGTCAGGCAGGTCCGGTAGACCGATTCAGTACCTAAGCAGGTGCAGTGACGACGGAGTGGCAGAGAGCAAAACGACAGTGGCGGAACAAATGAGAGATGATGCGACAATGAAACAATGAAACAAGGAAGAGTAGGTAGGTAGGTAGGAAAAGAACGGGAATGAAGTGGCGAGTGATAGCAATAGTCAGAATGGAACGTAGTCGGATTTTTCTTGGTGCTGATCCATGCTTGCGTTCGTGTCCCTGCTACGGGCGGCTCGGCGTGACGTGCATGAGGCGGCGGTACGAATATAGGTTGCAGATTGACAGGCCAGTCAGCGGCAGGTACGATATTACAGGTGGTATTGAGTTAGCAAGAAGCTTGGTGGTTTTTTTTTTTTCTTGTCTGCAAGACGACGTGGACCAATTACCCAGTTTGCAACTTTGCAAGTCCTAGCAAAGCACAATACAGCTGAGTTGTGTGCAGATTGGCATCTGTGGGTGTGCTGGCAGCCATTTCAATAGGCCATGTTCGGTGGACATGGCGCGGGAAAACCCACTGTGGAAGCGGAGCCACAATCGCAAGCGACTACCTCTACTAACAAGGTAACTAGCACAGGTAGTTACCTACCTAGGTAGGTACATAGGTAGGTAGTTACGCTGTATCCGTACCAACACCTCACTAGTCTACCTGAAATCGGTGACCATGAATGACGTTGCATCTACCATGTTTGCCCGCAAACGTTTTGCTTCATTTTGATGTCTTGAGGCGCATTCTGGTAGAGCCACCATGCGAAACGTGCTCTTTGGTCTTTGCTACGCCTCACCTCTGCTCGTCGCACTATTTCCCCCCAGCCACACTTGCACTTCACCACTTCACCTTCACCTGGTGTACCTCCAAGGTTTCGTGCGCAACGCATAATATGTGGTGCGACTAGGTATGAGGTAGTTATCAGATAGCTAAAAACCACTAACTGAAAACCTAACTACAACAATCTTTTGGTCCTAGACCGAGCGCAAACTAATACAAATTATTACCCACCGCCTACCAGGTTTCCATTGTGCTACGGATATATATTTACACAGATAACTAGAGCGCCACCTTTTTGCTGTTTACGTACAACGGCCACCACCACATCGCCGATGACCACCATCCTCGCCATGTTCCGCATTGATCCAGTTCTTGGTTCGCCATTTCTTCCCTGCTGACGCCACTCTTTAACCCAATGTACTCCAAATCAAGCCACAACGTGCGCATCGATGCTTGGTTCCAGCCATTTCAAGTTTGCCAGCATTCTCACGCTGGCAAGCTGCCAATATAGTTTTGCCTATCAAGTGTTATTATTAAGATCCATGGCCGTATTAATTCCCTCTCGTATTGCTAGTTATTGCACATACTCCGTAGTCCAAGCACCGTATTTGCTGCAGAGAGAATCCTTTTTGCCTGTCCGCCGCACACCACCCATTTCGCCTCCCACATCGGCCAACCATGCGAGACTCCACACGTTGCATGGCAACTTGGCAGCGTCGATCTACAACACCACTGTCACCAGACGGTTGGACTAGTTAGTTGTGCAACTGACCGACAAACACCCGCACACCCTAAACACTGCGCTTGCTTCGGGGGCATATGTATGCCTCTTGAATTACTCAATCTCCAGTTTCCTCACACAAACACACAAACACGCCGCTGTCAAACAGCGGCAATGTCGCCTACCCTGGAGTGTCAATTGGACTTTGCTGCTGCGATGATGTGCTTCTCGGTGCTCCCTCAATAGGTCAGAGACATGTATTGTGCGGTGCTACCTTGGTCTCGGATCTACAGACATGTTTTAACGGCCGTACTTTCGCGGGGCATCTCGTACCAGTCACGGGTAGTTACGGCTGTCATTGCTCGACAAACCCTTGACACTTGAAAACGACGGTCCGCGAGTGGTCTAAGGAGCATGTAACTACAATGTCGACCCGACACAGTCGCCAGCATACCGCTACAACCTGCAAGTCGAGGCATTCGCCCGACGAGGTTAAACTACATTCCTCCGGGCATTGTCTCATCAACGAGCGAATGTGTCCGGTCGAAGCCAACTAGCGGCGACGGGAGCCTATCCAGTGAAGGGAGGGCGAGGACGAAGAAAGATTAAAGGGCAAGTCAAGCGGAAACCGATGCCACAAAGGGTTGAAAATTACCGCTTTATCAACATTAATCTGCACTGTGCTCGCTCATGTTGGCCTGAAATTGCCTCTCTATCATGAGCCTCAGGCCACCGCCACAGCAGCCACCTAGCCCCGCTGACGAGATGCATCTGCGTATTAATAGTTCCAGGCACAAAGATGGAAAGATGGATGCAACCAGGGGCGTAACGCCAGAGCCTGCCCCAACTTACCACACCACCCTTGGATACTTGAGGGGAAGCCGAGATGGTTTTGAACAGGAATGTATTTGCGGAAAAGCCGGGGAATCGGGCTGCCCAACCATGCCAGTTGTTCGTCGGCCGAGGAATAGGTGCACCGGAAAGAGATTCAGAAGGATTGATTGAGAGACAGCGACAGCAAGAAACCAGTCACCCACAGACTCCCATACCGACTTCTGGGCACAGGAGGAGGGCTGACGGGTAGCTGAAGCGACGGGCGTAAGAAATGTTACCGCGACCGATCCCATGTTGGTTGCTGTGCTGACTGCTGCGCCTGTGTGTGCCCTGCATTTACCCGAACCCATGCTTATAAAACAGCAGGCACAAGTTGTGACAAAGTGAGCAGGCTGAGGCCGAGGTCCGTGTTGCTGCCCAAGGTGTCACGACGGCATATTGCAATACCGAGCGGATTGGATATTGGATGGTACCTTGCATGGCTGCTTTGGACAGCGTGAGTGGAGGTAAGAAGCGGAAAGGAGGAGAGTAAAATTGGTAGATAGACCGCTCCGGACGTCTGCCATCTTGCACAACGCCGTGTTCCTCGACAGGCAGAGACGATCGGGTGGACCTATCCGTAGACTTGATTTGATTGAAATATATTTTCTTTGTCTGCAGCCGGGCCGGACCAAGCAGGACGCTCAGGCATACGGGACCTGCGGCAAGGGCGCAGCTGTACTTAAATTCTACATGGTACCGTACTTTAGTCCAGTAATAGGCCCAAAGTTGTATATTACAGTACCTCGCGAGGCCAGCCACTGAGGCCACTGTAGTAAACGCCCACCAATGCCACCAATGGGCAACGGCGCCGCCGCTGGCTGACCTGCCTACGCCCAGAACCCACCTGTAGCCCACTAATAGAGGGTAGGTCAGGTAACCACTTCTACTCCTCCTTCCCTCACTCGCCCTGGCCAAGCTGCACCACTTTTGCCCTTCCTTTCACTCCCGCCAGACCGACCACATCCTAACCACCGCCCTCAAAATCTCGTCAACGTCTGCACGACTTCACCAAGAACAGTCTTTCAGCATTGGCTACAATCTCCGAGTATACCATCATGTCGTCGCCCTGGAAGAAGCAACCCGAGGAAGTGGTCGACTCCGTTTTGAAAAGGGCTGAAGTTAGCAAGGTGAGTGAAGGGATGCACGATGGCATTTTTCTACCCCCCGGCTACGACGGCGCACACTGCCCGCACCACGTCGCAACAACCACAAAGAGCCAAGAGACTCTGGGCTAACAGGAAGTTTTGTTCCTTTCTAGATTGCTCGCCGTTTGCAAAACCGTCTCGCTCTCGCTCAGTTCAAGACCAAGCATGGGTGGGAAGACCTAACCCTCGATACCATCGAGCCCAAGATGGAGGAAGAGATTCGTCGCAAGAAGCTCTACGAGGGCGACGTCCTCTCCGACTCGTCGTCCAGCACCTCCGAACTCCCATATCCGAACAAAGCACTCATGAGCTCCCCCCTCAAGGCGCCCATATTTTCCGATGCCATTGGGTCCAGCAACGGAAGCTCGGGCCACCGAAAGCGCACATACATCGCATCCTTTGACAATGTCTCGTCCAGCCCGAGCAAGCGCTTCCGCGCCTCGCCTACGCTTCACAAGTCGTTTCAGGGCTACAGTTCTTGGAAGGATGCCCACCAGCTCGCCCAGTCGTCGCCCATTAAGCCCCGCCGACAGCAGCACTTTACCACCTCGGCCGGTCCCGACGTGTCCTTTTTCCGCCAGCGCCGCATGCCCAACGAGCTCGCTTCGCCCAACTTTGCGGCCGCATCCGACGATGATGAGGACCTCTTGCCTGCCCACTCGTTCAACCTCAACAATCTGAGGTCGTCGCCGCCGCGCACTCCGCCCATGCAGAACCGGGCCCTCCCCAACAAGCGCAGAGGACACAGCAGCCCAGCGGCCAACGGCAAGACGGGCGAAGAGGGCGCCGATTTGCTCCTCTACCTCGCCGCCTCCCCCTCGCCTGCTGTCAAGGCGGGCCGGGGCCGCATGGAACGTCTGACTACCCCACCGCCCAAGAGCAACAAGCTCGACCTGCCGTCGTCGATGATGATGACACCTGGCGGCGGCAACCTCTTCCCCAACACCCCCAGTCAAAATTTTGACTTTGCCGATTTTGTCAACATCACCCCAAGCCCGGCACAGAAGCAGTGGCGGACTCCGGGTCCCACGAGCACGTCCCGCACGCCGATGAGCATTGCCAGGAGACGACTGACCTTTGACGACCCCATTGCCTAGGATAGGTCGTATGCCCACACTCACTACTATATCTCTTATTTGTACATGATACCACGGCCGTACAAAGTGCTCCTACGCATTTTCATGTTTTCCTTTTGCATTTTGTAACTCACCGAGTGTCGGACCATTTGATTTGTTTTACCACAACGTTGTTTCTACAGAGACTTTGCCAGCTGGGTTGGTTTTTATATGTTTTGTTTCACGGGAGGAGCTTGGTTGGGAGTCTTTTGTTTTCCAGTACTATGAACAGGCGCATCTAGGATGCGACAGTGTATTATTTAGTTTACTCTACAGCTGGTGTTCTTCTTCTGTGTCTTGCTCATGGAAGCATTGGGAGTGGGGGGGTTTTAGGATTAGATGTTAGTTCTCACCGTTTGTGTGTGTGTGTTTGGACAGGAACAAGAAAATCTAGATTCAATGCTAATTCATTCCATCGTATGTCTTTCTCCCTCTATGGTCAAGTTTTTGTTTCCATGATTCATGATATGGTTTCTGAGCCATCCTGCTCGACTGGAGGGAGGTCCAAAGCCACTAATAAAGTCTAGTCCCCGGATCATGCAACTGCTCTGCGGGCACTTTAAATCCGTCCCCCCCCCCGTACCTAGCATTCCAGCCAACATGGGAAAAAAAAAGAAAGGGCAGTGGGAAATCGACAAATTGCTTGCTCGCTCTCCATCTTGAAGATTGACCCAACGATGGACCTCTTATGACGGTGCGAGAAAGAAAATAAAAATTGGTGGACGCGGATCATCGAAACACGACTTCTGACAAGAAAAGCGCGTAAAACCGTGCTCATCTCGCGTCGTCACGCGTCTGATTGGTCCAGGTTTGCCCCAAAGGGGGCCTCGAGTTTTTTGAGAACCCGCTTTTTTTGGTGATGTCATTTCGGCAACACTTTTTATGCAAGCACTTTAAGAGTATAATACATGGCCAGTTGTGCTTGGATGAATTTGTGCCTGTAAATTCTTTGTATTTTTTATCTAGTAAAAGGACAATGAAGAAGCAAGGTCGTTGATCAAGAGGGTATATAATTGTAGTTTTGCAGCGACCTCGACTCCTTCTGCCGCCTGCACCTGCGGGCTGATTGCTAATTGTCACGACAACCGAGGGCTTGGCTTGCTTGGTGGGTGCCGCCTTATTTCGAGAGTGATGTTTCTATTATTATCCATGCACAGAATTGACCGACTCCACTGAGGCTTCTTCAACTTGCAAAACAGAAAGCCATTTTCAATTAACAAACGCCGATTAACTGCTGTAATAAAAGCTGTCAAAACTGCTCCTTTAGCAGCCCACCCCTCCTCCTTCCCTTCTAGCGCTCTAAAAAAAAAACGAAATACAAGGGCCGACTTTCAAAGTACAGAGACTAAACTAGATAAAGATTGGAATGCTGACGATGGGGTATTAGAAGAGACTGACTAAATGGTAAGATTTCGTAATATGCCAATTGCCACGCCGGGCCGTCATGATGGTATCAAAAAAGATGGTATATAGAAAAGAGAGACAAGATGGCCCGCATTATGCATCATGATGATGTGTCTTCATCCATAGGACGAGAAAGAAACGAATGAAAAATTTCGCGCTGCCACCTGCTTTCGTTCGAGGCAGCGCAAGCGAACGCAACGCAACAAAAATCAACAACTTCTGATAAGAACTAGCACACTCTAGCTGCCTTACATGGCCTGACCAACGCCGACATAGCCCCTTGGCCCCAGCGGCAGCGTCGGACTGTCCGAGGCCCCCGGCCGCCCACCACCGCCGGGGGCCGCATGTTCTGCCGTCCAGGCGGTGCTGCTCACGCCACTTGTGTACCGGGAGCTGGAGCTCGTGCCGGCGCTGTACACGGAACTCGCTCGGGCATCACCGCTCCTCTGTGAGCTGGACGATGACGACAACATGCGCGTGTCGAGCTCCAGGTCGAATGGATCGGAGCGGAACTTGGTGCGCCGCTCGTCAAAAGGATCTTGGGTGAGCGACGACGTGCGCCGCGAAGCGGCCGGACGCTGCTGTTGCGGCTGCGATGGCGGACGCCCACGCTGGTCACTGATGGAGTGTGCGCGGGAGCGTTGGCCGGCGCCCGCAGCCCCGATGGAGGGAGCGTTGGATGGGTGTCTGCTGTGTAGCATCGCGCCGGCGGGCTGTTTTAAGATGCCACGAAGCTGTTGCTGGTGTGGCGTGAGGATGGGGGCGGTCCGCTGCGCCTCGGTGCTGTGCGTGTCGGAGAAGGGATTTTCGTCGAGCAAGTTCGTCGAGGGCTGCTTCTCGCCGTGCTCGGGCGGGATGGCCGGCGCCCCGTCATGGTTGACGCCGTGTGAGGTCCACCACCCGTGCAGCGGGTGCCGGGCTGCTCTCGTCGAAGCCTGCCGTCCAGCGGCAAACGGCCCCTCGGCGGCGTCGGCGGGCTGGTGTCCTGGACTAGTAAGCGGTGTAAGCGGCCGGCCCAGTTCCTTCTTCTTGTTCGCGCGACGGCGCCACATCCAGATGAGGAGGGCAAGGATGGCGAGGGCGGCGGCGCCACCGACGGCGGCGCCAATGATCATGCCCATGGGCGGGCCGGAGCCGCCATGGTTGGTCTGCAGCTGCAGGTTGCTGCCGGGAGGGGTTTTGGTCGGCGCGGCACTGCCGACGCTGTTGGTGACGGTGGGTGCGGCAATATCGGATGCAGGACCGCTGGATGCAGGGTTGTCAGAGGTTACCGAGGTGGTCACGGCGATGCGGGATGGGGCAGAGGAGATGTCCGTCGTAAGAGTGCTTGGTGCGGAGGAGAGGTCGGCAGGGTCAGATGCGCCGCCCGGGTTGAGGATCTCGGACGGGAGAGCCTTGTCCTGGCCAGAAGACTGAGTGGGTGCCAAGGCGCCGGCCGGTGGCTCACCCGAGTCTTCATCTTCCTCGGCGGGGTTGGCGGACTCTGGCTGGGCGACTGGCTGAGCGGCCGCCTCGCCTGCCGGGGGATTGCGAACCGGAGGTGAGGTGGTGGAGGGCGCGGCTTCGACTTCGATGGGTTTAGAGAAGCCCGGAGGGTTCGCCGCCGCGAGACCGGGAAGCTGGAGACTCGGATCGTGTGCGGGCTGTCCCTGCTGTCCCTTGGGTTTCGGAGGCACCGGCGCTGCTTCGGGGAGTGTTGAGTTTGCGACTGGACTGGATGACTCCTGGGCGGCGGGGGGCAAAGATTTCTCCAGCGTGTCTGGGTTTTTGACCGACTCAGAAGGCTTGGAAGGCGGAGATGTGGGAGTATGTGCGGACGCAGGAGACGCAGGATGTAACGTCGATGGCGAGACGGTTTGGTTTGTCGATAAAGTGTGATGGGACATGCTGGTAGAATGCGACATGGCGGGAGCATCTGGGGTGGGTGAAGCATTGGCGGAACCCGGTAGCAACTGAGACGAGCTCGTCAGCTTGGAGACTTGACCGCATTTTTGCTTGATTGCGATGTTGTGTATCGTGGTGCCGTTTGGCTGGAGTGAGGATGGTTTGAGGACGGTCGTGGCGCTTACAGGTGAACGACCGCATGGTGTCGGCTGGGTTTGGTTTTGGCCCTGCCGCACGTCGCCGGCCATGTTGATGTTGCGGGGATGCGTCTCTTCCCTCCGCCAGAGATGCATTCGGGCTATTCTCTCTTGTTGCTGGCTTAGGCCCGATCTGGGCCGGTGGTGAGTGTCATGCAAAGGAAGGCAATGCAGTCGGTTACAAGTATTGCTTGGTGCAACAGCGAGGCCGTCGATGAAGGAGCCTCGTGAGGTTCAAGGAAACAATAAAGAAAAGAAGATGAATGGAGAAAAAAGACCACAAGAAGAAGGAAAAGTGAGGGGAAACAAAAAGTCAGGCCTTGGAATCACTTGGCGGAATCTGAATCCTAGTTTGACGGCGCTGACACACTATGCGAGTGGCATCGTGGGTGTGGGTGGGTGACTCGAGGCGTGGAGGAGGAGTTGGAGGACGGGGGTGACGGGGTGACGGGGTGACGGGGTGACAGGTACGGAAAGACGGGTTTTTTTGACAAGCTGCCATTCTTGGAACAGAATACGGTGGTGCAGACTGAGACTGAGGAAAGGGGGCGATGGAGGATTGAAGAGAGCCGGAGGAGCAGGAGAAACAGACGGAGATGGAAGCAGGTCGGGCGGGCTGGATGAGGCGAGACGGCGACACATTTTGGGAAGGTGCGGCCGGCCCCGGTAGTCCTGCTACACTTGTGAAGCACGCCGCATCTTGGAGCCCCGGACCGTGCGGCGGGTAGGCAGGCTAGTAGGCAGGCAGGCAGGCAGGCATGTGGGTGTATATTGGATGAGAATAGAAATCATGGATAAATTATTTTCTACTGGAACAGGGACCAAGGACTAGGCGCATCGTGGTCTGTGAAACGATGGGCAAGTTGAGCACTGCGGCAAGAGACGCGCAGGAGGGCCACATAATGGATAATGGATGATGGCGTGGAGAGCATAACTACATATACAGTATGTACAGTAACTAGGGCATGTGTAGATTGGAGATGGACAATACCACACAGTCTGGGTTTGCCGTTTGTAAAAGTGTATGCGTTTCATCAGCTTGTGAAATGGAACAACGCTATCCGTACTGCCTTGATCAACATCTTTGGAATCACAACAGAAGAATTAAGAAAGAGATACGAAAAGAGAAACAGAACCGGAAGCAGACAGAGATGCGAGATGCGCATGGCGTTTTAGAGTCGGGTGTTTTCTTGCCTGGTTGATCGGCGGTTACGCAGGACACGACAGGCGGCGGAGCGTTTCATGGGTGACGTTTACGTGGTCGTCTTGAAACACGAATGCTGGTCGCAGAGAGGGAGTGGGGGAAAACGGGTTCAAAGATGAAGAACAAGTCGGGCGATTTGTACAATTCGTTCTTGGTCATATATTTATCTATATATATATTCGTGTATCTATCATTTCGATGTAATCTGATGTTGACAACCAGGTACCCAGTAGTACATTAGTACAGTACTAGTGGCAGCTCAAACGGGTGACGTGGTTGGTGGTTGGCACTAAGACGCAGTGTGCGGCCCCTGAAACGCCGAAACGGCCCCTGAAGCAAACCCCCCACCAACCATTGTCAGCGTCGTCAAGGTGGTGTGGTCCCTGTAAATGGTACCTACCTCCTACTAACTTGCCTAGGTAGGTACCTACCGTACTACCTGTAGGTAGGTACCTCCTACTGCAAAGACCTCATCAGTCTCTCCTCTCCCAGCAACAGAGAAGCAGCCACACAGTGTCCATCACTTCAATGCCTTCAATGCCACCCAGCAGAGCCTCATAATCACCGCATGCTGCCTGACTGCCTGACTGCCTGACTGCCTGACTCTCCTCGCTCCGTTGCTGGCATGCTCGCGTGAGCACCAGACTGCCCGTCTATATTGCTAGTTATTCGTTAATTCTATCCGTATTATTTTATATCCGTCTTTGCTGCTATTCTTAGCCATCACCCTGCCTACCTACCTACCTACGTAGGTAGGCAAGTACGGAGTATTACCGTCCACTCCATCTAATCTGCCCGCCCGCCTTTGTCCACAAAACATCATCTTCTTGCCTCGCCCACAACGTCAACATCAATATCAGCATCAGCATCAACATCAACGTTTCCTGCCCAAACAACTGCCTCCTACTCGGCCACGCCGTCCCCCCCTCTGGCCTCCCACGCATCAACCCATTTTCCAACCTTGCATTGTCCGCTTAACGGGCAAGTGGCTCCCCGCCTCCTTCTGCCGCTGTTTCGACGTCAGGCAAAACCACCGGCTGCTTGCTCTTCCGCCCACCCCACCACCATCGTCACCTCCCTCCCGCTCCTGGCTTCGTTGCCTCGCTACCTCGCTGCCTCGCTACCTCGCCGCCTCGCTGCCTCGGCTTCGTTTGCCAATACCACCAATCAAGCTCGTCTCCCGTCGTATGCTATTGCTTTGCTATCTTGTGCTTGTGCTTGTGTGCCGAGTACCTGGCTAGGTGTGCATTTGTCCCATAGACTTGGCGCACCACCAACCATTGGATGCGCCCCCACCGTCGCCTGACCAGCCCGGCTTCAGCCCAGCTTCAGCCCAGCTTCCACCAGCGCTTGCTCGGATCCCGGCCTCCTTGAATACGGCACTGCCAATCACCGCTCCGGCCTGCGCAACGCACAGTCACTCGCTTGTCCCATATCGCTATCTTGTATTTCTACCACCCAGCATGTTTGCCGGTATATCAGTCTTTGGTGAGCTTCACTTCTCCACGATGCCTCGAGCCTTTGTTTCTCCTCCCTCGGCCATTGCCCCCTCTACCTGCACTGACTTGAGCTAACACCACCATCCCTCACAGCTGATGCCCAACGGCTTTATGACGAAGCATCTATTTCTGATCCCCCTCCAGCAACTCCCATTGCCTTTCCCCGCTACCAACCCATTGCCCACGAGGATGCCTCTGTTGAACTCTCAGACTCTCTCGCAAGCCTCCTCTCTAGCACCGGCAGACGGCCTCCGAGACTGGTCCCCTCGGCCCTCTCCGCTATTGGACTAGATCTCAGCGCCGACGCCAACCTGCAACAGCTTATTCCTGACCCGTCTTTGATACCCGACTTTGCCACTTGGGATCGCATGACATTGGAGCAGTCTCAGGATGCCGATGAATCCACTCGTCGACCTTTGTCCGCTGCCAACCATAGACTCTCACCTGGCTGCCATGTTTACCTGGAACGAAAGACGGAGCTTTCCAACACCAATTCCGACGCCTTTCGCACCGTCAGGCGCGTACAGCCACCAATGGGCAAGCAGCCAGCTCGTCTTGGTAGCGCTTATGAGTTCTTTCGTCAGCTTGAACAGATAACCACATATTGGGATGACCCAACCAAAGTCCCCAGTCTTCCACCGTCTCCAGAGATTGCTGCCAAAGATGTTGCCAAAGATGATGTTGCCAACGACGTTGCTAACGATGTTGCCAACGATGTTGCCGTCGCGCCCTCGGAGACGCCCTCCAACACGGCACCTCCTCAAGCCCCGAATGCCCCTCGCCGCACCCTCGCCGGCCACCAAATGCCCGCCTCTCTGCGCCATAGCCTTGTAGCTACCTTTGTCAAGATGATAGCCTATGAATTTGGATGCACAGCCAGCCCTTCTAGAACTGAGCCTCGCTTGCATCTTCAATCGCCCCGTGACAGCGCCGCCTCGCCGCGCAAATCCTACTTCCCATCCCGCTGCCAGTTCATTTTCCAGAACCCTCAGTCGCGAGAAGCATCCCGTGCTGGCCTCTCCTACGGCCCCGTCGCCGCCATCAGTTGCCGTCCCGACACTAGTTTCACAAGGCCTGATCCCGAGTCTGCTCAGTCCTTGGACCTGGCAAAGGAAATCATTGCTGCTCTCATCACCGCTCAACACCGCGCCCGTCAAGGCAAAGATGAGATTCGCTTCGGCTTCGGCCAGTGGTGGGTAACTGAACCGCGCTGGGGTGGTGCCCACGGCGGTCCCATTGGCCGGGAGATACAAAACGACGGTATATCAGGCGACAAGGACTTGCCGCCAGACGCAAAGGATGAAGCCACCGATCTCACGCCCCCAACCAAGAAATCTCGGAAAACTGGGTATATGTATGATAACTACCGCATGATCCGGCCCCCGGCTGCCACCTGGGACCGCAAGGTCAAGTACATGCCCATAGGCAAACAGGCAGGCACAAACTACGAGGACATATTCATCGTCAGCAGCCTCTTTCATCACCTATCTGTCCTCCGCGTCCGCGTGCCCCTTCGTCTTCTTGAAGTTCTCGACGGCGCACCTGACCCAGACCCGACGCGCCGCAGCTGGGGCACCGTGCGGGCCTGGCGCACGCCCTGGTACGACTTGTTTGATACCAGGGACAGAATCAAGGCGATGCAAATCATCTGGAGCGTCATGGCGTATCAGATGCGCGCAGACACTGGGGACGCACAGGCAAGAGACTCAAGTACTTGAGGCCAATTCGCAATACGGCATTTGCAGCATACGCGGGGAAACTATCAACAGCCATCTCTCATTACTTTCTTCATTATCTCCCATTCTTCTGCTCTTCTTCTTCCTCCTTCTCCACTTCTTCTTCCTATTCTCCCCTCTGAGACTTGCAGGTCTAGTACTTGGCAATGACGGAGCGCACATATTTTGGACAAGCGAAAAAGCGTACATTTTTCTTCTGGGTACTTGGATGGCCAACTTGTGACCCTGGCGATTATGTAGACAAGCAAGAATGCATCTTCTCTTAGCTTTTATGTAATCATTCAATGATGGAGCATACATATTTTGGACAAGCGTAAAATCATATATTTTTACGTGGATGGCCAACTTGTGACCCTATGATGACGAAAACAAGCAAGAATACGTTGTATTTTCAGTTTCTATGCAATGACTATGAATCGCAGTGACCTCGTGATGACAGTTAGGGACAATCGAACAAGCAATACATGCATTCATGCATTCATGCTAAAACATCCTTTGCCTTGTGACGCGGTCTGTGAAAATTTATGAGCCAAAAAAAAACGAAAGTCATACAAATTCGTAATTGGGGGCAACACGTATCCGCGCCAAATCGCTTTTAAGAAATGACAGGCGGCTCAGGCTTGTGAATCATGTGCCACAGGAGCAGATCCCGCGTCGCCAGCGCGTCCTCAAGACTGTCGTGGCCATGGCCCGAAATCTGAATTTCGCGCCTCAGCCGCTCTCTTGTCAGCGCCTTGAGCGAGAGCCCCGGATACTTTTGCTTATTGTCCTCTTTAGGAGCGTCCTGAACCGGCGGCGGCGGCACCACGCGCGGCTGCTTCTCCTCCCCGCCACCCTCCTGGCCTATACCTACGGCAGCATCTCCGCCCTGGCTCTGCGGCCGCTCCTCGCGCGGCTGCAGCCGCATCTCCAGCAACAGCGTGTCCACGACGACGTGGTGAATCCAGCGCAGCGCCGTCAAGTCGGAATTCGCCGAATGGCCGACAACCACGGTATCGGGGCCGACGAAGCGCCAGAGCGCGGCGCGGGCCGCGGCGCGGCCCGCGAGGGTACGGCCCGCGCGACGCGCCGCGTCCATGCTGGCGCGCGAGACGCCCGAGTAGCGCGTGTTGAGGTGCGCCATGCGCGCGTCGGGCCACACGAGGCTGTCGACGAGGACGCGCCGCGTGAAGAAGTCGACGGCGGAGACCCGGATGAGCTCCGACTCGCCCGAGGCGGCCGTGCCCATCTCACAGTCGAGCGCGACAGCGGCGACGTGATCGGGGCTGCTGGCATGGGGCGTGGAAAAGTACGTCCAGTTGGACTCGAGCTCGCCGCGGCGGTACGTGGCCGTGGTGTGAAACTGCTGGGCGGCGCAGGGGCCGCTGGAGAGGAAGTTGCCGCAGCACGTCCAGAACTGGAAAGGGCGGTGTTAGCTTGGTCGTTTCGTGATAGAGAGAGGGAGGGGTGTGGACTTGCCTTGCCTTGAATTCGGCCGGGGTGGTATTTGCAATTCATCGGCGGGCACTTGTCCTTGTCTTTGTCGTCTGAGTTCCCCAGCTGCATGTCCCGCATCATGGCAGACACGTCGGCGCCGGCGCCGGCCTGCAGCGAGATGGACCTAGCATGGGCCGGCACGCTCGCTTGTCCTGGCGGGCGCGGATAGTCGCCGGCGGCCGCCGCAATCTGTTGGGCCATGGTCGGCGCAAGCTTGACGCTCTGCGCTCTCGACTTTTGCTTCTCGTGTCCTTTGCGAATCACTGCACTCCCAGCCAAAAAAATCAGAATCGGTGTTTCCCCCCCGGGTCCGAAACCCCTTCTTTGATGGTGATTGTTGTTATACCTTTTGTGCAGCGCCCGCATCGCTTCTTCTTGTCCAGATCGGACTGGCCGAGCTGCCAGAGCACATAGCCGGCCTTTTGCAAACGCGCGTGCGAGTGCGTCAAACCCCAGAGAGCCTCGATATTCTCCTCCGAGGCCGGGACGGGTCCAAAGTCTGCTGCGGCGAGCGCCTCCTGCAACGGAGACGTAGTCATCCCTGCGGAACTTGGACGAGAAACAGAGGAACTAAATAACGGCGCGTCTTTAAGCGTTGTGGATGGCAAATTTTGTCCGGGGCTGCTAAACGGCGCGGACAAGGCGAGGAGCTGCCAACAGCAGCTAGTTATGGAGAAAATGACGCGGGTTGAAAGAAGGGTGTGTAAAATCACGATAGAGAAATTAAGAAGTAAAGGAGCGCATGGAAAGAAGACGTGGACGAAGCTTCATTCACAATAGTTGTTGGTGCCTAGATATGTTGGGAGTGAAGGAAGCGTGCAGCCGCAGCAGCCGGATGTGCTTTGTTCATCAGTCAGCCTTTTCGGCCCCGCTTACGGCTGGCAGTTGGCAATCACGATGCAATGAGCTGTGTTTATTGTAGGCACGCGAGCTTGGAACAGAGTCGAGGCAAAAAAAAAAAAGACAAAGAAGATTGATCGATTGACATTTTGACAGTCGCGGGACGTTGCTACAGGGGACATGTTGACTAGAAGGCAATGATAATGGCGCGAGGTTTCGCGTGAATCAACAGCAACAACAAATACAGACGAAGATGAACCGCCGTTTGCACGACAAACAAAATCCAGGAGAGAGACACGGTCCAGTCAGGGTAAGAGAGGAAATTCACGGGCTGAGGTGACATCGTATTGGAGGGACGGCAATAACAGGAAACAACGACTGCCAATTCGGGGATCGTGATGGAACAGACAAGACGGCGGCCAGTGCGCAGGATAGCTCGACGGAAAGAGCTCCGAGACAATGTTGGCCTCAGAGGCCTCTTTTTTTTTTTTTGGTGACGTGGTTGAATTACTACCAACGTTAGTCCGTACGGAGTACGAATCAGTTACAGGTATGCAGTTACCTACCTACAGTGGGGGGACAAAAGTTTCGCGTCAATTCCCACCGCGCCGCTGTGGTGAGGAACACAACTTTTGGCAACCCACTGTAGGTACGGTCCTACGAATAATTTTCTCAATCATTATTACCTTTTTCATATGTATATTATATTTGTCCTTTCATGATTTCGATTGAATAATGTTCAACCTGTCTTTTCATGCTTTTAATGTAGTGTGCCGTCCATGTTTTTTACGCGCATGACGACATCGTCATCAGGTGTCGTGCATGTCGACGTCCTGCCACGCGAGGCTGGTGATTCGCTGTGATACGCAAGGCTGTTGAGGCTTGGTTGGCGGGCGCGACTATTCAGGATGCAAAGAGACAGGGCATGGCGGACCGAGGATACGACGCCACCAATCTGAAGTGCATACTCATCCAATGTGGTGGCGAAAAAAGAAAGGAAAAGACAATCTGCGACAAATGCCATGTGCCAGACGATACAGGTGAAAAGGAAAAAAGGAAAAAAGGAAAAAATGTGACAATAGCGAATAGTATTACAGAGAAGGGGGAGAGCAGCGAAAAAGACCACAATTGTTAGTGAACTAGCGCAACGCCAGACTAGCTCCATCCCTGCACAGCTGGGCCATGGGGCGGCGAGCAGCAGAATGGGTGACTTGACTCAGGTGTGGTGGATGTTAAGCGCGGGATTGGGCTGATTCAACACGGCTAGGTTGGACAATGTTGGAAAAAAGGCATGACTTTGAGTGTAACGATTTATTGGCGGCGTCGAGGTAAGTACCCTAGGGAGGGCGCTCGGGTATCCCACGGAATACATACAGACAATGCAGCGGGCCATCTATCACGGCGAGTCGTGGCCGAGATGGCGGTGACAAGGGCTGGCAGCAAAAAAACAGAAAAAAAAAAGAACCCCCCCTCCAAAATCTGTACAAGGGAATAAAGACGTGCAAAAACCACATTGTTACAGATACATACTACATGCAGCTCGTCGGCGCCGAACCAAAAGCCGGGCGCCAAGTGGCTGCATTTCAGCGTGCATGGGGCTTCTTCCCCCGGAGCGGCCGACGGCACCGGCGTCTGCTCAGCCTTCCTGGCGAAAAAACTCAAACGCGTAACCGGCCAGGCGGGAGACAAGCCCAGCTGCCTCCCGTCGGCGCATTATCTGGAAATGGAAAGAACTCCCCCCGGGAAACGGCGCGAGGCCTCTTGGTATGACAATTAATTTATTTCTTCCCCTTCCTTGCTACAACGTGGCCTTCTAGCTTGACATGGATATTATGGGCAAGCCTTTCCCCATCTTTTGACATACGGGTTGGTAGACAGGTAGACAAGACACCTGCCTATGCCACAATCATCACTCGTGAGACATGCATTGTATAAAATATACGTCTGCGTGTGTACTCTGTTGATGCATGCATTGTTCTCGTCAAGGCTGACGTGCTGCTTCGTGACATGCCCAGCAGCTGGGCACGCAGGTCACCAGGGGTGCGCGCCGAAGAAGAAACTTTATCGAGGCGCCAGGCCATAGAAACAGGTGCTCGCATGAATCTGCATCTAGGCCGTGGCAGCCCAACCTAGGCTGTCGTGTGACGACGATGAGGCAGGCGTTAACTAGTTGCGTAGTGGTGTCTCGGTAGTACGCAGCAAACGACGAGGGCAAGGCAGCCAGGTTAGGAGTGATGCAGGGCCCATGGTGACATTTGTGCAGCCAGGCGGACCAGTGCATCGCGCAGTCCGTCACTGAGTTGACTGCTGCAGCTGATGAAATACGATATTCCTGGACTGGCAGCTTGCAACCTGGTTGTTGACCCATGTTTCTGGTTCTGCTTCATCGGGAGATCCGACAAGATGTGGTGTGGTGGGGGGACGTCCGGAAGCATGGTATGTAGTGGGCCGTTTGTGCTGGCTGTGCCGTCCGAGCAGTAGGTAAGATCGAGTTGAACAATAGTACAGATTACGGAGTTGAGGAATAGTACGGGATACTATACAGGACACGAGAAAAAAGGGAACAAAATACATCAACTCAATGAGGACAACTATGACAAAGAACGTGGAAACGATGCAGGTCACCTAAATCGGTGCCTAACTAATAAAACCCCCTGCCAGAACTGACCACTGGCATATTGCATATTGCGACGGGCTCCCTGGCGATCCTCGTCTTGGCTTCTGATTGGGCTGGTTGATGCCTACAGAATAGATGGGCAATATCTTGGGAATATATCGAGTCTAGTTAATTCCCGTCGTCTCGTACTGAACCTGGCAACTCTTCACTCCGCGGCCCGACTTGGTGCTTCTCCCTGCCGGCATATGCGTTTGAGTGGGTAGACACGCAAAAGGTCGTTGAACAGAGCAAAGTGTGTGGCGGTGATGGCGAGGGGCGCTTAATAATTAGGCGGAGATGCATTTATCGCAGGAGAGGATGCTGACTGCAGTTGACCAGGTACTAACTACCTACCTAGGTACCTACCTACCTACCTATCTAGGAACCTATTTGGCCAAGCAGAGAAGGCTTCGTTGGCGTGAGCATGGGACCTAAACACGCTGCACCGGGGTATAGTCTCATCAAACAAGTCTCCATTGTAAAGAAGAGCTTCAAGGCCTGAATGATTCAAATAATATCAGTTATAGAATTTCTAAGTCGAGACACGCATACAGACGCAGCCAAGAGCCAGCAAAACGGACCCCACCAAGTTCTTGAACCAGAACCCCAGCTCCCAAGGCACGCAAGAAACAAACAACCATCAGCGGTATTCGGCCTTGCGAAAGCTCGGAGGGGCTAGAAAAGACCCAAGACAAGAAAGGCAGAAACACACACCCATACACACTCACACACACAAGAAAGACGAGTTCGGTCCCGAAAAAGGCTGCTGCGTCGCTTCACAGCTGAGCTTGAAAAGTTAGCGCTTCAACGGACCAAGGAAGCCGGCCGTTGCCACTGGAACCACTGGAACCACTGGAACCCCCACCGCGCAGCCCACCCAGACCAAACCAACCGTTTTGCACTGCCCTTTGCCCGTTTGAACAATGTCGGCTGAACCCCTTCAACGCTAACACGCGCAATCTACGCAGATCACCAACAGGGGGCTGCATTTTTGGATATACTCTTTCTTCCTTCTTATTATTCGCTGCGAGGCTGCCTCTTGTGCTGATTGGCTCCCGGTCGGATCCCCCAACTCCCCCGGCCGCCGCCCGGATACCACCAGAGCCGCGAGGCCAACAGAGATTTGCGAATCGTTTGGCGAATCAAAACCGGCGCTATTGCTTGGAGAGAGACGGAGTGCAGAGAGAAGAAAGACGAGAGTCGAGGTTTAATAGCGCTTTCTCCCCCGTTGCTGCCCAGGGGGGACCTGTTTGAATCAGGTAGTGGCTTTCTGCGAAACGTGGTACCTGGACCGTTGTCCGTTTTACTAGCCTTTTGCTTGTTTAAGCTACGCACCTACGAGTACCTGCCTGGTCGGCCATCCACCATCCACCACTTCTAGGTATCTTGCACCACCAAAAAATCACCACCACAGAGACCACCACCAAAAAGACCACCACCAAAAAGTCCACCACCACACACACCCACCACCCACCCGCATCCCGGCGCGCCCCTCCACCTCTCATCGTCCCGCCGCCGCCAAACCTGCTCTCTCATCCCAACCCCAGCCCGGACCCTACCCATTCTTCTTCAGCCCTTCTTCATTCAAAAGCTTCATGCCGCGCTGCTGTCTCACCCTTTTTCCCTCTGCCCGCCCGTCGTCGACCCGCGCCTCTTGAGTTCCGTTCCCAATCCTCAAGGCACACAGATACCATCAACCTCGACAGGGTCCGACGTCGCCGTCGTCTTCGTCGCACCACCGCCGTTGTTGTTACCCGCCATCGACGCCATCACCTTTCTTCTGCATCCCGACTTTGGCATCCCGACTGCACCCCAAATTCGCATCCCGACTCGGCCACCCGCCACTCACCTCCGCCTCGCCGAACCCGTCGCCTCCCCCAACCATGTCCAGCTATCAGGGCCAGGGCCGCCCACAGTATGGCCCTCCGCCTATTCAGCATCAGCAGCCGCCCTACCAGGCCGCCTCGTACGGGTATGTTGCCCATCTCTCACTTGGCCTGCCTCAGCCCGCCGCCGCATCCCCCTTCGCTTGCTGACCTCAATTGCGATGCTTCGCGCTTAGGCCTCCTCAACACTCACCTCAGCCGTACCCGAACCAGGGTCAACCCTCGCCGCAACACGTCTACTACCAGCAAGGACAGATGCAACAGCAACAATTTGCGTATCCAGTACGAGCCCCCATTGAGCATTGAGCATTGAGCCAATGCGCTCACCATACCCGACTCTGCAAGTACTGACAAACCCCGCAGCCGCCCGGCAACAGCCCCAATCAGTATCAGCAACAGATGCCCGCCCAACAGCCTTATGGTGGCCGTCCCCGTGAGCCCAAAATCCTTGCACCTGTCACTCAGTGCCCCAGCTAACATTTCAAGCAGCTCCGTCCCCTCAGCATCAACACGGTCAGCAGCAAGGCCGCCAGGACTTGGTCCAGGCTCCCCCCAGCGCCCCCCAGCACTTTGGAAGTGGCGCCCCCCAGAGCTACTCTTTCAAGTACTCGCAATGCACTGGCCGCCGCAAGGCCCTTCTCATTGGAATCAACTACTTTGGCCAGCGCGGCCAACTGCGCGGTTGCATCAATGACGTGCGCAACATGACGTCGTACTTGGCAGAGCATTTTGGGTACCGACGCGAAGACATGGTCATTTTGACCGACGACCAACAGAACCCCATGAGCCAGCCCACCAAGCAAAATGTTCTGCGAGCCATGCACTGGCTGGTCAAGGATGCCCGTCCCAATGACTCCCTCTTCTTCCACTACTCAGGTATGACTGCTGCCTCAATCCGAGGTATAATTTTGCTAACGCAGCCAGGTCACGGCGGTCAAACAAAAGATCTTGATGGCGATGAGCCAGATGGCTACGACGAAGTCATTTATCCCGTGGATTTCCGCCAGCACGGGCACATTACCGACGACGAAATGCACCGAATAATGGTCCAGCCTCTCTGCGCCGGCGTACGATTGACGGCCATCTTCGATTCCTGCCATTCCGGCACCGCGCTGGATCTGCCCTACATCTACTCGACGCAGGGCATCCTCAAGGAGCCCAACCTGGCCAAGGAGGCTGGCCAGGGCCTGCTCGGTGTTATTTCCTCGTACAGTCAAGGCGATCTTGGTGGCATGGGCAGCCAATTGGTCAGCCTCTTCAAAAAGGCGACCAGCGGCGAGGAGGCCCACAGCCGTGCCATTGCCACCAAGACTTCTCCTGCCGACGTTGTCATGTTGTCGGGCAGCAAGGATGACCAAACTTCGTATGTGAAGCCGACGGACCCGATACACTGAATACATCTAACAATTCCCAGTGCCGATGCCAGCATTGGCCTCCAGGCGACTGGTGCCATGTCGTGGGCTTTCATCACCTCTCTCAAGAAGAACCCACAAATGAGCTACGTCCAGCTGCTCAACAGCCTCCGCGACGAGCTCGCCACGCGGTACACGCAGAAGCCCCAGCTGTCCTGCAGCCACCCCCTAAGTAGGCCAACCAACCCCCCTTTGCCCTCCCTGCTGTGTCAATATAGTACTGACCAGCGTGTCCCAGACACCGACCTCCTCTTCGTCATGTAAACGGCCAGGCGCCTTTCTGATTTGTGCTATATCCGGGCCACCCAAGGGCGGTTGTAGCCCCTGATGGTCACTGCGGAGGCGAACCCTTTTTTCATTTCATATTTTTTTTTGGTCACATGTACAGACTTTTTTGGGGGTATTCAACGGACGATTTATTATCGATATACCTTGGGCTATCATTTTCAGGCTGTTTTGTTTTGCTGTTTTGTTTGAACATAGGAAGCGGGAGAGAGGGAGAGAGAGGGAGAGAGAGGGAGAGAGAGAGAGAGAGGGAAGGGGGGGGGGAAGAGGGCGAGAGAGAGTTGAGGATGCAGAGTCTCCATGAAAGCCGGCACAGGAAAAAAAAGGCACAAGTTTTCATGATTAATATATGGTATTGAACAGTACTCCCACGATGATGTGAGAAGACACAAAAGTCAGGAGAGAAGAGGATTCGACGAATAAAGACACAACATGAGAAATACGGGAGGTGCACATAGATGAAGAGGAAGAAACATGTTGTTGCCTATATGCGTAATGATTGAAAAGATACAACGCCGAACCATCTCACCATACAAAATCGTCATAAAAAAACGCCATTCCAATCCCGTAATGCTTCCAATGCAGTCTTTCCAAGTCCCAAAGTACAACCTTCACGCAGCCGCATTATCTTCATCCACCCTCACGACTCGCAGACCCCTGACACGCTTCGCTTTGCGCCTCTCGTCCGTCGCAGCCACCAGTTTCCGCCGGACCCGTTCCTGCGCCGCCCATTTGCGCGCCGCCAGACGCATGCGCGCCACGAACCGCGCCAGCACGAGAAACGTGCGGAGCGTAGGTTTTTGCCTCTCTTCGGGGGAGGAAGACGGGAGGAGCTGCAAGGGTTTGCGGGAATGCAGAAGGTTGGTGCGAATGTGCTCGAGTTCGCGCAGTTGCGCCTTGTTGCTTTGAGAAAGTCAGTAATGCTGTATATGTAGGTTTGAAGGGGGGGGGGTTATACCAGGCGCTGGAAATGTCCAGCTGCAGCTGGATAAACTTCTTGGCATACGCCGCGTCGGTGCGCATCATCGCCTCGCGCTCCCACCGCGCCTGCATCCAGTCCATCTGCGTCACCAGCCCGCCGACCTCCTTGCGATGTCGATCCTGCGCAGCGTCCGCCGCCCGGACCACCGTCGCCAGCGCCGTCTCTGCCTCGGCGAGCCCGGCACCGCGCTGCAGGGCGACCACGTCGCGGCGCAGCTTCTCCGCGCTCACGCGGTACGCGGCGCGCTCGCTGCGTGTTCGCTCCAATTTTCGCCGGAGCGCCACTTCGGACGCCACGAGGCTCTCGATGAGCGCCTGCTGCTGCCGCACGTCGTGTTCTAGGTTGTCAATTTCGGCTTGTGTCTTCTGCAGGTGACGCGCCTCTTTGCTGCGGCGGTTCTTGGACGGGCTAGCGGTGGTAGCGGTGGTAGCGGTGGCAGCGGCGGTGGCGGCGGTGGCGGCGGCGACGGCCGTCTCGCGGTCGCGGAGGGCCTTGTCGAGCTGGTGCTGCAGACGCTGCAGGGACTGCGCGTACTCGGCAGCCATCTCCTCGGCCTGCTGTCGGGCCTCTTCGAGGAACTCTTCCAGCACCACGCGCTGGTCCTCGGCGTCGTCGAGCTCCTGCTGCAGCTCCTCTGCCACGACGTGCGACCCGCCATACGTCGCATTCGCCATCTGGCTGCTGCTGTTGGGCGACCCCATCATACGCAAAACCTCGTTGTCGTGGAGTTTGCTCTCGAGGTCCGCGATTTCGCGCCGCAGACCCTTGATGACGTCTTTACTGGTCGCCTCGCGCTGCAAAAACTCCACCTCTTTTTGGCGCGCGCTCGTCAGGTCCCGCCGGATAATGGAAACTTCGCTGCTGCCGCCGTCGCCGTCGAGGAGGGCTTGCGCCGAGGCCAGCTCCGCTTGGTACTCGTCGACGCGCCGCTCCAAATCGCGAATGGTCCGGCGGGTCGTCGAGTTGTCCGTCGTCTCCGCCGAGGACGCCTGTCGCAGCTTAGCCTGGAGCTGCATGATCTCCTGATTCAGCCGTTCCTCTTCGGCCGTGGCCTTTTCAATCTCGCTTTCCAGAGACTTTTCGACAGACGCCCGCTGTTCTGCAAGACCCTTGTTCTCGTCACGTAGGCGACGGACTTCCCCGTCGAGCTTCAGCTTAGCGGTGCGCAGGTCGAGACGTTCTTGATCCACGCGGAGGGTGTCGTTGTCGTGAAGCTTGGTGCGGCGCAGCTGGCTGTCCAACTCATCACGCTCAGCACTAACCTCGGCCAGCGAGGTCTGGGTACTGCGCAGTTCAGCCCGAATCGAGGCCAAGTTGTCTTCGACGGACCTCTTGTCCAAAGACACCTTCTCAAGCTTGGTGTTGGCATCTGTAAGCTGCCATTTGAGGCGAGTGGGCGTTTGTGATCCACGTATGGGAGTGCCTTCGGCAGCACCGCGAGATCCTTCAGTGCTCAAGCGTAGTGTCCGCAGCTGCTCACGCAGACTCTCACACTCACGCTTTAGAGCCTCGCCCTCACGACGAGCTGGCGTAGTCACGGCTGGCCTATTGCGCAGCGCCTCAACTTGATCTTCCAGAGAAATCACCTTGTTTTCTTGTGTTCGGTAGTCGACCTGCGCTTGTCTCAGGTCATCACGGACGGTAGAAAGCTCGCTTCGGAGATCAGTCAACATCTTCTGGCGCGTCTCCAGAGCATCCTGAAGATCGTCGATTTGTCTTGTCATGAGTGCCTCTTCGCTTCGATGACGCTCTTCCTCCATCTTGAGGCCATCCTGTAGTTTAGAGCCTCGGTCTGATAGAGATCCTTCCGCCTCCCGCAGGCGATCGATTATTCTCTGAAGACCATTTGCCTTTTCCTCTGCACGATTCCGCTCTGCCTCCAAGGTTTGCTTCTCCGTCTCCCATTTCTCGCTGTCATTGTCGTATATATTATCCTTTTCGCGTATCTCAGCCTCTAGATCTGAAATATCATCGTTCAGCCGTCCTAGTTCATCCTGATACTGTGCGCGGAGGTCCTTTTCGATTTCAACGGCGTAGTCTCTCTCCTTCGCGACGCTGCTTTCGAGATCCTCGACCTCCATTTGCAGACGCTGAACGTCTCGCTGCAGCGTTGTTGACTCTGCAGTCAGGGTATCATGTCGCGTTTGAATGAGGTCCTTTTCGTCTATTTGGGCTTGGAGCTCCGCCTCGAGCTCTAAGATTCTGGCCTCTGATTCTGGATTTCCTTGTCGCATGGTTGCTTGTTCATGTTCCAGCTGGTCGACCTTGGCCTTGAGCTCATCGATTTCGCCATTGGCCTCTGTGTATTCCTTTTCCAGTGAAGCGTAGTCCTCACCGGCCTTGTCAAGTTCGTCCTGTAATCTGGTAACTCTCTCGTCTATCTGGCGAGAAAGGCCTTTGGTCACAACAGACTTGTTGGCCATTTCTTCCTGCAGTTCTTCCAAGTCTTGCTCGGCTCGATCTTTCTCTGTGGCGGCTGCTTCAAGTTTCTGGTTGAGTTCGTCAACCTGCTCCTCCAAACGACGAATGTTCTGTTCCAGGTCTTGAATCGTTTCTTTGGCTTCGTCCAGCTCATCGCTGTCCTGTCCATTTTCCTCGGCTTCCTGCGCCCTCTTCTCTGCTTCCCTGACTCTTGCTTGAGCGTCTTCAATCTTGTCTTTGAAGTCTTCGGCTTCGTCTTCTCGCTCTGTTAGTTGGCGATCTTTATCCCGAAGGTCCGCTTCTAGATCCTCGATAGTATCTTGGAGCTTCTCCAGCTGCTCTTGATTGTCCTGACCCGCAGCGAGCTGACGATTCAAGTTACGAATGTCTTCTTCCTTTTCGTCTAGTTGTCTTCGCAAGGCTTGCATTTCGGCGCGGAGACCATCATCTTGCCCGGTGTGCGACACTCTGCTCTGGAGGTCTTGTATTTGCTGGCGACAAGTTTCCAGCTCTCGCTCCGCCGTAATGAGATTTTTTTTGAAACGATGGGCTTCTCTTTGCATGGTGGCCTTGTCAACTTTCAGCTCGGTATTTTCTTTGAGGGCCGCTTCGTGAAAGCCAGGACCAGCTTTACGAAGGGCTTCCTCGAGAAAATGAATCTTGAGCTTTAGACCGAAGTTTTCCTTTTCAATCTTGTCTATGACATTTTCTTGTTCTCGAAGCGAAAGCTGATTGCCGTCTTGCAATGGGCCCTTGTCGCCACCGCGCCTTGTCGCCATCGCAAGAGGGGTCGACGTAACACTACTACTGTCGATCTGTGGAATTGTGTGGTCGAGATATGATTGGTTTCGGGATGCTGAGTACATGGAAGCATCCATTCGCGGCACTGGCGTCAGGTCGTTCTCGTCGATGCGGCTCAGGTTGGGAGAGAGGCTCATGGTGCCATTCTCCTTGCCTCCACGACGGCGAGCGCTATTTCTCGTAGCCGACTTGAGCAGTGGTGTGAATTCGGCGCCGCCTATGCTGGGCGGCAGGTTGTTTCGGTCTGTCAGAGGATCGCGGCGGGGTGTTCTGAGGCTGACGCCGCTGCCGTGGCCGTTGGATCGTTGGTTCCGAAGCTGCTGCAGTATATTGCCGCTGTCCTTTTGTGGCGAGTGGAAGGAAGCTTCTTGAGAAATGTCGGCAAAGTCTGGCCCGCGGCTGAGGTAGGTAGCATCTCCAATGTTGGTCCTTGGGGTGTCGAGGACACCACCATATCCGCCTTGCACCATGACGACGATGGCGCCAGAATGAGTACGATCACAGGAAAGGGATGTCGAAGAACGGCTTGATGTAGACGCGCATAGCAATAAAACAACCCAGAGCAAGTGGTTGCCAATAGAAGAGGATAAAAAAAAGGCTCAAAGAAATCGGACAAACGGCATTGCAAGGCGATAAGTCTGCGCGCGGCCAATACCTGTACGTACGAATTGATACATGGATAGATAATTCCTTGGTGAGTCGAGGTACGCGTTTGTCTTGTTTACTCTTTTGCCATTTTGGGACTAGTGGCCCGTCATTGGCAGCAACCAATGAACAGCCATTTGTAGGCCTGATTCTCCACTTTAGCTATTTGATGCTTCTTCAGCCATTTTGCTGGCGCCATATGAGATTATAACCATGACACCCACCACCTTGTCCTGGAAACTGTTGCGACTTTTCTTTGTAAATCAGCAGTGCTCACTTGCAGTTCCTGGCGCGCCGCACCCCGGCTACATGACTTGATGACATTTCCTGGCAATCAGCGCTGGTAGCCGTTACGTGTGATATCTGGAAGTGACGACATTGGCGGTTTCTCGATTGGCAAATATTACATACTGCATACATGTGTACCGGGTTCCCCCACTTTGTTGCTGTCGGGATATTGGTCGTGCATCCCCCGCCTTTCATACAGCATGACGGAGCACAGCGGTAACAGGCACGCGAACTGTACGTCTCTGGATGCGCTTCCCGATGACATCATAGAGCAAGTTCTGTTGTATGTATCACCATTGGACAACTTGGCTGGTCTGCAGAGTCAATCACGCAGGTTACATGGGTTAGCAAGTCAACCTCTGTTGTGGAAGTACCACTGCTTGGCAGCTTTCCAGTACTGGCAGCCTGGACACGGCTTGGAACGTCTACTACTACAGAATGCGTCGGCGACAAATTGGAAAGCCTTGTTCCTCAAGCGCCAAAGGCAAAACTCATCCATCGCACGCCTCCTCGATCGCATCGTCACTTCCCGAGTAAATCGCATCGAGGGCATGCAACAGATTTGCGAGTACGGTTATGATGCCAAGGACTTTCTCATTGAAAAATGCCGCACTACCAAGAGCGACCCGAGAGTGCTGGCAGTAAGGTGAGGCCGCTCCTCGTCTTTCACAACAGCCTACTTACTCGTCCTCAGACATTACGCCGGGGCGGTTCTTGGCAGCATACATCGGAACCTGGCCATTCAGCAGTGGTTCCAACTTAGCAATTCGGAACCAACGGATCCCTTGAATACACGACCCTCTCTGGAGAAGTCGTTGGCCGCTTTCGATCTCTTTGTCCTGCACGATGAGCGCGGTGATCTCAACGAGGTGAGCAAACCCAATCAACCCGTACAAATCGTACTAACATTCCATCTTTGCAGACTAGTCAGCTGCTAGACAATTACACAAACCTATTTATGACGTCCCAACCCAAATGGAGCGAAAAGAGTACGCGGGAACAGGCTCTCGCGCTGAACCACTGGATACGTGCAGCCAATCTTGTTGGGTTGGACGACCAAGAGCAGGACTATAGAAACCTACGGAACTGTTTTATTGGACAGGCATTACGCGATTCAAACCATGAATCAGTACCCATAATCTCCTGCGCAATTTACTGCTGCATCGCCGAAAGAATAGGCCTGCAAGCGGAATGCTTCTTGGCACCCATCTGCGTACACATTGTTGTCACCGCACCCCCTGGCTACGATTTAGACATGAAACCCAGCCAAGAAGAGCATCAAATGTACCTGGACCCATTTGCTACCAACGGGGAGGTACCTCTCAACAAGATGGAGCATCTCGTCTCCCACGCCGACATGACCATCGCCAGCCTACGCAATTCGGGCACCGTCTTCGCCATCACTACCCGCACCGCGCGCAACATTGAGGCCTCCCACGCCGCCGGCGCCCGCCGCGCCGACCCCCTCAGCCTCAGCCGTTTTCTGGGCGGCCACGCCGCCTTGAACCGGCAGCTCGCGCTGTACGCGACGCGCTGGGCGCTACTGATCCTGCAGGTGCCCTTTACGCAGCGCTGGCGCGAGCGCCGCACACAGCTCTTGCAGCGCCTTCTGCGCGACTGGCCCGAGGACGAGTGGATCATGTCGCAGTATGTGCTGGCGCAGAGCCGTCAAGGCCGCCGCGGCGGCGGCAGTGCTGGCGACGCGGCGGTGGACCACGCCGCCGCCCTCCACCGCGCCTGGCACCCGGACCGGCTGCGGGCCGAGATATTCCAGAACGCGCTCACGCCGGCCCGCGTGGCCCCCTATCGAATCGGCCAGATCTTTGTGCACCGGCGCTACCAGTGGCTCGGCGCCATTGTCGGCTTTTACGAGGTGCCTACCGCGACCTGGGGCGTCATTGGCTCGACCGCGATAGCCTCGGAAGGCGGCAGCGCGGCGCAGAGCTCGGATGACCGGCGATGGTTCTACATCAAGACTATGTAAGTGCGGCAGCGACCTATAGTGAACACGAGGACAATGCTAACGTCTTCTTCGTTTTGTAGAGCCGCGTCCAGCACGGACGAACAAGTGATTGCTCCTAAAAACCTGGAAATCATGAACGACGCGTCTCAAGTGACTGATGACATGTTTCCGCTAGCGGGCAAGTTCTTCAAAAGATTCGATCGCCAAAAGTGCCGCTTCGTATCCAATGTTGACGAGGAATACCCACGTTTAGCTGGCGGGGACTGAAGCGGCCACTCCCATCATGTTAATTCAACATGTGCAGCCATGGGCTAGCACTTTTAACATCACTATTAATACATAAACTTTAGCAAACGTTTCTGAATCCGTCTAGTGCGCCGCAAACTATGATGAAAGGTTAATAATGTCTTCGAGGACACCCTTTTCTGCTAGTTTCGTAATCCATTTATGCAGCACGCTCCCGTAGTCCTTCTTTCGCGCCGTCACGCGCTCCTCGTCGACCATGGCGACCATGGCCTCGCCGCGGTACTCGCCCATGGCGGCACGGACTTCCATAACAAGCTCTCGTCTGAGACCTGCTGCGTCGTTGGCGCTGAGATTACCTTCCCGCAATCTCGGCTCAAGGGGGCCTGGAGGCAGTTCCGCAGGAACGTCCTCTGGCTTTAAGTCGTACTCGGCTAGTAGCGGTATGTCATTGGGGTCGAGCTGCATATCGCTATTGGAGATGAGCGTAGTGTAGACATCTCCATGGTGCGTCTTCATCTGGGCGTCCAAGACCTGCACAGCCGTCAAGGCGCTGAGCACTGATTTCCTGTACTCTTGGATGGGGCTCTGGCAAAGGGACAACAGGTTGAATGACAGCTGGCTCTCCTCGTACTGCAGCATGCGCGTCTCAATTTGCGGTCGAGCCACTGTTGTCCAGCAGTCACCCTCAAAGCTTCCTGGAGTTCAAGGTTAGCATTCTCGTTCCCTTGTAGAAATTGCTCACATACCGAGCTTTCGAGGCTTCCCTCGCAACCCGTCCAGCTCCCAGACAAAGCCTCCGGACGGGACATAGGCAATGAAGTGGTAGCCGTAGTCGGCACTATGACGCTTCTTGGACTTTTTCTTGCGGGATGTGCCGCGGGACGCCGAGGCGCGTTTGCGTGACTTGGCGTCGGACGCCTCATTCTCTAATAACAGGTCCGCATTCAGGCAATCCATTCGACGAGCAAACGAGTTGTGCGTCTTTCGGATGAACGTGTTCCTGCCCAGTTCATATCCCCGTACTGCAGTGCTCAGTTCGGCGGTGGCTTCCTTGAATGCCTGTAGTTGGCTGCCAAGATCGATGCCAGTATGGTTCATGACAATGTTGAGCAGCGCAACAGTAGCGCATGCGTTGGAGGTTGTCTACCAGACGTTAGAAGTGGCTGAATGACGACAGAGGCAAACTAACCTGGTTTGCAAACCACACTGGCCCGCTCTCATTCTCTGCTTCCTCTGCATCGAGGAACGGCGCGTACTGAAAGAGAAAAATGAGGCCGTATACAGGTTTACTGGAGTATATTAGCTAGGTTTATGAGAAGAGTATAGTTGAACATACGGTAGAATATCCAAGGAACCTTGGTCAAGGGAGAAAAGCTCTTGCACTTTGACGTCCTTGACTCCGAGGTCTTTCAGAATCATGTTGAAAAAGGCCTGAAAAGTTGTCGAGTGAGCAGAGATAAAAGCTACGGGAATTAACCTGACCTTACTGGTTCGGATTCTAGTTCAATCCATCCATCCCATCCCTCAACGTCAGCAGACGTGAGGGGCTTCAAGGCCTCCTCGAGAAGGTTGTCGGGTAGCACATGGCTCTGAGGGGGGGGGGCAGCTTTGCGTTTGGGGGTGCGCCTCTTCTCGCTGGTCACCAAGTCTTTCTGGCTCATTTTACGGGAGATTGTCTGGCCATCGGGTTTCTTGCTGCGGACCTGGACCACGATGCGTGGCTTTGCGAGGTGCCTCGAGCGACGCGTACCGCTGGGTGATGGACTATCCGGCGCAGGCAGCTCGTTAGCAACGCGGCGACTGCGGAGGTGCATTTTGAGAGTGCAGGCGATTTAATATATAGTTGGCAGGACTGGTGGTGGTGTCTTTGTCTTGTTGTTACGGCTGTGATTCACATGAACGACTGTACGGGAGCGATGCCGTCGGGAGCGAGGTCCAGCGCGAAGCAGTGTGAAGGAACATGAAGAATAATAGACTTGGGGATTTGAGGTAGACTTAACCTGCGGCGACAAACGGAGGGTAATGCAAAGCAAGATCCAAGTAGGAAGCCAGCCGGTTGCCGCCGTAGCAGCCCTGCTTATGACATGCAGGAACTGGGTGCCAGCTGGCGGACCAGTTGAGCGTTTGCAACATACCTGACAAATATGCAGCGTTCGTATAGAACAGAATCAGTATTTACAACAACAGCTCATTGGACACTAATCGCGCCGGCGCAACCAAAGCTGACTGGATGAAAAGTGAGGAGAGCAAATGCGTCGCCATTGTGTCGATTGTGGTTGGAAGCACCCATGAAGAGAGCGCCAGGTATAAGGCAGGTACCGAAGGGGCGATTCGGCACCATAAATGCCGCCATTCCGCGGACAGGGCTACTTCCGAGATACCCAATCTCCCTCCGCCCGCCCCTCCAGCAAGCTGCAGCGCTGTTCAGCACTAAACGATCCCGCCAGGCGCCTGCGCCTCCACTGAAGCCAACAATTCTGCAGCCGCAAGTGCCTGACGCGACGTGACTGAAAAGTTGTTCTCGTCGACAACTCCTCCCTCTCCAACACAACAACAACGACGACACTGTCCACATCGCCGCTTCTCTGTGCGCCGCCACCACGCCGCCTCCCCATACATGCTCCCTAGCAGCTTCATCACATACCACGGAATGCGATGAGCGGGACTCCTCGATTGCGGTCTGGGTACCCCTCGACTCCGGGTACCACAGCTCCGCGACGCAATATTCTTCAACAAACGCCCAGCACCATCGGCTCCGTGTCCTCCGCGGGGAGCTTCAACAGGTCGGCCACGCTCCCGCTTGCCCCCGAAAAGGCGCTCGCACAGAATCAGTCTGGACAGCCCCTCATCCCTCTGACCCTGCTCGACGCTCCCCAGCAACGCTTCTACGCCTTTGCCATTTACGTACTGCTGTGGGCTTGGAAGCTCTATGACTGGCTCCAGGTCGTCGAAGAGGGCGAAAGCTCTTGGTTGCTGTTTTTCAAATGGATCTTCATCGACTTTGCCTTCTTGTTCGGACTGCCAGAGCTCCGTATACCTTGGCTGGAGCTCTCCCAGTTTCTCGTCACCAGCGTTTTCATGTCGCATTTCGTCATCAACTACATGTTGATGTTCAATATCCCTGTGAGTTTGGACTGTCTAAATTCCGGCGTGACCAACCGTCTACTAATAACGATAAGCTTCCTTGGCAATCCTTCTTTCTCGGCCTCGCCAAAGTTCTCTACGACCGTGAACTATCCATTTCCGAGCAAAATGTCAAAATCTCCAGCATCCTAAACAACCACTCTTTAATCATGGGAAAACAAATCATCAACATTCTTCCTGAAGGCTCCGCGGTCCTCAATCCTGAGCAGAAGCCGTACTGCATCGCTGCCAAGTCCAAGACCGGCGTTGTGCTGCCCATCTACTTCAACGCCACTATTCCAGCCGAAATCGAGCTTATTCGAATCGATCTCGACACGAACAAGGAAGAAATAATCAAAGTCTCCAACCGCGATGTCGGCAAGCTGGCTAAGCAAATCCGAGAGCAAAGTATAGACCCTAACATGGTCGGCTTTCAATGGGATTACAACGTCAGGCGACCCGGTGTGTATCGGCTGGGCAAGGTGCTGGACGAGTATAAACTCGAGATCCAGCGCGGTGTCAAAGATACGTATGTTGTGCCCTGTCCACAGGCCAAAATCATGACTGCCGATTCTTCTCAGCGCTGCATTCGTGATCTGTCCGACCTGTCACTCGAAGTTGTCGGCACGCCTCCGCTGAAGATCGTCTACAGCCGAACAATCAACGGTAAGAACCATGGTTTCCACTTTCAGAGCCTGCAGCCGGACGGATTCAGCTCGCCACTTCTGGGCTCTACGGCCGATGTTCTACGCGATGGTGAAGAAGACATCTCGTGGGTTCGTCCGGCTCACGTCACTGTCAGCTTGAACGAGTCCATGGCCACCTCTGGTGAGTGGGAATACTCCGTCGATGAAGTTCACGATGCATTTGGCAACTCAGTCAAGTACGCCGAAAGCGTTGACGACCTCGCCCACTCTGGTACTCGTGGCCTCGTTCAGAAGTTTTCTGTCAAGGAGCGCCCCAAGGTTAAAATGCAAGGCTGCGATCTGCGAAATGCTTTAAAAGTTGCCAAAGGCACTCAATCCAAACTTCCCATCTCGTTCCAGGTGACTGGAGGCGCCCCAGACACAGCCTACAAAGTGCAATGGAAATTTTCGCCCATCGATACACTCACCAACAACGGCGACCATGGCGACAAGAGCACTCTCGGCAGCCATACAGCTAAAAACTCAGGCGATAAGCCGAGCGTGTCTGCACCAGGTCTTTACACTCTGACCACCATCTCCAGTGGTTCCTGCGAAGGCGAGGTCGACGAGCCTTCCTCTTGTCTTCTTTTGAACCCCTTGGAACCACACCTCTCTGTTCGCGCTGAAGAGATCCCTGACAAGTGCGCTGGGAACGCCATTGGGTTGCGTGTCGACCTCGATCTTGTCGGCACACCACCATTTCTTGTTCGCTATGACATTATTGGCAGCGACCATCATGTCGAGACCAGGATGCATAGGGTGGATGGCCTGCGCTCTCAGTTGGAACTCATTCCCCAGGAAGCTAGTCGCCAGAAATATGTGTTCAAGTCGATCGACGATGCTGTATATCGCAACATTCCCCTTACTGGTCAGGACAAAACACTGGAGCAAGAAGTCAAACCTGCCGCCAACGCAGTCATTGCTTATGGCCCCAGCAGCATCAATACTTGCCTGGACTCAAACATTGAACTACCCATCGTCCTTGGTGGGGAACCGCCTTACAACCTTGAATGGGAAATTATCCACGATGGCAAGCGCAAAACAGAGCGCGTCAATGACCTCAATTCCGACCGATATACGATCAAGACGTCTAACTTCACTAAGGGTGGAGAGTACATTCTTGCACTTAGCAGCATTAAAGATCAGCGAGGGTGCCGATCTTTCCTCCAAGACCAAATGAAGATCAACGTGCGCCGCCAGCGACCGCGCGGTGCTTTTGGTTTGATTGAGCAGAAGCCGAGCGTAATGGCTGTTGAGGATACGACCCTTCGCCTACCCCTCCGACTTCAAGGAGATGGCCCGTGGACTGTTTCCTATAGAAACCTGAATGATTCTTTGGGAACAATCACCAAGAAGATTGATAGCCCCAATGGATTCCTGATGGTGAAAACCCAAGGCGTGTACGAGCTATTGGATATTCGAGATCGCAACTGCCCTGGTACTGTCGAACCTGCTGGGTCGACTTTCCAAGTAGGCTGGTTCCCTCGACCCGAAATTTCCATGATCGAAACGGACAGCGTCAGCATGACGGGTGGTGTGTTTGTGAAGCAGGAGGTTTGCGAAGGAGACATAGATGGCTTTGAAGTTAATCTGCAGGGCTCACCACCATACCACGTCGAGTACGAGGTTCAGCAGCGTTCTCCTCAAGGATCCAAGGCAATCAGCCGAAGAGATTTTGACGCCGCGCTCTCCAAGGCGGCCATTTCCATGGACACCAGCAAGGCTGGCGAATATACTTACAAGTTCCATGGGCTTGCTGACAACCTATACAATGTCGATCAAAAGTCCAAGACGCTTACCGTGCAGCAGCACGTCAATGCCAAGCCGGCCGCCACATTCGCCAAGCCCGGACAAAGCTTCAAGTTTTGCATGGAGGAGCAGGAATACGAGGATAATATTCCCATCACGCTCACTGGCATAGCGCCATTCTTTGTTGAACTTGAAATCAAGCACCAAGCGGGCTCGCCCGCCGAGACGTACCACTTGCCGTCGATCAGCTCCAACTCGTACGCGATGCAGATTCCTAGAAAACATTTGCGTCTGGGCTCGCAGCAGCTCCGCATCCGACGCGTGCGCGATTCCCGCGGCTGCCAGCAAAAGTATGAGGTGGGCGGCCCCTCGATCCAGATCCAGCTCTACGACGCGCCGTCCATCTACCCGCTCGAATCGCGGCAGGACTACTGCGTGGGCGAGCGCATCGCCTACACGCTCTCGGGCACGCCGCCCTTTGACATTTCCTACGATTTCAACGGCAAGTGGAACGCAAAGTCGCAGACGACGAGCTTCCGGCGCGTGGCCGAGAAGCCAGGCGACTTTGTCATTACGCGCATCGCGGACAAGGCGAGCGAGTGCCGCGCGGCGGTGAACCTGCCTAAGACGATTCACCCGCTGCCGAGCGTGCAAATCAGCCGTGGCCAGCAGTCGCGCGTTGACATCCACGAGGGCGGCGAGGTGGACATTTTATTCGAGTTTTGGGGCACCCCGCCCTTTGAGTTTACCTTTACGCGCAGCACCAATGCGAAAAAGGGCCACCGCAGTGTGCTCCTCGAGACGCGCCACGACATCTCCTACGAGCATTCCAAGGTTGTCAAGGCCTCACAGGAGGGGACGTATGAGGTCGTCGCCATCAAGGACAAGTTTTGCTCGTACTCGACGCAGCAGACTGACAAGCGTGACAAGAAGTAGCGCCGGTCTCGCTCGTGACTGTTTCGTTATAGATTTATGGCGAATCTTTGGTTTTTATTCTGGGAGGTCTTTTTTGATGGCCTGGTTGTTTATTTCGGTATGGGACAAAAACAGAAGATGAACAAGGCGGGTTGGTCCTTGATGTGTATATATGCATGCTGTTTTCTTATACCATGGCACGGCGTTGCTTGTCGCTTTTCTTTTTTTGAATACAGCTCAAACAGAAGAAGAAACAAAGCTGGGTTGATTAGCTTCTTTATACTTGTTCGAGTGGGTAGGTTTTGCTGGTAGATTATAAAAACGAATTGAGGTAATAAATTTTGTATTTGATATGTACACTTCTTCTCCAACGGTGATGAAACTTGTAGTACCCCAGGTCAAAATTCTTCTATATATACGCTCCTATGTAAATGCCGTTTTTTTTAAACCCTTATTCCACATTACTCATCACCCACCACCTCGATCGTCTTGATCAGCGCGCCGCCAATGCGCGCAATCTCCAGCAGCACCGCCTTGCGATTCACCTCGACCACATCCCCGCCGTCCTCGTCCTCGCCCTCCACAGCGTGAAAATTATACGGCAGGCCGGCGCGAAACTTGGACGGCTGCAGACGCGGGTTCCAGAGCGCTGCAATCGTCGCATCCTCCGCCGCGCCCGCCGGGAAGAAGACGAGCGTGTCCTCATAGACGCGCCGCAGCTCCTCGACGAGCACGTCGACGGGGCGCGCGCGCACAGGCAGCGGCGCCCGGCCCGGCACCGCATCAAGGTTGCGAAACTGCGATGCGCGCGGGGCGCCGGCGTCGCTGCCCGTGTCGCGCGCGACAGCCCGCAGCGCCTTGCTTGAGAGCCGCAGCAGCACGTCGTAGTCGTGGAGGGCGGGTGCAAAGAGTGCCGCGGCGTCGAGACCTGCGGCGCCCTGCTCGCGGACGAGCTTGTACGCGGCCTTGGCGAGGCGCGTCATGCGCGCGGCGACGAGCTTGCTCGGGCCGTCCTGGGTATACGCCAAGCCGGTGCGGTCGTACAGAGGGGCGACGACGAGCACCGTCTGGTTCATACCGGGGTCGCGCTGGCGGTAGTCCTGCAGTGCGGCGTGCACGGCGGCGCGGTCATCCAGCGTCATCTCGTCAGCCGTGTCGAGAATGAGCGGCTGCTCGCGCCAGTCCCAGCGCGCAAGTAGCGCAAGTGTGCGGAGGAAGCCAGTGGTCGCAGATGACGGCGTCGGCCAGGGGTACGGCTGCAGGAAGGCGTGCAGGACGAGGAGCTCGACGAGCTCCGGGCGGACGTGCCCGCGGCCGGTCAGTTTGTGCGCGGCGAACCAGTACTGAACGAGGCGAATGGTGGGGGAGAGCGCCGGCAGGCGCGTGCAGTAGGTGGCGATGGCCTGGGTGTGCAGGGGGAGAATGTTGAAGCGCCAGTGGAAGCGGCGGCCGGCGTGCGCGGCGGCCTCGCGCACGGCATGGTCGAGTGTCTTGTTGGTCATTTGGCGCGCGAGGAGCGTTTCCTCGAGGTCAGAGTGGATGCGCAGCCGGAAGGCGGCGCCGCTGTCGTAGACGACGTCGAGGTAGACCAGGTTGGTGATGCCAATCTCATGGTTCGCCCGGCCGAGGAACGTCTTGATGTTGTCGTGCGCAGTCGTGAGCCGGCGGTCGATATCCAGGAGGAACTCGATCTTGGCCTCTTGAATAGCCGTCAGATTCTCGGGCCACTTGCTCGACTGCTCAAAGTAGAGGTTGACGTCAATGGGCTCCACCGTGTCCTTGTGAAAGCCGACCAGGGGGGCCTCGATAGAGGCATAGCGCGCCAGCGCGGAGACGGGCGCCAGCTGGCGGATCTGCAACGGCAGGTTTTCGAGGCTGCGGATGTCGTGCTCAAATGTTTGGAACGAGCGCCGCGCAGCGTCGAACGCGCCCTTGTCGAGCGGGGACAGGGCAATAGTGCTGGCGAGGCTTGTTCCCGCGGCGTGCACGCCGTCCTGGGCGAGCTCCAGGTGGCGGTGCAGCGCGTACTGGGCGATTTCCTGGCAGATATCGAGAGGCAGCCTGCTCGTCCACTCGACGCATTCCAGGATGCTGCCGTCTTTGAAGCGTCGCAGCTCGGCCTTTTCGCCCCAAAACTGACGGAACCGCGCCGCGTCCTTGGGCTCCTCCGCCGGCGGGCCGTGCTCCATTTGTCTGCTCATGTGCCCGAGCTCAAAGATGACCCCAACGGTTGCAGTAGTGGGTGCAGGCGGGCAGGTACCAGCGAGCTTCCACTGCTTTCTCGGAGGAAGCTGCACGCAGACGAGTTGCGCGCGCTTGCCGAACGCCTTGCGCAGGACGCCATGCGCGTCGAGACCGAAATCAGCAATCTCGCTTCGACGATCAGGCGTTGCAGCATACTTGGCGAGATTGGGGTTCTTGATTTCGAGTACAGCATCAAACACCTGCAGCGGCACATTGACTTTTGTGATGAAAGTCGAGTCAAACTTATCAGCGGCCTCGTCGGCGAGAAGCTCCGTCGTAGACTTGGCGCACATCTGCAGGTAGTTTGCAGATCCAGGCGTCATCTTGAAGGCAAGATTGAGTTGCCGGATAGGGTCGAAGACGACGGGGCCAGCCTCCTTGATGGTGTCGGCAGCCGTTTTGGCAGAGTTGAACGCAAACGCCTTTTTGGTAAAATCTGTCGTGGACAGGAACTGAATCGCCGCCTTGAAAAGCTCTGTTGCGCTGAGAGATGTAGACAGCGCGGCTGCTCCATTTCTACCACCCGTCTTCAACAGAAGCGCAATCATGGCGGCCCATTCAAAGTGTCCGAAGCCACCACGTGAGATGGCGCTGCCGAATCCGCGTTGCTGAAGCCATATCCTACCAAGTATGCATGCTTCTCCAAATGCGGCGCATTCATTTTTAGCATTTGTAATGACACGGAGGTACTGGATAAAGGTTCTCTCAGCATTAAGGGTAGAGTTGTAAAATGGCGTGCTCGTCGGACTCTTCTTTGCATCTGTCGTCTCTGTTCGGATGTTACTCGAGCTTGGGGTCAGCTTTGACCAGGGAAACAAATCTTCTGGGGCACAAGGGATCAATCTGATGTGGAAGTCGTGCTTTGCGGGCTTCTTGGAGGGTTTGGCGACGTCCTGTTGCGGTAGGCGGAGAACGAGGATAGGGAGCAGAGGATTTTCGTGGAGGAGCTCGTAGTGGATATCGATTTCGTCGCCGAGATTAATTTTTATTCTCGACGCAATATATGCAATGTAGTATGCTCGTCGGTAAAAGTAGCGCATGTCGAGGTAATCCTTGTCTTGGAAGAGGGTCTTGGGCATCTGAACAACCATGTCGATTCCTAGGCGCTCTTGCGATTTGGCCATAGTCCTGCCGACGAAGCTGCCAACAACGTTGCATTGCGCTGGTGGTAAAAATGCCACTTTGTAATTGGATTCTTTGGTGGGCTTCGGCTCTGGGTAGGGAATGGTAACGCGATGCTTCTTTTCGAACTTGGTAGAGGCCTCATGGATCTAGCAGGCGTCAGTAAGTTGTAGCTGCATCTTTTAAGGTTTCGACGAACAGGAATAGAATCATGGGGCTCTATAGAGTCGATGATGCTTTTTATTTTGTTCAATTGACTGTCGAGGCCGTTGAAAGCAGTGTCGTAGTCCAGCTTGGTCTCTTTCAGCAGCTCATCGGTCTTTAAGACAAATGTGCTTGCGGCGGACACTCGAGTCGCATCGCGGGACGCGAAGTTAATCAAGCCTTTGTGACGAATACCCTGACCGCCATGGTCGAGCTTACGGCGCTTAGATCCGGACTCCATGGTGTCGCGACAGATTGTAGTGTTGAGGCTTGTCGTCGTCGCCGCAACTTTTTTGTCGCCCAGATTTTTTTTGGCGGCCGGAGCAGGTGCAGCGGGGCGATAAGCTGATAAGAGATGTGGCGGCAGCAATGCTTGTTAGTGAAGTTGAGAACTGCGAGGGTTCAAAAGAGACTTGATTATTAGTTCTCTTTCTTATGGTAAAAATGAAAGCCGTAATTGCTGAACAGATTTTCATAGTAGGTAACGATATACCCTCATGTCCTATCACTACTACCACAGGTAGCGGGAGCGGTCAGCACGAAGGTCTGTTGAAGCCTTGTAACAGACAAGAGACTGGAATGAAGGTAAAAGACAAATACTCTCATTTACTTTATCACATACTTGTTACTCATTTGAGATTACTTCTCTGCCTACCTCGTTTGTAGTGATATTTATTGAACTCGTCACTGTCGAAAGATAGCTTCACCTGACCCACTCCTTTGGTGCCCCGTTAAATTTCTGAGATCACCAGTCGACCACCACCCTCCCATTTGCGACACACACGACAGTACAACATGGATACAACGCTCTTGATCGGGGATATCGTGGAGAGAGATATCGCAGAAACCAAAAAGCCTAGTTTCCCAAATGCGCCGCCCACAGAAACCGGGTTCCCGCAGCACAAAAAGCGATGGACGGGTTCTGCTTTCAAGCAACAACGTGCCAAGGCAGCTGCCGCCTCAGGGATAGATGCTTCAACTCAAGATAATGCGAAGCGGAATTTGAAAAATACAGTACAAGAAGACCGCAAAAACTTTGAAGAGGTCGAGAAGAAGCGAATAGACCAAGAAAACAGGGCAAGACTGGACGACATGACCCCGCAAGAGATTGCGCAGGCGCAGGAGGATCTCATGAATGGGCTGAATCCTGCTCTGGTTCAACGACTCTTGCAGCGTGCACGAATTGATGAGCCTACGGGTCCATCTCCCTTTGACCCGCCTCCTTCAGGGGGACCGGTAGAAGAGACGCCGGCACGGACAGAGGCGGTGTCCGAAGCCGCAGGGCAAGAGCAGAAACCATGGACGGCAAAAAAGGTATCCTTCCAGGACATGCCAGAAGACTTTGACGAAGACCGAGAGCCTGCACAGCTTCCAGATGACTTGAAGGCGGCAACAGACCTGCGCAACGAATCGACTCATTTTCCAGCGCCTCCCAAGGTAGCTGACCTCGACCCGTCCGATCCAGACTTTCTCGAGAATTTGCACAAGAAATATTTCCCCGACCTACCAGCCGACCCAAGCAAGCTGGCGTGGATGGCGCCGGTGCCGACCGAGGACAGCGTAGCAGACAAGGAGTCGTCCTATTATCCGCATCCGGAGATTCCCGTCGCCGCGCTTCGTTTCGACTTTCGCGGGCGGTTCCTATCCCCCCGCGTCAGCCGGTTAGTCCCGTCGTCCAAGGGTCTGCACCACCACGGCGAGGCGCCCGAGGCGGCGGGCTACACAGTCAGCGAGCTGGCCCGGCTGGCGCGAAGCGCGGTGGCGGCGCAGAGATGCATGGCCTTTCAGACGCTGGGGCGCATCCTGTTCCGCCTGGGCAATGGGGAGTGGGGCAAGGGCATCTATGATCCCATCGCCATGGGCGTCTGGAAGGCGGCCAAGGACGGCCGGGTACTGGACACGCTGAACGAGGCAGCCATGGTAGAGGGTGGTCACCGCGGCAGCAGGGCCTATGCCATGGAGGCTCTGTGGCTGTTTGAAAAGGGCGGCTGGCGAGAGAAGGTGCAAGGACGATGAGTGGGCATGAATGAGCATGGGGTGGCGGGACACTGGCGTTTGGGGTGTTTTAAATACATGATCGCACAGGGAAAGGCAATTGCATGATGACGAGTGTTTTATTTACGAGGCAGTTCTTAGCTAAATTTTGATAATGATTGCCATTTGAGAGAAGCAGTTGCTGGTCACGGTTTGACCTAAAAGTATTATCGTTGGTGATGGCTTGAGATGTTGGTTCATGGGGTCCCGATTGGCCCAGCTTGTAGGTACATTAGTACTAAGGCACCCACCTACCTGGACTTGGTGGATTTCCAGCCGGCTCAAGGAAGCCTCTGTGACTGTTCGCTAACCTAAGGTACCTACATTCGTACGTACTATAATAAGCCGTCATGACAAGCGCCAGTTCCTCTTAGCAATACAGGCAGAGTCTTGGACTAGTCTTATTCGGAACAACGCCGAAGAAAAAAAATTGAAAACCCCCGTGAAACTTTATTCACTTGCCTCCTCCCTCTTGCTGTCATATTTATTTAGTTACAAGGTACGGAGCGCGGCTGACCTGTCAGGAATACCCAAACTACCTCTCCTAGGTACCTAGTTACAGCGCTCTTTCTAGGCCCAACTTGAACCAAGACAGCACAGTGGTGGGGCGAGAAAGCACTGCCGACCAGTCTTGTTCAAGCGACCAAAACAAATTGCCCACAGTTTTTTTTTTCTGCAAACCATTTGCCATCCTGGCCATGTTACGAGGTACGAGTCGTCTGCTACATCCCCATTCCCTTTTTTCCCTTCTTCACCCCACAGCATCACGGCATCGCCGCCGACCGACAATTTCTCCCTACGCTGCCTGGGTGCTTGCCAATTTCTCCTGCCCACCTCTTCTCCCTTTGAGCTTGTGCATCTGTTCTCTCTCGTGTCCCCCTCGAGCACGCTTATACCGCCAGAGACTGCATCGCCTTTGTTGCCTTCTGTGTTCCCCACCGCCAAATCGTTGCCCAACGACGACGGCCCGTGGCTAGATCTGGCATTGTCCTCGTCTCCCACCCCGTCATCCACCTGCTTTCCGAATCCTATAAGCGACGGATCCGAGTCCCCTCGATATACACACATCCTGCCTCTGCGCCAATCACCTCTTGTGACACCGCACCGCACCGCCTTGCCACTCCACCGCGCAACGCCCCTGCAGCATCACGCGCCAGAACATTTGCACCCCGCCACCCAGCTCCCTCTTCCTGCAATACGCTGAGATCCTGTGACTTTGACTAGCCATGGCTTCTCCGTTGCAGTTTGCCTACCGCACCCTCAAGCACATTGGTGTCTTTGACGCCGCTCCAGCCTACGAACCCCTCCCTGGCTTCACCAAGCCCGAGGGTAACCTTCGCTGCTGTGCATACTCACCATGTGGTCGCTACTTTGGATGGGCCTCACCCGAGGCCGTCAGCGTCATTGACGCCTCCAACGGCGCCGCCATTCTCACTCTCCCCATGACCAGCGTCTACGAGCTCGGCTTCTCGCCTCAAGGTACCTTTGTCATCACGTGGGAGCGTCCTGCCAAGGATGACAATGGCGACGCCACCAAAAACTTGAAGATCTGGCGCACAGTCGAAGATGGTGTTGCTGCCGCTGATAAGCAGCCCATTGGCCGCTTCGTCCAGAAGCAGCAGGGAGGTTGGAACCTCCAGTACACGGCCGACGAAAAGTACTGCGCACGCCTCGTCACCAACGAGGTGCAATTCTATGAGACTCACGATCTCATCACTGTCTGGAACAAGCTTCGCGTCGAGGGAGTCGCTAATTTCGCTCTCGCTCCCGGAAGCAAGAACCACGCTGTCGCAGTCTTTATCCCTGAGCGCAAGGTAAGCGTCTTGTACTTGGCCCTCTTCTTCTAGAAGCTAACATACTTGTAGGGCCAACCCGCCTCCGTTCGCGTTTTCAATGTCCCAGAGTTCAACGCCCCCATTTCTCAAAAGACATTTTTCAAGGGCGACAAGGTCCAGCTCAAGTGGAACAAGCGCGGCTCCAGCATCCTCGTGCTGGCGCAGACCGATGTTGACCGCTCCGGCAAGAGCTACTACGGCGAGACGACGCTCTATCTCTTGAGCACGAACGGTGCGTTTGACGCTCGCGTCTCGCTTGATAAAGAGGGGCCCATCCACGATGTCTCCTGGTCGCCCAACTCTCGTGAGTTCGGTGTCGTCTACGGGTACATGCCTGCCAAGGCCACCATCTTCAACGATCGAGCCGTCGCTACCCACTCTTTCCCTCTAAGCCCTCGTAACACAATCACGTTCTCTCCCACCGGTCGTTTCGTCCTTGTGGCTGGCTTTGGAAACCTTGCTGGTCAGATTGACGTCTACGATCTTGAAAAGGACTACCGAAAGGTGACCACCATTGAGAGCGGCAACCCCAGCGTTTGCGAGTGGAGCCCCGACAACCGGTATATCATGACTGCCACGACGTCACCGCGACTTCGTGTTGACAATGGTGTCAAGCTGTGGCACGTCGCAGGCACGCTCATGTACAGCGAAGATATGGTTGAACTGTACAATGTTGTCTGGAGGCCGCAGGCACCCGAGGCCGCCGCGCCAGGAGATCCTCTCACGACTGTGCCCCCTCCCCATGCTTCCGCGGCCACGTACCTTGGCACCGTCAAGACGCCGAGCAAGCCTGCTGGTGCTTACCGCCCCCCTGGTGCGCGCGGCCTGGCTACTCCGTTGCATTTCAAGCGTGAAGACGAGGGTGGGGCGGCTCATGTTGTGAGCAATGGCACTCAAAATGTCGGGCCCAACGGTTTTGGTCGTGCTCGCCGCGCCGTCCCCGGCGCGGAGCCTGCCGAGTCTGGTTCTGCTCCTGCGCGTGGGGTCCCTGGAGCTGAGCCGGCTGAAAACGACGCCGGCAAGAAGGGCAAGAAGAAGAGAAGCAAGAGGAACAATACTAACCAGGGCGATGGCAAACTCGAGGCGGAGCCAAACGGCGGCGCTAGTCTCGCCCCTCCTCAGCCAGGAAAGGACGGCCGCAGTCCTGAGAGACGTGGTGGTGCTGGTGCGGGTGCTGGCGCCAATGACCGCAATTTCCGCAGCCGCTCCAGACACAATGGCGACAATCGCAGCCGCAGCAACACCCACCAGGGACAGCGCAACGGCGGCAATGCCGCTCAGCAGACTCCCGCCCAGGATGCTGGCGCCGCCGATTCTAACCCTCATGCTAAGAAGATCCGCAGTCTGCAGAAAAAGGTCCGCGCCATTGAGGATTTGGAGATGCGGCTAGCGGGCGGCGAGAAGCTCGAGGATACGCAAATGAAGAAGATCAACACCAAATCGGCTGTGATCAAGGAGCTGCAGGGCCTGGGTGACGAGCCCTAGACGAATTGTTGCCAAAGACGAGAGTCGTTCCAGATGTTTGCCGTTTTGCGCATGTCACGCGGCGCTTTGTCGTTGCTCTGCGCATCCAGGGAACGACTTGTCTTGGATATAGATGTGGAAAAAGATAAAAAGTTATGATCAGTGTCGTACTAATTGTTGACGGAACAAGCGGCTACTGCACATGGGTGGAAGCCTCTACTTAGATTATGACTGCGGAACGGGTAGCATAGACTCGCTGGGAATGCGAGTATAGGGGATCGGATATTACCACATGAATAATAACCTACACGTTGTATTTTGGGTGTGGTTTCATTGTTGGACGCGAGATGTGCGTTTCACTGTCTGCCGAGGTGACTTGCGTAGATGGGTTGCATCAGACCTCTCATCCACCATGCAGGCATATCAATCCCGTCCCTGTCGGCCGCATCGCAGTTCCGACCATGATCCGATGTAGAAGATGGGCAAGAAGCGGTAAGCAAATCCGAGCCTCGTCAGAACGCGCAAACTTTCTAACACGTACGAAGGCACACGAGCCACCTCCGGAGCCGACAAAAAGTGGGTGATTTTGCCGAGTCCGGGCGGCCTGAGTCCGTGTGACGCCCGGCCTCGCTTCAGCCCTGCCAGGCGTGCGATTGCTCTCGAGTCAATCATGTACTATATATACCAATTTCTACCGTCGCTCTCTATGAATTTGTACCTCGCCTTTTTTGGTTTTGTTTTCTTCTCAAGTCCTCTGGTAATAAGAAAATCAAGCCTTCCTTCAACATGAAAACCGACATCGAAGCTCCGTCCGCCCCGCCACCACCACCCGACAACATCGTCCTCCCTACTACGGAGGAAGACGACGACTTCCCGGACGGCGGCCTCGACGCCTGGCTCGTCGTTGCCGGCGGCGCCTCCGTCTTCTTCTGCTGCCTCGGCTTCGGCAACTCGTTTGGCACGTTTGAGGCGTACTACCTCGCGCACCAGCTCAGCGGATACACGCCCGACGCCGTCGCCTGGATCGGGTCCGTCTCTGCGTTTCTGCCGTTCGCTACGGGTGTTCTTGGCGGGCCCTTGTTTGATCGATACGGTTCCAAGGTGAAAAAAATATCCCTTTTTCTCTTTGCCTTCTTCGTCCTGTGCTGACGTTTTGTCGCGAAAGGTGGTCCGGCCGGGCGCCGCGCTGTACGTGCTCGCCATGATGATGCTCAGCCTGTGCAGGACGTACTGGCAAATCATGCTCGTGCAGGGCGTACTCATGGGCGTTGCCATGGCGTTCCTCCAGTTCCCGGCCTTTGCCGCCGCCGCGCACTACTTTCGGCGCCGCCGCGCCGCCGCGCTCGGCATCATGGTGGCCGGCTCCTCGCTCGGCGGCGTCGTCATGCCCATCCTGCTCTCGCGGATGCTCAACAGCTCGTCGCTCGGCCTCGGATGGACCGTGCGCGTCGTCGGCTTCCTCATCCTCCCTTTCCTCCTCTTTGCGTGCTTGACCGTCAAGCCGCGGCTGGCGCCGCGCCGAGACGGCCGCTTCTTCAAGATGGGCGTCTACCGCGACGGCCGCTTCGTCCTGTTCTGCGCCGCCTTCTTCTTCATCCTCTTCGGCATGTTGACGCCCATCTTCTACCTCCCCACGTACGCCCTCCGCCGGGGCATGCGCCCCACGCTCGCCGGGTACCTGCCGGCCGTGCTCAACGCGGCTTCCACCCTGGGCCGGGTCATCCCGGGCGTGCTGGCCGATCGGTACGGGCCGCTGAACATTTTCGGGCTCGGGGCCATCGCCACGGGCGTCGTCGTCTTTTGCTTCAACGAGGCCACGTCCAACGCCGGGATCGTCGTCTACGCCGCCGTGTTTGGCTTCGTGTCGGGCACCATTATTTCGGGGGCGTCGGCGGCCATTTCGCTGTTTGCGCGGGACGCCCGGGATGTGGGCACGTACATGGGCATGGGCATGTCGCTGGCGTCGTTTGGCGTGCTGGTCGGGCCGCCAGTCAATGGCGCGTTCGTCAAGGCGTTTGGCGGCTTCTGGGAGGTGTCGGCGTTTAGCGGCGCCATGTGCCTGTTTGGCGGCATCCTCGCGTTTGTGGTCAAGGCCATGATGCCTCAGGGTATCTTTGGGCGAACTTGACTCAATTCGCAGCGTGTGTTATACAGTAGGTCGATCGTTTCTTCATTGGAGTAGATGATTGTACTAAAGCCGTGCATCACATTCGATTCACGCCGTTGTACATTAGAGCGAAGTTTTTTTTATTGGAGAAACAATTGTAATAGATTTGGACTAGACTCAATTCAGACCGTTTTCCTGGCCATTAGAGGCTTCTCCATGCCTTCAGCTCATCCTCGGAAATATATCGCAAGCTGTTAACCTCGGCCGTCTTTCCCTGGACCGCCGCCGCCGTCACCTTGGCCGCCGTCTTAAGGGCACCGTACTGCGCCACATTATGCGTAATCGTCTCGGCCCGGAGCTTGATGAGGCCGATGCGGGGGTCATTTTCTGAGCCGTCGTGAACGCCGTCACCAAGGTCGCCAAGCCAGGCTTTGAGGATGGGGCTGTAGTACTTCTTGACCTCGTCCCGCTCCGTGACGACGGCGGCCTTGCCGGCGACCGAAGCCCAGGAGCCCTTGGCGTCTAGAAACGCCACGTTGACGTTGGGGTCGCCCGTCACGTCGTCCGTCTTGCCCGACTCGGTGTTGATCTGGAAGACAAGGTCGATGCCGTTGCTCTCGGTGCCGGCGAGGGCCATGCTGCGCGAAACAAGCCGGCTGGAGCCCGACTGGTGGGTCGTCAGCATGCCGTACTTGCTGGCCGTGACGAATTCAGTAAAGTCCTTCATCTTTTGCGGGCCGTCGACTTTGGTGTCGGCGTTGGCCTTGGTGTAGGGGTCGGCGGGCGCATTGCCGGTGGATGTGTTGGAAAAGGACATGATTTTTGGTATATTTGAAGGTTTATTTGATATAAAAGGGTAGATGAGAAAAGAAAAGGCGTTGGAGTAAGTGTACATGTTGTTCAACGGTCTTTTATAAGTGCTTTGGTGTGTGATGAGTGATCCGTGACGTAATGTAGACGTTGATGATGTAGACGACTCAAGCGAATGGCAGTATCGGGATTCTTTCGCAGATCGACTGCCGCAGAGGAGACTAAATAAGTGTATGCGCCTTATTTTTTCTAATTCTTTTTATCCCTTCTCCATGCAGCCGAGATGGTACGTGAGTCGACCTTGCCGGCTATTTCCTGCCAAGATATTCATCGGCTGCGGCCCGCCAAGCACAGCTTAATTCAAGTGTAAATTACTTTACATATGCATGACACTTTAATCACTGGTCATTCAGCTTGATCCCTTGACCCCTAAACATGCGGCATTGATGATGACGCAATCTAGCGATTGCACCAGAGCTCGCGTTGTTTGGCAAAACAATGTTGAACAACCAGTCAGTTGGTGCATTTTATCATTGTTGAGCCTTGACGAATTCACACCTCGTCCTGTGATATACCTTCCTTCCAGAAGCCCCCACATGCATGTCAAAGCCTTCTCAATATGAAATAAGTTGCCCCCGTTTCAACCAATGACAAAGAGGCGTGTTGACCGAGTGGCCCAAGGTGCATGACTAGAAGAAGCAAGAGATCATGTGGGTTCGCCCGCGTAGGTTCGAATCCTGCACACGTCGTCGGGATTACCTTTTTGCTCTGATGGTGTGTCTTTGGGGAGTTTTCGAATTTTTGCATAAGGATATCGAAATTTGCAGATGGAAATTGCTTATTAACGGTGTTGTTGCGGGTCAGTGGGGGTGCTCTTGGCCAATCAGAGCTAGGGAGCTGAAGGGGTCAAGTTCCCCCAAGGGGTATATATACATGACCACTAGGGCCTTGAAAAAATACAAAATACATGATTGCTCTTGAGGCTCTCCTTTTTTTCTGGTTTGCGGAGGATTGAGCTACTTTCCTCTTCATGGGTGACGCGAGGCATGCTGGGCAGCAACAGGCGGGACAGTAACTAGGTTGTAGGTACATTTGTGGCTGCGCGGCAATTTCCTGTCTTGTGAGCAAGAATTACGAAACGCGGGCTCATTTTATTTCAGCGCAACGATATATGCCGACGGGGTGAGGCTTGTTGATGTGTGCAGCCATTTGGACGGCGTAGTGTCGGCAGCCAATTACGCACATTGAGCAGCCAGTGTGGTGTCTATTTATATGTAGTGGGGTCGGGCAGAGCGTGGGAATCACGTGAATCCTTTCAGCTCTCTAGTTACCAGGGCACAGGGAGGATATAGTATATAGTGAACCGTGGTCGCGGTATTCGGATGGGGTGCGCGATTTTAGTCTCACGTTGTGAATAAATTGGCCTTGGCTATTGTAGCCGTTGACTTGCGACCTAGTATCAATGCTGCACGTTGATGGCGTCTTTTACCTGCTTGCTCGACCTATAACGGTAACTGCTCGAGGAACAAAGCCCGAGAAACACAAAGAAAAAAACCAGAGAGCAACTAAATACAGCAGAGGGCGCAAGCAGCCAAGAGCATAAAGCATGCATCCGCGTCATACGTGTGAAACGAGGCCGTCGAAAATAGAAGCAGGCTGCAGGGTAAGCAACGGCCGTGGCAGAGCTAACGGCTGCAAGGAACTAGGTAGTCAGTAGTCAGAAGCAGGCTGCCGAGAGCACAGAAGCGTGGTCCGGGCTTTGAAAGAAGAAAAAGAAAAAGTCAACGGTGAAGAGCAAACAAATAAAAAGGCGAGTAGAATTCCTAGTTTGCATCCCGGTGTGCTGTAAATGGCATCAGTCAAGGGCGCAGACAAAGAGTACTGAGCTCTGTTCCGAGGATGCGACGCGGTGCACCGCCACACCTGCATTAGCGTCGATCCGTTTCGCGGGCGAGATTTCACACGGGACGGGCTGGGCGGGGAGGGGAGGTTTAGGCAGACAGGGGTGTGGCTTGTGATTGTTTCACTGGCGACTGTGACGTTTGATGATGGGGCGGATGATTTTTTCTCCTTGTCTGAGTAACTTGTCGTGTGTAGGTGCAAGCGATGGATTCCTTTGCACTTGTTGTCGACAGGCGTTGGTTGGCAATGAGGGGGACTAGAGGCGGCAAACGAAAATGAGCGGACCGAGACTACCTGTGACTAGGTAGTTACTCCGGACAGGCAGAAACGGGTAGCGAGCATGACAGGCGCAAAAAAGAAATACAACATCAAAAAACGGCTAGACATGATACGGGACGGTGGCACAGGAAAAAGCACAAATTGACAGAGCGCTTTGATGGACTTGGCAGGAGTCGGGTAGTGTGTGACTGGAAGAATGCCGACGGGAAGAAGGCCTGTCGGGTTAGTGCGGCATACCCTTCCTTCAGTTGAGGCATGCTGGTGATTGAAAGTGTTTTGCAGTGTGCGCATTTTCTTCTTTGCTCCATCATGTTCCGAAACGGTGCAGAGTGCAGTGTGTACCGTCCGTTTGTCAGTCTACAAGTGTCGGCACTGGCCACAACTGGGAGAAATCTGGCAAAGAGGCGCTTATCTGGGGAGTGATAATAACGGGGTACCCACCTGTGCATGCGGGTGGTTGGCAGGTTGGGGGTGTTCGTCTGGGCGGGAACGGGTCTGGGTGTACATACATGAGGGAATGTGTCAAGAGATGTACTATCTATACGCAAGAGTGTAGAGATAAAAAAGAAATGCCACTAGAATACAATGCACCCTGCTTTATTCTCTCGGGGTTTGTTTATTTACTTAACCTCCCCCCTCTCCTCTTTTTTTTGTCTCTCCTTCTCTTTTCAACACGTGGCGGTCGGGTTCTACACCCACCGCTGCTAACGACACCCCATCCAAGTCGGTCATCGGTTGTGTTCCCCGCTGAAAAGCCCCAAGGGCCAGCGCCGGCGGCGGCCAAAAAGAAATGCCAGATTTGCAGAAGGCTATTTTGCTACGTCCTTGCCCTGGGCCCCGGGTGGGTGGGGCGCTCCATCCAATCCCACGCTTGCTTGGCTTTGTGTGTCCCCCCCGTGGCTTTTGGCTCTTTTTACTCACAGTATCCGTTGCATGTCTCGTCTCTGCCGTCTTCAACAGTCGGCCTCTACAAAAAATCTAGTCGATTTCGTAATTGGAATACACACCCAGGCCACCTGACACTGCGCGCAATTAGCACATCCTCCTCTAGTTACTTTTCTTATACCTGCCTCCCCCCTAGGACCGACCCTGCTGCATCGCCAGCTGGTACCTGGCCCGCCACCCGCCCGCCCTGCTGGTTTCCCAACGTTGCATCTTGCCGCCTTTGTATATCTCATCTTGTCTGTGGCGGGTCTATTCCTTTGGTGTTTGTATCTTTTTTGTATTTTCCTTTTCCTGTCTAAACAGTTGCCTCGTCTCCATCGCCGGCCCCCCTCCTCTCAATCCGCCATAGTTAGCATCCCATCCCATTCTCCCGCACCAACGATTCCCAACTCTTCCACTGGCCCTTATTCCCTCTTTCCCTTTTGCCTGGCGCGCCACGGCCACCCCCGTATATTATTATCAACTAGCAATTATCCTGCCAGCAATTGTAACCATCCCCAAGCCCGTAGAGCCCAGTAAAAAAAAATTACCACTTGCCCCATCTCGTCCGTCCGCTTTCCTCGCCATTCCCCCCTCCGTTCCATTTCCGCCCCCTTTCTTCCTTCTCTACTCCTACACATCGGCCACATCACAGCAAAAAAAACACCACAAATCACCGCAATCGACATTTCCATTTCCATCGATTTCGATTCGTCGCCGCATCTGATTCGTCATTTGGAGCGCTTTTTCTTGTGCTTGCACTCGTGCTCTATATTTTCCTCGTCTCCTTTTCACGCCATCAGCGCGTCTCACTCTCTTTTTCGCGTCTGCGTTTTGCCGGTCGCTCTGGCGTTGGCGCCTGCCGCTGCTGGTCAAGTGAGGCTATTCGCAAGCACGACTGTTACGGAGGACCCACCTTCTCCAGGTGTCCTTATTTGCCGACCAATCACGGATCGCCGCCCACAGCGACGCAACCCACTGCCAACCCTGCTGCAGCCAATACGGGCCATCGTTCCCTGAAGCCGAGCCGCATCTCGACACGGCTAGCTGCCGTTCCTTGAGCCTCTCCTTGAAGTTGTCCTTGGTTGCCAGTTTTACTATATCCCATGTGTCATTGATATATACCGCATACCCTTTCCACTCTTGCCCTCACTCTTTTCTTCCCTCGCACCGTTGGTGGCTGCTCGCTCCCATCGTTCGCACGACCTCGTGCGACCGCCACTCATCAGCTTACTACCATCCACCCCTGCCGACTCCTACACACACACACGCAACACTCGACACAATGGACGAAATCGTCGTTAGCAACGACCAACGTCGTACCCAGCAGACCACATTCCAACAGTACCAGCCGCCAGGCTCAGCACCTGCCGATGAGTCCCCGACGCCCTCGCGAACGGCTTCCGTCATTGTCAACGGCAAGCTCCAAGAGAAAAAGTACGATTATATTGATGGACAATGGGTGCAGCTTACTGCTGCTGGTGTTCCACGCAAGAAACCTGGTCGCAAGCCCGGCACCATTGTTAAGCCCAAGACGGATGCCGAAGTGAAGTCCCGCCGGCCACGGAAACCCCGCGACCCCGATGCGCCTTCCCTCCAGCGCAAGCGCAAGGTTGCTCTCACCGACACGGAGCAGGACGACTCCGACGTATCACGAGCCCACGGTCACGCAGGCGCTTCGCCAAACTCCACTTCCCACAGCTTCCTGCAAACATCCCCCACGCAAGCTCGCTCTTCGCCCAAGATGCCCAAGCGCGACGGCTTCCCCAGCTCCATGCATAGCATCCTCAACGACGATCCGCCTCCTGCGGCTTCTGTACCTGTCCGCACCAGCGGCCAGAGCTATGACCCCATTCGCGGCATCTCGGGACCTGCGCGTGATGCGCCCTCGCATAATCCATACTCGCCCGCTTCGGGCTCTCCCAGGGCCCCTACTCATGCCAACAAATCTCCCTCCATAGCCAGTCTGCTGGAGCCGGCCGCGCCCACAATGTCGCCTTCCAACTCACAAAACGGCTACCCTGTGTCCCGCCTACAGAACGAGAGACCCTTGCCGGCGTCCCCCTCGAGTCATCCCCCGCGGCCCTTTGCCGCTCGCCCTACCCCTGAAAAGTCACAAACACTGGATACTCTTCGGCCGGTTGTCAACCCTTCAAATTTCACCACGATTGCCAATGGCCCCGTTAGAAAAGTCTCGCCCAAGCACACTGGCGTATCGACACCTAGAACTGACGTGGATGACTTGGGAACCGACGGCGAAGGCCGCTCCATCCTCGACTTTGGCAAAGCGAAGCCAGGTGAGGAAGCTGACGTGCCTACTATTGTGCTGAGCATCAACCTTGCCAACGGTGAGACGAACAAATATGTCAACTTTTTGCGGCTCGCAGAGGACCGCTACGGCTGGGACGCCCTGCATCCCCGTCTGGCAGCGAACCGAGACCGCAAAGCGCGCATCGCGGCCGCTGCAGCAAACCTGGAAAAGATCGAGTCGGGAAGAGAATCTGGCGACGAAATGTCCGTGGACCTGTCCGACGGCGAGGGTAGCAACCCCGAGGTCGCTGGCGCCAGCGGTACCGACAACCAACCCAAGCCGACTAAGAAGAAGCGCAACTTTAAGGAGGACCAGTACGACGTCGACGACGAATTTGTGGACGATTCGGAGCTTCTCTGGGAAGCGCAGGCCGCCGCCAGCCGTGACGGCTTCTTTGTCTATTCTGGGCCGCTGGTCCCCGAGGTCGAAAAGCCTCCCGCCGGGTATGCTTCTTCTTTTCCCCATCCTCTTGAACGAATCTATGCTAACTATACTCACAGCAGCGAAGGTCCCGTTCGTCGTGGTCGCGGTGGCGGTCGCGGCAGCCGTGGCGGACGTGGAGGCATGACGCGCGGCTCTGGCACTGGTCGGGGTGGCGGTCCGGGCTCTCGCGGCGGCATCGTGCGCAAGCCACGCATCACAAAGGCCGAGAGACTGCTGCGCGAAAAAGAAAAGGCGGACCGCGAATCCATGGCCCAAATCCCCAAGACGCCGACGAGCAACTACGTCGTACCCAACCCGCTCCCGATCCAGCTTGGCGTGTGAGCATGCACTTGTACTATTTCCATTTTGCGACGAATCTTGTTTTTGTCTTGATCCTCTTTGTGGGCTCACCATATTTGAGAGCGAGAAGGAGGAACGGCGTTTGGGTGTATGACATTTAGACCGCCGCGTTGTCTACGGTCATGGAGTTTTTTTATTTCTTGTATTGCCTTTCTTTTGAGTGTCTTTTTGTCCATGTTCCTTGCTCAAGAATGGCGCTCTCATTTTGCCACGGCTGTTTTTTTTTTTCCTCTGATTTCGCCTCATTTCTGTTGATAGGTATAACCTGTCGGTTTTTTGCTGGGTTGTTTGCTTGCCACATTGTAGGGGAATTGCATGAAACGAGAGGCCTAGCGGTGGCTCTGATGTAGCGGGCTCGAGATGACTCTGTTATCATAATACAACTCTTTAATTTCTACCTTGCTTAACTTTTGTACGTGAATCGTAATCAATGTGATTGAATCGCTCCTCTACGTTGTCTTCCTTTTCAACGGTAGCTACTCACGTTTTCTTGTCCATCAGAACCACATGACAGAAAATTATCTAAAAAACAACAACAAGACAACACAGTAACCCCCCTTGCAACGCTTCACGCAATGCTAAACTCGGCAATCTCGCCCATCTCCGCCTTTTGCTCCCCCGCCACTTTGTACGCCGCCCGCCAGCGCAGTTTGACCGAGCTGACCCTGTGCGCGCCTCCGGCAGCGGCGTGCACGGCAACGTGCTGGGTAACGCCCCTGCTCTGCTTGGGCGCGAGGTCGCGACCCGTCTGCGGCTTGAGTTTGAGTTCGTAGCCCTGCCAAGGTCTCTCTGTCAGCGATTCCACTCGTCTTCTTTCTTGTCCTGGGGGTTGGGAGGAGGGGGGAAGTGTGCATCATTACCTTGGTCACGGCGAGCTGAAAGTGCAGCTCAGAAACAGGCTGCGCTGTATTATTGGAAAACGAAAACAGCATATCAATGGCCGGCGACGACGCCGTGGCGCGATTCGCCAGAAACTCGGCGCGCACGCTCCCGTCTGCAATGACGCTCTTGTGCTCGCGCGGTGGTTGCTGCGAGGACGCCGCTTCGGGCAAGGCCGAGGAAAAGCTCCACTCGTCGTCTTCGGCGGCAGGTTGCTTGCCGGCGGTGCTCGACTGCGACATGAACGCGGCAAAGGGATCCGCAGGAGGAGGAGGGGGGGCGACGGCGGACGCGGTCGGGTTGGGCGTGGTGGACTTTGACGCGGATGCCGATGCAAAGGACATGAATTGGCTGCTGCTGCTGCCCGAAGCGGCCATGTGGCTAGTGTTGTTATTGTTGTTGCTGGCGGTGCTGTTGTCTGTCAGGGAAGAGAGTAGCGCGGGGCCGGGGATATCTGTAACTTTAGTTAGTTTGTTCCGTCTTGTACCGCGCCTCATTTGATATGCGTACTTTGGTTGGCGCCGAATCCGAGCGCGATGCTTCCGCCCTGGCCAAAGCTACCGCCGGAGCCGCCGCCAATATCCAGCCCCAAGAGGTCATTCTCAATACCCTGCGTGCTTCCCGCCTGCGACGCGCCGCCGCCGCCACCATTGGCATCAGCCGCATCAGCATCAAAGTCAATCAGCGACAGCTCGCCCGCGGCACCACTCCCAGAACCAGCCACCGTCGCCGTCTGCGACGGCGTGGGCCCGCCAGCAGCCACCTTGGCAGCGCCCTCGAGGTCGCCCTTCTTCATGAGCTTGTAGCGCTCGACGGTGCGGTGTATGCTGTCGTTGATGTCAAACAACTTGGCGACGGCCTCGTGGTCGTCCGACTCCTCCTCGCACATTTTCTGAATCTTGGGCTGCGCGCTCTGCAACGACGACGCGAGCTCGGCAAAGACGTCGCCGTCTGTCATGGTATCGCCCGGGCGAAAGGCCTCAAGACGCTCCTCTAGTAGCCGCGCCTTGGCCTGGATCTTGCCCACCTCCTCGGCCGCCTTGGCGCGGTAGTCCGTCTTGGACCGCGTGTCGTAGCCGGCCATGACCTTCATCAGGCGGTTGGCCTCTTGCAGGTCCGCGGGCGTCCCGCGGCGGATGAGCTCCTGCAGCTTAGCCGACTGCGCCTCGCGTTCCTCTTGTTCCATTTCTTCGGCAGATTTGAGATTCTACACAACATTAGGCTGACGGAAGAGCATGAGTAGATATAGGTCACACGTACATCACTTGGATTTAGCACGGCCGCGTCCTCGCGCCGAACCTCGGGAAACATGTAGCCCTTGTAGCTCAACAAGCGGTGCATGTCGCGGATGAAGCCGAGGTCGTCCTTGTAGCGGCTCGTCTCGCAAATCGTCATGCGCCACTCCTCAATCGCCTCGAGAATCTTCCCCTGGACGCGCGTGGCGCGCAGCGGGGGCCGCTCGGGGAAGCGGCGGACGAGCTCGTTGAGGAACTCCTTGGTGCCGATTTGCAAGTGAAAGGGGTAGCCGCAGTTCTTGACGCAGATGTCAAGCAGCGCGAGCGCGAGCAGCGCCACGTTGGGGTTGCGGTGGTTGATGTAGGTGACAATGGACGTGGCGGCCTCGCGCGGCGCGGCGCCCTTTTTTTGGTTGATGAGGTCTGAGATTTCGAGGTTGAGCGCTAGGTTGGGCTCGTAGTTGTCCGGGCTGCACGCCGAATGGATGTAGCGCTCGAGGTGCGACGGCGTACGGCCGCCGTACTCGCCCCAGCGGTCGCGGGCGGCCGCACGCGCAGAGGCGGCCTCCATGGCGGGAATGTGTGGTGGTGATGCTGCTGGTGAGGATCGAGGCGGATGCGGAGTTGATGGGTGGTCGTGGGACGGCGGGAGTTTGCTTGAGTTGCTCGGGTTGGGTTGCGTCCGTCGAACAAGGCAGAAAAAGATGGCGAGTAGAGAGATGAAGCAAGGGTCGATGCGCGGCAATGCAGGGAAGCGCCGGTACCAATCCCCAATCCCCCTTCGTAGTGGTGATGATGACGAGCCGAGATTCTAGCTCGTCTGGCGGCTCCCCTCGTTGTGGACCGTCGACGCAGACTGTGGCGGTGGCGCGGCTGCAGGCCCAATACTCTTGCGAGCCAAGAATGTCGGGTGCAGAAATTCGTTTATCAATTAAATGATCAATCTTGATGTGTATTTTCACGATATTATAAAATATTCTCACCTTACCCTCAGCTACCGCTGCTGCACCTCACCACCAGGATCGACGGGTGGCCAGTGTCAATGTGGGGTCAACGGCGGGGCTGGTCGAAGTTCGTCGCAACTTCAATCAAAAAGGTTTGACGCTGCTCGTCATTGAGCACAGCCGCCAAACCACGCCTACACACCCGGCAGCTTTGCTCTACACCACCGCCGTCTACACCATGGTGCGGCACAAGAAAGACTTTGCCGGCCGCGGCAAGAAATTCGGCCCCCGCGGCGGCGGCTCCTCACGACCCCGCGGCTCAAACAACAGCGACTCGGACGACGGCAGCGCGCGCCGCGCCAAGCCCGCGTTCAAAGCCGCCTGCTGGGATCTCGGCCACTGCGACCCGAAGAGGTGCTCCGGCAAGAAGCTGATGCGTCTCGGCCTGATGCGGGACTTGCACCTCGGCCAGCGCCACAGCGGCGTCATCATCACGCCCAACGGCAAGCAGGTCGTCGCCCCCGACGACGCCCCGCTGCTCGACCAGCACGGCGCCGCCGTCGTCGAGTGCTCCTGGGCACGCACCCAGGAGGTCCCGTGGGCCAAGGTCGGCGGCCGCTGCGAGCGCCTGCTGCCGTACCTGGTCGCGGCCAACACGGTCAACTACGGCAAGCCGTGGCGGCTCAACTGCGTCGAGGCGCTGGCCGCGGCGTTTTACATTTGCGGGCACGCGGACTGGGCCGCGCAGATCCTGGCGCCGTTCTCGTACGGGCAGGCGTTCTTGGACATTAACGAGACGCTGCTGGACAAGTATGCGGCGTGCTCGGATGCGCCGAGTGTCAAAAAGGCCGAGGAGGAGTGGATGGCGCAGCTCGATCGCGAGTATGCGGAGAGTCGAGAGACAAAGGAAGACATGTGGACGAGCGGTAACACGAACCACCGACGGCCGAGGAGTCCATCTGACGACGAGGACGAGGATGAGGATGAGGATGACCAAGAAGAGGAACAAGGTAGCGTCGACGGGATATACCTAGGCAAGCGGCCGCAAGAGATACAGGACGAGGACGAGGACAAGGACCCCTTTGCCATTTCCGACGACAGCGACGACGACCTCGCCATGGCCGAGATCCGCCGCAAGGTGCTCGCCTCCAAGACGTTTGCCAACCTGGGCGAGGAAGAGCCCAAGGCCGCCCAGCCGGCGAGCGTCGCCCGCCCGCCGCCTCAGCTCAAGGAGCATAGCGTCACGCCCGACTCGGACAATGACGGCGGGGACAGCGACGACGACGAGTTTGACCACATCATGGACGCGACGCCCGTGACGGACCGCCTGGGCCTGTCAAAACTGGAAAAGGAGCGCGCGCAGGCGGCGCTCTCGCGCAAGACGTTTTCGTCCAATGTGGTTTCGGCACCGGGTCGGTGGTGAGCCAAACATGGGCAGGACAGAATTATAATACATGCCATGTCAATTGAATGCTGCTGTCCGTGTTTTTCTCTTCCATTCCGCTTGATGCTGTATACCTGCCTGTCGTAGTAATGGACGACAGGTCAAGGAAAAATCTATAATACATCTATGGTATCAAGTTATGAGTTTTGGTCTCCGCGTTCCCTTACATAGTTTACAATATCGTACATGCCCACCTACAGCTGGCGCTTCTCCGAAATGACCTCGTATGTCTGCAGCTGGTCGTCTTCCTGAAAGCTCTCGAAATCTTCCAGCCCGATGCCGCACTCGGTGCCCTTGCCCATTTCCTGCACGTCCTTTTTGCCGTGCTTGATGGTATCAATGATGCCTACCCAACATTAGTCAAAATCAACACGCACGTAGTCACACAACGTCCACATACCTTCGAAAATCACCTTGCCCTTGCGCAGCACCTTGACCTTGCTGCCCTTCTTCAGCGCGCCGTTGCGCACCCTACACCCCGCAATGTTGCGCACCACCCTCCGCGTCACGTTGATCGGGAACACCTGGAGGATGTCGGCTTCGCCCTGCACACGCTGCGTCACGAGCGGCGGCAGCAGCGCGCCGAGCGCCGCCCGCACGTCGTCGACGACGTGGTAGATGACGGTGTGGTCTAGGATGCGTACGCGCGCCTCGTCAGCCCGCTGCTTAATGTGCGGCGCCACGGCCGTGTTGAAGTTCACTATCAGACTGCCCGACGCCGCCGCTAGGTCCACGTCGTACTCGGTCACCTGGCCCGCCGACGAGCGCAGCACCCGCGAGCGCACCTCGTGGTTGCCTTGTTCCAAGATGCTGCCGACCACGGCCTCGACTGAGCCCGCCACGTCGGCCTTGACGATGAAGCTTTGCGTCAGCGGGCCGGTGGCAGTGGCGGCCTCTTCTTCGCCGTCCTCGCCGAGTTCAGCCTTTTCAGCGGCCAGGGTATCGGCGGCGACTTTTGCGCGCTGCCTCTGCTCCTGCTCCGCAATGTTGGCCGAGTTGGCCTCGCGGTCCGCCATCTCTGACCGGTACGCGACGGCCGTCTTGGCCCGCGCCTCGTCGGGCGCCTGCAGCACCATGTCGCCAGCCGGCGGCAGCTCGCGCCAGCCGAGGATCTCCACGGGCGTGCCGGGCGGCGCCTCGCGCATCTCGACGCCGGCCTCGTTGCGCAGCAGCCGGACGCGCGCCCACGTCTTGCCCGCAACGATGTGGTCGCCCAGGCGCAGGGTGCCCCGTTTGACGAGGACCGTGGCGGCCTTGCCGTCCTGTCTGATGCTCGATTCGAGGATCCAGCCACTCGCCATGCCGTCCGTCTCGGCGCGGACATCGAGGATCTCGGACAGGGTGACGATGTTTTCCTCGAGCTCGTCCATGCCCTGGCCTGTCTTGCCGCTGACGCAGACTACCTGTACGTCTCCGCCATAGTCTTCGATCTCGACGCCGTGGCGCGACAAATCGGCCTTGACCTGGTCGACGCGCGCGTCTTCCTTGTCAATCTTGTTGATGGCGACAATGATGGGCACCTTGGCTGCGCGGGCGTGCTTGAGGGCTTCCAGAGTTTGGGGCTTGACGCTGTCGTCGGCGGCCACCACGAGGACAACAATGTCGGTTACGTTAGCGCCGCGTTGGCGCATCGACAAGAAGGCGGCGTGGCCCGGTGTATCGAGAAATGTGATTTGCTTGCCAGTCGACATGCTGACAACAAACGCACCAATGTGCTGTGTGATGCCGCCATGCTCCTGCGCTGCCACAGACGACTTGCGGAGATAGTCGAGCAAAGTCGTCTTGCCATGATCGACATGCCCCATGATGGTCACGACAGGGGGCCGCGGCGGCAGAGACGACATATCTTCAGGCATAGGCGCCGGCTGCAGGTCTCGCCGGGCGCCGTCGTCGACTGTGGGCTCGAAACCGTACTCCATGGCAACAAGCGCGGCCGTTTCGCCGGTCATGACTGTGTCGCCTGTGATATTTTCAAAGCCCATCTCCTCCATGTCGGTCATGAAGGAAGTGAGGGGCTGTTTGAGGGATTGCGCCAGGTCCGTGGCACTGATGTACTCAGGGAGGAATATCGGTACCGCCACTGGTTTTTCAGCTTTGGCGGCTTTGCGTGCCTCCTTGGCCCTCTTGCGCTCCTCAAGTTCCTCCCAGCGATCGCCGTCGTCTTCCCACTCGTCTGTGCCTCTGCGACTGCTTCCATGGTGCTTTCCTTTTTTCGACTTTTTGTCGTCCCGAATTGGTGGCGCATCGTCGAATCTAGACTTTTTCTGCTTCGTGGGGATGTCCGTCGGGGTTTTAGAAGGGGCCAGGTCGTCACCAACGTGCGATGGGTGACTGTGTACGCCAGCATATTTGCCCTGCATCTTCTTGGGCACTTGTCGTTCACGCGCATTTCGTTTTTTCTGCGCTTCTGATAGGCCTTGTTGGTCGTCCAAATCAGCCCATAAACCAATGGGCTCCTGGTTGGGCTCCTTTTTCGCACCATTCTTGAGAGCCCTTGTCCCTAGCGTTCCTTTACCATGAGGAACAGGGTCTCGCCTTTTCTTGGTAAGCTCCTGCCAGACATTGGAATCGCCAGGTTTTCGGCCCGGGTCGTTTGCATGCGCTTTTCGGTCGGTAGAGGACCAAGAGGCTGGTGTGGCTGGATCCCGGGGCTGACGGTCGGATCGAAGTATGTCGGCCAAGACAGACTTGGATTTCAACGTCTTCTGGTCTCTCGCAGGGTCTACCGGCCGGGGTTTTCGGGGCTGCCGGGGTTTCGCTTGCTCCGCCTTGTCTGTTGATGTCGCAGGCTTTGGAGGCTCTATTGTAGCTGTTTTGCGCGCAGCCAATTCGTGTGGGAGTAGTCCTGAGGTTGCTGCGGGTTTCGCTTTGGACGCGAAAGCGCCGAAGGAGCCAAATTTGGCAGCACCACCTGAAAAACCACCGGGAAAGGATGGTTTAGAGTCATCGCCGAGGATATTCGAAGTCGAGAAGAGTCTCCTGCCCCCGAATTCTGTGGTACATGGCGACGCGACACCTGGAAGCCTGGCACTCCATGCTATTCTCGGTGGCGTTTGGGCGACGGAGCGGCCCTGGCGGCATGCAGCGCACACAAACGGGCCTCGCTGCTATATTCTGGTTAGCTAAGGCGGCACCGGAGGACCATTCTACTTACCTGCCACGCATGTGTCCTCAGCATATTGCAAATGACGCAAATTGGCTGTTCGTAGGTCCTGCAGATGCACGGAGCTAATAAATGCGACAACGTAGCTTTGGCAGCTAAATAAATCTCTGTGGAGTTTTCTAGCTCGGGGGCAGGGATAGTCCGGCAACGGTCCAGCGAGGTGATGAAGAGGCTGGTAATTTGCTGGATTTTGTTTGATTATAAATTTAAAGTGCTTTAATTTTGCAGAGTTGAAATTGGCCACTGACTTCATTGGCGGAAACTGGGCTCCCGGAATTCACATCATTCAAGCCCATTTTCAAGCCGGTCAGCCTCCTACATCTGCCCCGTTTGACGACGGGCAACTTGCCCACTGCATCTCACCACGACACCCAATTGCTCGCCCATCATGGCTCCCAAAAAGCGTTCAACAAAGTCATCGACAGCTGCGAGCTCACGAAGGGATGGAGAACCGCCAGCTCCGTTCAGAAAGCTGCCGGAGGTGCTGGCGCCTTTTGTCAAAGGGATGTCTAAGAAGCACGTGTACATTGCGCACATTGACGGACAGAAGGCCGACTTCAAGCGCAAAATCTTTTTGGTCCCGGTACTCATGAATATTGCTGTTGTGGCAGCCTTTGTTTTCCGCATGTATTGGATCCTGCCGTACTACTTTACGATCTTGGTCAAGGCCTTGCTGCAGCACCCCTCCACCTTCCCCGGGGCAACGACAACGACGTGGTCGGACCTGGGCTGGGAGATCGCAAAGCGCGGCATCAGCATGTTTATCGATCTGATGCTCTTCGTCTTCGTCTGGCCGTGGCCGGTGGAATTCGTGGCCGGGCAGACACACGGCAGCCCGGTCAAGTGGCGATGGGCCGTGGGATTTCGCGACAAGGAGATTTACGTGCGGCGTAGCCGAGACTGGCAAGCGGTGCTGGGCGACGTCATTGAGGAGCGAGATTCCAACAAGATCTTTACGGGGTACGTGGCGCAGGCTACGGCGCCGATGCTGCAGGAGCAAAAGACGGGTTATCTTTTGATGAACAACAACTGGGACCTGGACTGGAAGCTCATGGTGCGGGCGCACCGGATGGTGGACAAGAAGGAGGCGGCGCTGGATGTCTTTCGAAACCTGGTCCTGGTGCACCACGAGGAATACGGGTGGCTGAGCTACGACTTGAAGCTGGGGGTGTCGACCGAGGAGGAGCAGAAGCGACGACAGGTGTTTGCGTTTCGCGACGCACTGTCGTCGATGGACAAGGAAGACTTGTTCTTCCGCTGGGTCGAGATTGTGCAGTTTGAGGCGACGCAGCCGGGCGGATTCGGGCCTGAGAAGCAAGAGGCGGCTGCCAAGAGGATTCGAGAGCTGTTTGAGGGACAAGGCGTCGACTTTGACAAACTCTGGAAGGAGACGGTGGGCGAGAATGGTGACAAACTGGACTGAGGTGGAGGGGGGAGGCATTGACATCCGACGTGAGATCGGCGACTCAACGTGACGCGTCAGCAATGGATTGCGGAAACAAATAGACGGCTACTGTTGCATACCTACGTGATGAAAAGAAGTGTCTGGTCAGGCTGCCTGGGTACCGACCTCCAGGTACCAAAGTGGTAAAAACGGCCACGCGACAGTTGGCGGATTCGCTACCTACGTGCCAACAAGCTCTTCAGCTTGCAAAGGATGGAGAAAAAAAAGTAATTCGGTTATCTACGTTGTAGACTAGTCTAATACAATATCCAATATTTATTTATTTAATCAATACGAATTACACAAACGAGGCGGAACTGTCAACGTTCTTAGCCCCTGGCTGGCCCCTCATCCACAGTTTGCACCGCTAAAGACACGCGCCGGGTGCCAAAGCCAACCACTGCCTCGATCAAATCAGCCTCACTCCTCGGCCAGGCCTCTTAGTGGAACCTCTGACCACAAGTTGCTCCCCCAGGAACACATCACCACCTCCTCGTGCGCCCTTGCTCATCCCCTCAATTGTCCGACAACCTCCATCGCCGCACGACCGGATCAGTCACTCGCGTACCGGGCAGTCCCCTTTCGTGCGATCCATTATCGTCAGAGGTCACCCGTCCCGCTTCCCCTTCGAGGAGAAAAAAACGGGCAGACGCCCCCGAAAACCGACCGGCCCCCCGAGATCCCTCTACCACCACGACACTGCTCTCCTCGGAAAACGCGACTAGAACCAAAAACCATGTCCAGCTCAGGCCTCACAAGACGCCGCGGCGCGGGCGGCGCTGGCACCCCCGTGGCCAACGACGGCGAGGGCGGCGGCGGCAGCAGCAACGCCGCCTCGCGGGCCAACCTCAAAGACAATGGCCCCGAGACGAGCTACGAGAACGGCGAAAACGGCCACAAGATTGCCTTTGACCCCCGCGACATGAGCGAGAGCGCCGAGCGCACCAAGCAGCCTAAGCTGACTATGATGGAGGAGATTCTCCTGCTCGGGCTCAAGGACAAGCAGGTAAAGACGCCCCCCAAACCGGCTGAGGCAACATTCGCCTGCCCCTCGGTCCCAATCGGACTTGGCACGCTAACTTGACCGAAATCAACAGGGCTACCTCTCGTTCTGGAACGACAACATTTCCTATGCGCTGCGCGGGTGCATCGTCCTCGAGCTGGCCTTTCGCGGGCGCATCAGCATGGAAAAGGACCCTTCACGAAGACGCTTCCCCCCTGCCGACCGCAACATTGAAGTGATAGATGACACCCTCACCGGTGAGGTCCTCCTCGACGAGGCCCTCAAGATGATGAAGCAGAGCGAAAAGATGAGCGTCAGCTCCTGGATCGACCTGATGAGCGGTAAGCGCTGTCCACGACGCGCCGTGTATTTGCGCCCCAACCTCGACCAAGACTAACGTTTACATCCCCCACCCACAGGCGAGACGTGGAACCTGATGAAGATTGGCTACCAGCTCAAGCAGGTCCGCGAGCGGCTCGCCAAGGGCCTCGTGGACAAGGGCATCCTGCGCACCGAGAAGCGCAACTTCTTGCTCTTTGACATGGCCACGCACCCCGTCGCCGACGGCGGCGCCAAGGAGGAGCTCCGCCGCCGCGTGCGCAACGTGCTCACCCAGCGCACCGTCGTCCTCGGCGACTCCCAGTTTCTGCCCGAGACGCTCGAGTTTCGCCACCTGCGCACCGTCTGCATGGTCTGCGCCGCCTACGCCGCAAACGTGCTCGAGAATGCCTTGTCCACGCTCGGCCACGAGGCCCGCGAGCGCGCCTTTGCCCAGACGGACGACCTGCTCGCCGACTACAGCCAGTGGCCGTTTGGAAAGAAGGCGACGAGCAACGGCATCGGCGCCAACCTGCCGCAAATTATTAGCGAGGTATGACGGGGAAAAAAAAAGAAAAGGCAGAAAACACGCTTCTTGGGAGCGAGATACGCTAACAATAGAAACAGGAGGTTGGCAAAGCCAAGGACAAGGAGCTGCAACTCGAGGTCGTGGCTGCGTGCTTGAGCGTATTCACACGTCTCGACTCGCTCCTGTAGACGGCTCACCCCCCCAACGACGACGTATAACAAAATATCGACCCTACCCACGACTCTGCCCAAAACACGATGCACACTCGACAGACAAGGGATGCACAACTTGTTGCCATGAATGTTTAGAAACTGGGTCTCGGCAGCCAATCCACGTGGGATGAATTGGCCCCTAAGAGACGCACAACGACGTTGAACAAGAGGAAACAAATGACAATTGGCTCTCTATCTATATATCACTCTTAATTCTCACCACCACCACCAGCGGAACTCCTTCACAACCCTGCATCTTCTGGCTAGTTTTGGACGTTTTGTTTTTTCTCCGCCTACTTCATTTCTGGGGTTTCCTCTTGCGTCCTTTCTTGATATCTCGTGGCAAAAACAGCAACCGTGTATTCAATCTCTGTGGGCGCATCGTGAGTTGAGGTGGTAGTGCTAGGGGATAAATAGAGGGAGGAGGAAGGGAGGAGTTCTTTGTGTGGCAGTAAAGATTCGGACCAGATACGAGGCATAGTTGGCATTGATCCTTTCTTTTTTTTTTCCTTTCCCTTTCTTCTTCTGATTATTTCATGCTTTTCCTAGCCCGTTTCTTGTTAAACCTCTTGGAAGAAATTGACTTGAAGTTGACATGACGATTTAAAGTGAAGAAGCGTAGTACCAGGTCTATACTTGCCCATGTTGCAGGAACTCGACATTATACCTACACCAAATGCCGTGCTGTTATTCGAAACGGGGTTATATGTACTTTTGTTTGCTTTTTTCCTATTTCTTTTTCAACACTGTAGATTCTATATATAAGATCTTGGTTCCACGACAGGGCAGTAATATGAAGAACAACATGATGACCACATTTGTCTGAGAGAAAAAAAAACAGGAAAAAAGGGAAACTGAAATGGTTGGATGAAAAAGCAGACCGCGCGCGAAAGAAGAACCCGACAAATGCAACAAGAAAGCAATGACAAAAACCCCCGAAACGCCAGGCAAATCCTCTTTTGCAACATGGTCAACGACAGATGCCTCTCTTGTTTCTCCCCTTGGCCGCCGCCGTGTGTAATACATTCTCATTCCCTTTGTGACCATCAAGGACAGCAGGGAAAGGAAGGGAAGAAAAGCGGCAACACTCTGTAGGATCCTCTTACTTTTTGCGTCCACCCACCCCAAAGCTGCCTTCAAACCCGGGCCTCCCACCCTTCTTCTTCGCACCACCACCGGCCGCAGCGCCCTTCTTCTTCTTGCCGCCCTTGCCTGTGAGCTTGTCGTCACGGCGCTTGCGCAGGTTATCCTCGCGCTTGCGGACGCGCTCCTTTTGTGCCTGCGACACGCCCTTGAGGCGGTCCCCCCACGCCTTTTCGCTCTTCTTCTTGCCGGCCTCCTTGCGCTTAATCGTCTTCTTGAGCGTCGCCTCGTCGTCGCGAATTTTGTCGCCCTCGACGCGCCGCCGCGCCGCCAGCCACGCCTCCTTGTCCGCAATGTCGTTGCGTGTCGGCGCGTCCATCCCCTCGAGCCGCTTCTTCTGGTTCTGCACCCGCAGCAGCGCCGTTTTGGCGTCCGACGGGCCCTTGCGCTTGCTTTGCGCCAGCACGTAGCTCAGGTCGTGCGACATTTGCGAGCCGTCAGCAAATGCCACCCGGCCAAAGGAGAAGTTGCCCTCGTCGACCGCTGCCGGGCTCATAAGGCCCGGCGAGTTGGAGGCGAGCGTCTCCTCGCGCTTGCGCTCCTCTTCGAGCTTGGAAATGCGTCGCAGCTCCTTTTTGTGCTCTTTGCGCTGCACCTGCTTGGAGCGCCGCGCCTCGATGAGCTCCTGGCGTGTGCGGATCGGTTTGCCGTCGGGGCCGTCGGCCTTGCGTGCCGCGCGCAGGGCTTCGATCTTGGCCGCCAGGCGCTCCCTGAGCGCCGACGTATCCTTAGGCATGACGATGTGCTTGGGCTTCTCGGAGGGCGGGATGGTTGAGGACACCGAGGTGGTGGTGCTGGCCGGCTCGGCGGCGTCAAAAGTGGGAGAGTGAGGTTCGGAGATGGCCTCGGAGTCGTCCTTGGCGTCGAGGCCGGCGACGTCGAGGTGTGCGGCAAAGCCGGAGGATTCTTTAGCATCTGTCATGGCCGCGTCTTCCTCTACATCGACTTCTTCGGCGGCTTTGGCGGCAGCTTTGGCTTCCTTCTTGGCCTTTTGCTTCTTTGACTTGGGAGTCACGCTGTCTTCTTGATCCTTGGAGGGCTTCGCGCTTGGTGTGTGTTGTTCGTCGGCATCTCTTTGGGGTTTGGTGGCTTTCTTTTCGGCTTTGCGCTCGCGCTTCTCGGCCCTCTTTTTTTCCTTCTTGGACAACTTTGTCCCCTCGGTTGCTGGAGCCTCCTCTGATACTTCGTCATCGACTTCAACACCGGACTCTTCATCGTCCTGCTCGGGCTCGACCTCGACCTTTTGTTTCTTGTTGGGCTTTTCGGTAGCCTTTTTTAGGCCTTGGCCAGGCTGTTCAGCCTCAACTCCGTCCATAGCAACGAAGGAGTTGTCTTCCTCGTCGTCCTGCCCCTCCCCTTCCTCCTCCTCATCTTGGCGCTGCTTGCGCTTGTTCCGGGCACGCTCGTCCATGACTTCCTTTGCGTTTTTGTTCCGGTCGCTATCGGGATCAAGTTTTCCTCGGCGGGCAGCAGCCGCCTCTTTCTTCGTTTGCTTCTTTTTTTTCCATTGGTCCTGTACAGAGAGATGATGAGCACAGTAGATGGCGGGAAAGCACTTGCAACGGTGCGACAGGGCAAGGTCGAGCCGAGTCGGAGCAAGTCTTCAGGCTGATGGATAACGTACGCTGATGTCTTCTCCGTAGTACTGTTTAGCGGGGATAAGGCTCAAAAGCCCGTCAAATGCCTTTGCATGATCGCGTAAGCGATCCTAGAGCGAGGTATTAGCTTGCAATCTGTGATGTGGCCGCCTGTCCAGCTCAGGCTGCAGAGAAAAGTTTATGCGCTGGGCGGCACGCAGGCAGATGCCTGTTGTGGCGGAGCGGATTCCACGAACCTGCAGCGACGCTTCCGTCATGTTGGCGGTTTCGGCAGAGTTGGCCTACTGCTGAATATGCGCTCGGCGTATATAAATCTGCCAGTAATTGCACGCTGCACAGGATATTCACAGCTGCAGTTCGTGAAGGTGGTGAAGCGGTCGGCGACTGGAGGCGGATTTTTTTAGCGGGCTGGGAATTTTTTTGTCGACATTGTTGGCGGCGGCTCTTGAGTGGCTGAGCTCCAAATCAAGTGTGGGGGTAATCGATAAGAGGCGGTTCCTGCGACGAGACTGAAAACCACAAATATGAGTTGTATGTGACTAAAAAAATATTAAAAGAAACAATTTCTACTATTAAATACCGGATCTATACATAAATACCGTATAACAACTGGCACTAGGTTGTCGGAAGGCCTGTCATGCATGCCGTCCCAAGATGCACAACTCAGTCAACAAGCAGTCCCCTCTCACAGACTCATCAGCTAGAAATAATGGTCCGAGCAAGAAATTGCCTGCCCGGTAATTGTAGGAATGTATTCTAAATGACTTATAAAGTCAACTTGTCAAAAGTCTGCAGTGTGCGTGCTTGCGTCTCTTATATATACACGAGTGAAGGGCGAGTGCCCAAGTGGCCGCCACCGACACTACTGTCGTGGATTGGTTTATTTCTTCTTGCTCTTCTTAGGAGCAGCGGCAGCCTCGCGCAGCTTCTTCTCTCGTGCGTCAATTTCGGACCTGCGGGCCTTGTCCTGTGCATCCTTCTCCTCCTTCTCAGCCTGTCATCGCGAACGGGTTAGCTGCCTCTTTCGGGTATCATTGGCGGCGGTAGCACGTGGTTGGATATTCTTACCTGTCGACGCTCGGCCTCGGCCGCGCGCTGCTCGCGGATGAGCTTGAGACGGGCCAGGTCAGCCTTGGCCTGGTCCGTCTTGCCCTCGGCCTGCAGCTTCAGGTAGCGCTCCTTGGCGGCCTGAGCCTCGACGGCCTCGCGCTCCTTGCGGTTACCGGGAGCGCTAATCTTGGCGACTCCTTCGGTGATTTCGTCGACGTCGTCCTGGGCGGCTGTCTGCTTGCGGGCGGCCTTGGAGTGGTTGGGGTTGGCGGGCATCTCGCCTTCGCTCTCGTCCTCGTCAGTCGAGGGCATGTCACCGACCTCGACAGTGTGGCCCTGGGACTTTGCTATCGCGGCCTGCTTCTTGGCCTTTTTCTGGGCTTTGCGGTCCTCGCGGCTGGCATCGGCAGCGGGCACGGGACCGACAGCGTCGTCGTCAGAGGACTCCTCGTCCTCGTCCTCGTCTTCATCGCTGTGCTGGGCATGCGGGCTCCACATGCTGACCTTGTTGCCTTCGGCATCGGCGGGCTGGAGATCGCGAGAAAAGTGTCTGCCGCCTGCAGGGACAGTATGGTTAGCATCCAAGTCGAGCACGGAAAAAATATGGTTGGAGGGGCATGCGAGCAGGACACGAACCTCCACGGGTATACTTCTTAAATTTGCCGCCGCGACCGCGGGAGTTGGCTGCTGGTGCTGCTGAGGCAGGCATGATGAGGCTAGGCTGGGAGATGCACGGGGTGTGTGCGGGTATGAAGGTGTCAAATGTTGGAGGGAGAGGAAAGATGATCAAGGCAGAGATTGCAAGCCTGATGCGTTGGTGATGGAGGCGGGGTAGCGGGGTACAAAGGCGACTCGGGCAGAAATGTAGCACGGATAGAAGTCAGGCCAGAACAACGCGGTATGATACGATCAGGGGTGTATATTTAAGGAAAAGAAAGAATAGAAAGAGCAAGGTTCGCAACGGCCAATTAAACCAATGTTAGTCTGCGCTGAAAATTTAAACTAAGAAGCCGCAGCTGTGAGTCAAAGGCAGTGTGTGTCTCTACCGAGGGGCTATAATGTCGTAATATCAAGACAGGCGGTGATGCTGCAGGACTCACACGACATCCTACTACAGGCTATAAACTCTTTTCGAGTGAAAATAGCAAATTAGAAACAAAGACCTTGGCTACATATTTATTTGTATTTACTTCTGCCATTGCTGGCCCATTCTTGGAAGGCCAACGCCGGCCAAGGTCTGCTCGGGGCAAGGCTTACCCTGCTATAGGCGATAAAAATAGCGGGAGCTTCCGCTGTAGCACGAGGCCAACCACTGAGAGCCAAGCTAATGACCCCTGCAGACGTAATGGTACCCTCCGAAATTTATTAGTGGCTGGTGGGCGAGAAAAGGTGGTGGGAAAATCCTGCAGGGCCTGTGCCACAGCAAGCCACCGAGAAATGGCAGATTGTTCTTCCGCTCCCCATGCCCACCCGTAGGTAAAGCCAGCGCGATCCGCCCGGCCTTTGCTTGTTTTCCTCTTCTTCTTCAACCTACTAGAAAATACATTTAATCCTTCAAATTCACTCTGGCATTCATTACTCCATGAATGAGACTGGAGGGGAAACTGGAGGAGAGATTAACTGTCGCTGTTTTACCTTCTGTCCTGCTGTTCTTCCGTTTGGGGCAGATAAATTTTATCAGTGGCACATTTTTTCCTCTTCTCGATCCATCAGCTCGAAGCTATCTACGCCTAGATACCAGCACTCGCCCACGACTCGACCCGACGTATATTACACATCGACATACCTTTATTTAGCCTCTTTGCCTGTCTATCCTATAACCCATAGTCTAAATCCCGTATTGACAGCTCTGCAACCTGTCCGTGCCAGCTGGCAGACCGATGACCCCGTCGCCATTGGACATGCACAACGCACCTTTTATCCTACATAACAACTATCCCTTGATAAGCAAAGGACACGTCAACCAAAGGAGCCCAAGACATCCTCCATTCGTCTTCGCTTTTTGCTCTTCATCGACGGCGGCGGCCGCGGATCCGACACAATCCCCAGAGGCGCAGGCTGTTCTGTCGCTCTAGTCTTCGGGGTCAAGTCGTATTGTAAATCAGGCCTGGTAAACGTATATCGCTTCGTGGCAAACAACCCTCTGCTATTGTACGATGGCCTGCTGGCGATGCCGCCCTGGCCGCTGTGCCCGAGAAACAGGCTCGCCATGGGCTTGGATGGCAGCACAAACGGGCCAGCGATGGTCTGTTGCGCCGGTCTGACACCCCTGCTCTCGAGGTCGCGGTCGCCCGACAGCTGCCCGATGAGCGAGTACAGCCAAAACGCCCACGTCTCAAACGCGGTGTCGTGGCAGAATTCGTTGGCGACGGGCCTGGGCCGGCGGTGAATGGCGGCAGGCTGCTTCGCAGACACCTTGGCGGGATCCACGAGGTAGTCGAGGAGCGGCGGCGCCTCGGCGTACGGCACGCGCTTGAGCACGCAGCGCGAGTCGCTCGACAGGTTGGTGAGATCAATGTCGATGCTCCTGCACAGGCCTGGAGACGGGTCAATGGCCCCATCCTCGGCCTCCTCGGGGGCGAGGAGCATGAGATGTCGTAAAATCGACGTGTCTTCGACTGCTTTCGCTATCGAGGCCACCGTCCATCCTGTCGCGTCGGCCTTTTCGTACACGGACCTCCAGTCCGCCTTGGCCGCGACGACGTCGTAGAGCACCAGAGACGGAAACTTGGCCACCCATCGCAGAGACACATCCGTGAGCAGCTGGTCGGCCCATATGCGCAGGACTCGCAGCACCGGAAAGGGATCCGCCGCGTCCGACCAGCCGCGGACGATGCGGTCGCTCACCTGAGGGTGCGAGGCCTGGATGTGGTCTGCGGGCTGGATAAGCTCCAGCACGCCCAGGTTCTTCATGTCGGCCAGCGCCAGCAGCTCGGTGCCCGTGAACAAGCAGTGGCCAGAGATGGTCAGGTGTGCGATAAACTCCACAGACGCCGAGTTGAGCGGCTGGGTGTAGAGCTTCAGCGCCTCGTCCGGGCGGCACACGTGCTGGCGGAAACGGTACAGGCCGAGCACCGGGTCCTCCTGGCCATCGCTTATGAGAAGGTCGGAGAATATCTTCCATGCGTGCAGGGAAGCGCCTCCTCTGCAACTCTGAGCATTAGCACAGGAGCACAGCCACACACAGTGATGGGGGCGTTGAGCAGGCGACGAACCTGGCTTCCAGAAACCGCCACAGGCGCCAGAGCATGCTCGCCGGTAGCTGTTCCAGGAGCTCCTTGGACACATGGCCAATGTTCTTGGCCACAGCGCGGATGGCCATGTCCACGAGCGGCCGCGCGTGTTTCGCGGGCGGCTCCTGGTACTTTAGCGGCGCGACGCGCGACCAGTCGAGGGTCCCTCGCGCCGCGGGCCGACGGGCCGCCACGGTCCATTGGTTGACGGACATGCCCGAAAGTTCGTCATACATGGCGACATGTTATGATGTAATCCTTTTAAAGAAGAGCTGGAATGAGAGACATGGTGTGTGAGAGGTGGATGATGGCAGTTAGTGTTGACTTATTTTGGCTCCGAGTGGCAGCCCTGAGTTTGTCAGCGCTGGAAGCCGGCCGGCTGCCGACCACCCTTTGCCATTTTCACACTGCTAAACATATTAGCAGTCGTGCACAAATTCTTGAGTATGAGACTTTTGGTTTAACCTGTAATTATGACATTTTGTGACTGCTCATAACAGATGAAACGAAAACAAAACGCCAGACAATGCGGCAACTACTCTGCAACCAAATCAAACAGCTACACGAAATTCCACCGCGTATATAAACCAAGCCAACACAATTTACAGCATAGGCTTCAAGTCGTCGGCAACCTTGAAGGGAGCCTCGGTCTTGCTCTTAATCTCGTCCACGGTCACGCCATCCGCAATCTCAACAAGGGTCAGACCCTTGGCAAAGTCGACATCAAAGACACCCTGGAGAATGTTAGTCAATGTAAATGGGGATGGAAAGACTTCAAATTTACGTACAAGTTCGGTAATGATTCGCGAAACGCAGGCGCGTCCGGTCAGAGGGAATGCGCACTGCTTCATAATCTTGGGGTTGCCCTTCTTGTCGGTGTGCTCCATGGTGACGACGACCTTTGTGGCGGACGGGTTGCTGACGAGGTCCATGGCGCCGCCGAATCCCTTGACCTTCCCGGGCAGCATCCAGTTGGCGAGGTCGCCGTTGGCGCTGACCTGCATGGCGCCGAGGATCGTGAGGTCGATGCGGCCGCTGCGAATCATGCCGAAGCTTTCCTCGCTGCCAAAGACGGCGGCGCCGGGGTTGAGCGTGACCGTCTCCTTGCCGGCGTTGATGAGGTCCGCGTCCTCGGCGCCCTTTTTCGGGTAGGGGCCAAGGCCGAGGATGCCATTCTCCGACTGCAGCTGGACCTCGACCTCGGGGCCGACGAAGCCCGGCGCGAGCATGGGCATGCCGATGCCCAGGTTGGCGTACATGCCATTCTTGAACTCCTTGGCCGCGCGGCGGACGATGCGCTCGCGCTTGGCGGCCGTCTCGCCGGTGCCGAGCGCGGCCTTGCTGGCAGGGTCGGCCTCGTCCTTGCTAAACGTGTACTTTTCGATGTTCTTGGCCGTGGTGCTCTGGATGACGCGCTTGACGTAGATGCCGGGCAGGTGGACCGACTCGGGCGGGATCTCGCCGGGCTCGACAATGTGCTCGGCCTCGACAATGGTCACCTTGGCGTTGCGGCCCATGGCGCCGTTGAAGTTGTTGGCGGCGAGGCGGAACTGGCAGTTGCCGAGCTTGTCGGCCTTGTAGGCCTTGACAAAGGCGTAGTCGCCGGCGATGCTGTGCTCGAGAAGGTACGACTTGCCGTTGAAGACCTTGACGTCCTTGGGGTACGAGTAGACGTCGGGGGTGCCGTCGGGCTTGTTCTTAAGCGGCAACTCGCCCGTCTGCACCACGGTGCCGTAGGCGGCGGGCGTGTAAAAGGCAGGGATGCCCTTACCGCCGGCCGCGCACCGCTCAGCGAGGGTACCCTGCGGGGTCAGCTCGAGCTCGACCTCGCCCGTCAGGTACATGCTCTCAAACGTCTTGTTCTCGCCAATGTAGCTAGCCACCATCTTCTTGACCTGCTTGGTCTTGAGGAGCTTGCCGAGGCCGGAGTGGTCGGTGCCGGCATTGTTGGAGACGGCCGTCAGGCCGACGAGCTCGGGCTTTTGGAGCACCTCGTCGATGAGCGTGTCGGGGACGCCGCAGAGGCCGAAGCCGCCGCACAGTAGCGTGCTGTTGGGCTTCATGTCCTTAATGGCCTCGGCGGCCGAGGGGAGCACCTTGTTGATCTCGGCGCGGCGGGCCGTCGCGGAGAATTGTCGGGCAAAGACGGCCGTGGGCTGCACGAGTTAGTGGTCGGGCAACAGTCCATAATGGAGAAGGCGACTCACGTTGCCCGCGTGGCGGGCAAAGGCGCCCAAGGTGCGCATGCGCATGACGGTGGAAGGCATTGCGGCAAGGGAGTGTTGGCGTGCTGTGCAGGGTTGTGTCTAGATGGCAGAATAGCTATCCCCTTCAGTCACAGAGAGAATAGAAGAAAGAGAACCCAGGTCGAGGATAAATCAGAAGCAAGAGACAAAGCGCGCAAGGTGTGCAAGGTCATGCAGTGGAAGTGGTTGCAAACGCGGCGCCGGAAAGCCGAGTGCTTTTGAACCGTAGCTGGCCGGGTAGGAGGAACGCAACTTTCCGGGGTCGGAGAAGCTGGGGAAGCGCCACCAACTGCAGACGGACAAACTACAGTGGAGTAGGGTGAGTTTCGGGGGGTTATTTGGTGGGCAGCGCAAATAATATAGTTAGAACATTATTGGAATTAAGGATACCCAACTCTTGGCGGGACTGTTCCGCTGGCTCTCCCGACAACTTGCTCCAGCACTGCGTCCAGCGGAATGCGGGTACTCGCGCTTCTGGGTACGGCTCACGACCAGGTAACCAGATGGAGGCCATCTTCACAATCAAAGACTTGAAAGACTTCAAGTTTGATACTTGATTGACATACAAGTTATAACCATCCACGCGATACGCCGTCTTCAAGCCTGCCGCAGGTCCCGATGCAACTCCCGGTACACTTTCCGTTCCCGCTCAATCTTCTAGCGTACTTCCGCCCCTCACGCTTACAGTACAGTGGTGCGTTCCGACCCTCTTGTCGGATGGAAGGAACGGCAGTCCAGCAACCAGGATCAGGGTCAACTTTTACCAACGCTAGAGCCTCCCTAGGCTGGTTAATTCATGGGCTGCTTCCTCCGACCATCGGCCACGAACGAACGCTGTCACCGGATAAGCATTGTGCCATGCCACATGCTTATTACATAATCTTGTGTTTGGAATCAGAGTTGAGTTAAAATATGTACATGGGTTGGTTTGGTGATGGCATCAACGGAAAAAAAAAAACAGAACGGACCTGTATACGTCGTGCTCCGTACCTCTCAGTCACACTAATAAATCCCGAGTCCATTCGGTGGCTTCTGGTGATTTGACCCTAACCTCACTCATGTTCCATCTACAGTGCCAAAGTCCACGGCACAATAATCATTCATAAATGGCACTTTTCAAAGTCCGCGTCAAATTTCCCCTTTATTATCAACGAGATAGTGCCGGACCGTACGTGGAGAAACTGAACAACAGACTTATTAAGTAGACTACACTGCAGCGTGAAACAAAAAATGAAGTCGCGGTCAACAAATGAGGGACCGCGCCTGTGCATCGCACCAGATCTCGCCAAATTGCCAATGCGTTGCGCAAGCAAAAAGCAGACGACGTGTGCAGGATTCGAACCTACGCGGGCGAACCCATGCGATTTCCCAATCTGTTCTAGTCGCACACCTTGGGCCACTCGGTCAACACGCCTTTATGTCTCTTCATGAAAAAGAGCGATTTATTTGCGTTCATATTGGCTCTGGGAGAAAATACGGGGACCGTGGTGAGTGGGTCTACTCGGCTCTGCCCCCCACCCATGGCTGTGCTAAGAGGTACCTACCTATGAGACTATCGTTAGCTAAAAACCAATCAAAATACGTGGAGCGAATAGCGTCATATATCTCTTCTCTCAGCAGCTTCTCTGGCCGTCAATTATCAACTAGTGCAATCCTTTCTGGTGCTTTCACTTTTAAGACTCGTAATTCAACCGGACTACATGAGGCTATCAGTAGTTGACTGTGGCGTGAACGAATTCTCGCAACTACCACGATTTGTTATTTGACAAGCACTTGCCAACGATGAGCAGTGACCGCGAGGCTGCGAGGCAGTAATGCGGGCATTTCATCTACAACGGTGTTGATATTCTGTCGAGTTATACGCTGGGTGGTGATGGTATTTTGCTCTTTTCCGCGATTACGAAGCAATGCGCTCCAAGCAGCTAACAATGGTGCGGGAGAATCCTGTTTACATGTTGCACCACCTCGACATTTACACGAGAACGAAGGCAAAAAACACGACACAGCAGTACACCGCCTGTCCTCTTTCCCATTTGTGGTGGGCCGTGCGTAGGGAAACGTCCTTTACAACCATGTTCGAGAAGAACACCTCTCGGGTAGACGCCGCGAGGCTGAGCTTGATTGTCTAGCCAACGCATATGGCCACGCAGCAGTGATACTACGGATCTAACGGAGGCCACTTGAATGATTCTCTCCTTTCCAGGCTACCAATGGGAGCATTTTTGAAATCACATAGTACGAGAATCTGTGTGCCATGTCCTCATCCCCAACGTTGTCAACGCCTTGCACGCTAGATTTGGACAAGACACGACGTCAATGTCACAAAGTACGTAACTACGGACGCTTGGCCATTTCGATTCTATCGATTCAACTAGTTATCCACTCACAATCATGTTCTTAAAAAAGCTTGGTTCCCATTGCCAACAAGCGCCCGCCCACCCACCGCCCCGAAGAAAACGGCCCCACAACGACGACGTCACCCCTGGTTGCCGCACCAACGGGCCCTTTGAAGTAAATAAAAAAGTGCGGTGGCTGGGCCAACCGTTTAGGCATCGTTCAGGCCCTTTGCAGCAATTCGCAAGGTTTGGGAGGTTGGCTGCTCTGGTTTCCCGCCTCTTCCTTTTTTCTCCCCCTAACTAATACAAACCAGCCTTTTACATTTTTTTTCGATTCGCCTGCAAAGCTAACAACGATTGAAACACTTTGTCTGATAAGGAAAGTTGCCTTCACTCTACACTTGCACAAACCCACCTGCAACCCTTTCCGCATTCCTCCCGACATTGGAGTATTTTGGTTACCCCGTCTAAAAGGATTCAGATTCTTGATCGATTTGTTCTTGCCATTGCCCGCGCATTCCAGACATCGACTCCGCCTCCACGAGACCAAATCGTCTTTCGCTGTCCCTACCGTCCGACTTACCGATATTCGCTCCGGGCCGCATTCCAATCCTCACCGATCCGTGTCTCCCGAATCCGAATCGGCAAGCAAGACGAGCTCTCTTGTCCAGCGGCGGTCTCGAGCACACGCCGACCACTGAGCAAGGCGCGCCAAACGGGCCTGCCATCGCCGTCGTCACTTTTCGACACCGCGCAGCGCCTTTCAAACCGTACCGGCTCCCTCGGCTTGGAGCTTCACTGCGCGCTGCATCGCTCTCACGAGCCTCGGATCCCCCCCCCCGGCGGGATTCCCAACTCACCACATAACACGCAGCGTCGCTGACGGCCACCGCCCACGATGCCGCGCTTCCAAGTGGGATGGACCCAGTACATACCCTTTCTCGGGTACCACCATGTGCTCATGATTCTTATCGCCGTTGCCATTATCCTCCTCTCTCTTCTCCTCGCCGGCTGCTCGTCGTCGTCGCCCCTCATCCCCAACATCTTCCTGCTGTCGCTCTACTACAAGAGCTACGAGGCCACGCCGGACACGTCACAGGTGTACTACAATGTCCACACGGCGCTGTCCAACATTGCCGGCGGCGCGCAGCTCCAGGCGCGCGTCGGGTACTTTGGCATCTGCGTCAACCCCGACGGCGGGTCGTGGCTCTGCAGCAACAATGCGACGGCCCTGGCGAGACAGGTCAGCCAGGACCAGGATCCCCTGAACTTGATCTGGCTGGCGGCGCAGTTTAAAGACATGATTGTCTTTCCCTACCTGATGTAAGAACACCCTGGACTCTGCCCTCACATGACCCATGAGACCCACCGCTAACACAAGACGGCTAGAATCATTGCCATCATCTTTGCCTTTATCTGCGTCCTCTTGCTCGCCAGCTTTCCCTCGTGGTACGAAGAGGATGACTCGGAGGGCTCGGAGCGCGTCGTCCGTCCCATTCCTTCGCGCGCCCTCTCCCAGGTCTCGCTCGCCATCATCTTCATCGCGTCCATTTTCGTGCTCGTCTCGGTGCTGTGGCAGCACACGGCGTCGGTGGCCGCGTCCGTCATTGCCCAAGACTTTGGCAACGGCGTCGTCAAGTCGGGCGTTGGCACCGCCGCCATGGTGCTCGGCTGGTTCTCGTTTGCGCTGCTGATTATCGTGACAATTGGTCTGATTGTCACGATATTAACGATTAGTGTGGTCCATCAGATGGTGTAATGCAGATGCAGATGCATTGATCTTTTTCAGTATTTGAAGTTTTTTTTTATATACCATGTTCGTCGGACGAAATGTACAAAGTTGGCACAAGAAAGAAATCGGCGGCGGGTGTATACGAGCTTGAACAAAGAACATGCGAGATATGATGGCGAGTTTGGGATATTGGCACGCATCCAGCACTGGCGTTTTACATGGTTGTTTTGATATACCTCTTTCATCTTTGTGTGACGAGACCCGGAGGACCTTTTATTTTATCTTCATTGCTTATTGTTTCCGATACTTGTCAATGACATGCCAAAGTGCTTTGGCAGGGGGAAAATATTCGAACGCGATTTATTGACTCATGTTTTTGGGAGGGAAGGAAGTCTGAGGAATAATGGGACATGTGTATAGAAACCTGAGATTTGCGCAGCTGCCCAGCCAAACTTTTGACAATGGAAATGTTTGGCTGCCACCTTATTGCCTTGAAAACCAAGTGAACCATCTGTTGGATTAGTGACATGTCTTGGAAATGATGTAGAACGTGTAGTGTAGCATTGTAAAGAATGAGACGGTTCCTCAGTAGCTGTTATTGAAATGCAGAAAACGTCGAGGTAAATAGCATTACGGATGCTTTAAAGGTAAATAATCAATCTGGCTGCCACAGCAGCAACGCCAAACGCCATATATCCACCACTAGAATGCACATCTACAAATTGAACCCCCCCATTCTACTCATCTCCCTAGTTATTGGCAGCTGTGATCACACCTTACGTCGGACGTCGAAACGGATGCGCCTCCGTGTTGAGAACCCACTCATCGAGGCTAATCACGTCGGGCCCTGCGTAGAGCATGTAGTAGTACTTGAGCGTCTCGGCGATCCAGAAGCTCTCCATGGCGTCGTCCATCGGCGGCTTCTCCACCATGACGTCCGAGACGGCCGTGTTGGCCAGGTCCGTGTCCGTCGCGGCCATGGTCGCTTCAAACATGGCCCAGCCCTTGTCCATCCACGCCGGGTCGCCCGTGATGCGGTACATGTACCACACGGACTCGATGGCTTCCGGGCTGCGAGTTGCGTTAGCGGAGATTCGAGAGAGTAACGGTTGGGCACGTACCGGAGAATGTAGCTTCGAAACACGACGCTGGAAAAGCCGGCTGGGAGCCTCATGGAGGTGATGTAGTCCTCGACGTACTCCTCGTGGCTCTGCGGGCGCTCAGGGACGCTGCTGTCGCCGGACTGGGCGACGGTGCCGTACTGCAGCTCCCATTCGCTAATCTGTTGATCGCGGTACTCCTTGTTCGAGTCCAGGGACGCGTACCACGCGGCCTTGTCAAACGGGCACTTGTCGAGCGACGGGCAGGGTACGAGGAGCGACGCCTCGGGCATGAGGCCGCTGGGGGTCTTGTGATAGGCCCATACGCACCCGTCCGTCAGCCGCTTCGCCGTCGCGAGGTCCTGCGGGCGGTCAAAGATTTTCGCGCCGAGGCCGTACATGCCGCCAAGGAAGCATGTCAGATGGGACGCCTCGTACTGGACGTCGAGGTCGCGGCTCGGATCACCCTGCGTCCGGATCTTGGCGGAAAAGTAGATATCCCAGTCGCTCTCGTTAATCATGGGTCGGTACATGAGCCACTCGTCGACGGCGCTGACCGTGGCTTCATGGAGCTTTTGGTACTTGGGCTCCAGACCGCCAAGAAGTAGATACTCCTGTGAGGTGTTAGGGGGGCCGCGCGATGCTGTTTAGCACAAAAACAAGAAACTTACCTTGGGAAAGTACTCGTAGGCAGAGTCTTGCGATCCACCCATGGAAAAGGACTGCGAGTACGACGACGACGGGACGAGACTGTCACCGCTAGCATCGAGGTTTTCGGGGAACAGACCCGGAATGGCGGCCTTGCCCTCGGTCTGAAACTCGACGAGCGCGTTTGTGATGCGATCCACAGCATCATAATACTTATTTTCCTTTGTTAATTGCGCCAGGCGGGTAAACTCCATGGAGAGCGTCGCAAGCTCGGCAATGCCCACAGTGGCCGCCTTGTGCTTCTGCGCCACGTGCATCGGCTGCCAGCGGTAGTAGAGCACCGGCATGCGATTTGGTGTGTCAAATACGCCGTAGAGAACCTCGGCGAGCTCGACGGCCTTGTCGAGGAGCACCGGGTACTTTCCCTCATGGCCGCCGCTGACGTCAAACGCGGCGAGCAAGCCGCCGAGGTAGCGAATGGTGGTTTCAAAGACGGGAATTTCGTATTTCTCGCTAAAGGTAAAGTCAATGTTGGCGACGCCGTATTGGACGGCATCGTCGAATTCCTCACGGAGGCCGGCAATCCAAAGCGTGTCGAGCGAGTCGACCAGCGTGGCGGCCCAGCCGCAAAACGGATCCTTGAAGGCGCCGGAAATGGGCCGCAGCTCGTCGTGCATCCACGCATTCTTGCGGTACGAGTTCCAGGATTTGGAAATGGCCGCCTTGACCTTGGCTCGGCGCGCCTCACGCTTCGTCTTGTCGGCGGCGGACTCGGGTGTAAAGGCGTGCTGGATCGTGGGAATGGCCTTGGGCTTGCCCGTGGGAAGCGCGGCCATGGACTCGGTCGGGACGGGATAGTCCTGCGGCAACGACGTCCAGTGCGTTTTCGTCTTTGAGCTGGTCGACGCCGCGGCCGGCTTCACGCTGGTGACGGGCGGAGCTTTGTTGGCGGGGTCTGCCGCGAGTTCTTTTGACGTTGTCGCAGGATTGGCGTCCGCAGCGGTGTTGTAAGTGGGACTCTCGACCGGGGTCAACACCTTGACTTTTTGCGACGACGACGACGACGACTTCTCCTTCTCGGGTGCGGCGTCGGGACGTTTCGCAGCACTGGCGGCCGCGGCGCCGTTGGAAGTGGGACCCTCCACCGGGGTCAGCACCCTTACTCTTTGCGGCGACTCCTCCTCCTTGTTGGATGCGGCATCGGGACGCTTCTGGGCGTCGACGTTAGGCTTTTCGAGGGGAACCTGGGGGGGCGCCCTGGCACCGGCGGCTTGCTGCTGGGACGCGGTCGTATCGAGGCCGAGGTCGAGCTCCGGGTGGACGGCCGTCTTGGGCGGCGGCGACGACGGCGGTGCGCGTGTATCAGAAAAGGGGTGCGCCGTCGTGTCCCATGCATTTTGCGCGACGTGGTAGAGCATGAAGACTAGAACGACGGCGGCGAGGGTGAGGAGCCTGTACCTGCGTCGAGCCATGATGTGCGATGGGGGGTTCGCAGGTGTTTTGGCCGGCTTGGCGAAGAGGGCGATGAGCCAGGTGCGCGGCTATTGACCAATATCGGGTCGACAAGAAGCGCGTTGAGAGTGTGGTTTCAGTCGTTGACCATTGTCGTGAGGAGAGGGGGGGGGGGGGAGAGGGTTAGCAAGCTGGGTTGTCTGCGGGGAAGTTGTGACGAGATGGATGCGTAGATTGAAAGTAAAGGACACGAAAGGGGCTGAAGAGCACGGGAACGAAGGAGAGACGCAAAAGGAGAGGGTATGAGAGAAAAGGACGAAGCTTGAAAAATAAATTGCAGCAAACAGGGAGGAATAATGGTTGCCAAGCGAATTGACGAGGCGTTGAAGATGCAAGCGGCAGGAGGTTGAAGCGTGGTCGACAAGCACGGTTCAACAGCCAGTGCTGGTATTATTAGAAGGGTAAAGTTCACAGGTACAACGAAGCGGTCAGGTCAACTTGTAACTAGAGTGGCCCGTCGCAGCTTAGCAGCGAGACAGGGTCATCTCGATTCATTCATCCCATGCACCATCAGCAGTAGCAATGCAAGCCACCCCGTATTAATACAGAGTGGGTTGGGGGTTGCGAGTCTAAATTATGAAATTCAGGGACATGAGGACCATTAAAACCTTGAAGCTGCTCTTAAAGCTGGCCTTGTGGGGGCACTGGGCTAACGGTCTCCGTAATTCGTACCAGATAGGTAGGAGGTAAGAGGTACTCAATACCTACGGTCCCACAGTATCTACTCACTTATTTAGGTACCTAGTACTGCTGGTGTAGAGCGAGCCCACCGCAAATGCGCCACAGCGAAACAAGAGGTAGGTCGCACAGGAGGTGTTGCTCCATCGTTGTTTCTTTCAACATCATAGGGCAACTACCTTGCGACGACTATCATTTATTCTTGATGATTTTTATTAGAAAACCAAAACAAACAAGAGAAACCACCCTCATCACTATCATCTGGCACGTCCGACATCAATCACGGCGCACCAGGACCGACACAAACTAGCACGACACAGCTCCTCGTCGAGCAAGCTCCACTCCGGCCCATCTCGTAGTACTGGCAACTCCCTTGGTACTTACCTACCTCCCTAACTATCGGAACACATCAAACCTCACGCGAATCAGTCTTCCCTTAGCCATCCATCCTCTTACTTCCGCTATAAAACTATGTTTCTCTTATCCCGCTCAAAAAAAATACATGTACAACGCTGGTTTGCTGCCCCAAAAAACACCACCGTCCTAATAATATGCTCGCATACCTCCACCCTCAGTCTCCTATGACTTATACGAGTCTTTGATCCTGAAATATACCTCCGTGTCATAAAAGTTGTAATTCGGATCCCACTCGCAAAATGGATGCTGCGACAAGAGCACCTCGGCCGTCGGTCGCTCCCCAGGATTCCTGCATTAGGGTTCGGGTTAGCTTCACCCTCAAATTCTCACACTTCACCACCTCACACCACTTACACTTGGAAGCAATCCGCCATAAACGCCACGGCCAGAGGAGGAATCATCAAATCCAGGTCCTCCGGCATCGGCGGCGTCTCTCCGTTGGCAATCTTGTAAATCGCACCCACCGCCTCTTCCTTACTCCACGGTCGACGACCCGTAAACATCTCCAGCACCACACACCCAAGACTCCAAATGTCCACCTTGGCACTGTACCCTTCGCCCTGCGACCGAATCACCTCGGGCGCCATCCAAAACACCGACCCTTGCATGTTATTGGTCTTGTCGTTGCCGTAAATATTGTCCGTCTTCTTGGAGATGCCAAAGTCGCTAATCTTGCACGTGCCATCCAGGTCTAGCAGGATATTGTCTGCCTTGAGATCCCGGTGAAGAATGCCCTCACGATGCAGATACGCCAGCCCCGACAACGTCTGTCGCGTCAGAGACGACACCACAGACTCCTCGAATCGTCCATGCTTTCGCAGACACGACCCGATGCTGCCACCCGAAATGTACTCAAGAAAGATGCTAATGCTAGTCTCCTTGCGCTCGCATCCCAAGTACTGCACGATGTTGATGTGATCCAGGTGCTGCATCGTGTCAATCTCTTGATCTAGCGCCGCCACCATCTCCCGCATCTTGTTCTTGTCCCCCCCTGCCGCCTTTGCATTCACTTCCACTTCCTTGACCGCCAAAAACTCTCCCGTCGTCGCATTCATACCCAGGTACACCCGCCCATAGGTACCCTTGCCAATCAGTTGACCCTTGAACCACCGAAACGTCGTCTGTCGCTTCAATCCCGTTTCTTGATTCTGATTTGGCATTGCCATGCTACCGCGCTGATCTGGTCGAATTTGCACAATGTTGGCGTTGAACATCTTGGTACTCTTTCGTCGCATCAAGTTGGAGTTGTTCTTCTCCCCGCTTTGTGACATCGAGGTGAACCGCTTGTTAGCCTCGTGTGCACCTCGCGCCACTTCTCTGATAGACTTCATCCTGCCCAGCCCCCCCGACCGCTTGAGGCTTCTCGACCCTCCGCCGTGCGAAGACACTGGTCGGTCAGACGCCTTCAATGTCGATTCATCCGATCCGAGCGTGTCTGCTTCTCCGTATAGCGATGGCTGTCTCGAAGGAGGGATTGCTGCTGGAATACTTGGTGCCTCCTCAGGCGCCAAGGTACCAGACGAGTTGCGCTGATGCCCTCCTGCCTCGGCCTCGTTGACTGTGGGAGAAGCAGTCAATATGTTGCCCGCGCTATCTTCTAGCACGGGCTCGTCGAGATCCAGGTTCGGGAAAAAGTCGTCCAGGTTGTTCAGAAGCGCATCTGTAGGAGGGCGGTTGGCCCATACATCCTTTTCAATAAATGACTTTCGTCTAGATACTTTATCGTCGGCATCAAAATTGCTCGACCCAGGCGTTGAAGGCGTGCGTCGTGACGTCGTGCTACTTCTGCCATCGTCCACAATTTCTGTAACTGTGCTTGCTTGAGGAGACTGAAATGACACAGACATAACTTTGCTCTTAGGCCGTTGCGTGTTGACAATAATGCTCGGTCGCTTGCTGCTAGTCCCGGCTTTACCTTTACCCTTTCCTTTGCTGCGCCCGGCTAGGGGGATCTGGAACAGACCGTCATCCGAGTCGTCGCTGTCATTGTTGGCAGGGGTCGGGCGCTTGGTTGCCGCTGGCGTCGCAAAGCTGACTTCTAAGCTTTTGCGCGACTCGTTGCTGCGTTGAAAGTTGTCAGGTGTAGTGTCAAAGTCAAACCGCTTCGGCATCTGAGTGCTTGGACTCAGTTCCGAAGACGAAAGCGGTTGCATCCCTACACCGTGTGGTTTATCATCAGCTGGGATGGACTTTGGGATTGTGACGAGGAATCCGCCGGGCGAGTAGTCAGGCACGGCGAATGACATGTCGCCAGAACTCCACGTCACTTTACGTGAGTCGCCAGTGACCTGAGCTACCTCTGGCCCAAATTCCTTGATTTGACCACTTGGCGATCCCTTCTTACCTGAGCGTTGAAGACCACCACCGGAGCTACCAGACTGCAAGTTTGCCATGCTAGAGACCGAACGTGGAGCATTTGCGCTCGACTGCCCGACAGCACCCATGCGGCGGCCGATCCCTGCCAGAGCGATACCGATCCCTTCGGATCCATCCACTGATTGTCCGATAGCTTGGCGGCTTTTGAATCCATCCGGACCGTCGCTGGTAGAGGTAACCAGGCGCCTGGGGCTAGGGAATCCGTCCGAGCCTGCAGCGGAACTACGCTTGCCGTGTCCTGGCTTCTTAAGAGAATTGGCCTTGAGCAGTGTGGCTGAAGGATCGCTCGGTGGTGCCGGTGGTTTCCTCTGCGGGAAGAGGTGCTCAGATGGTTTTCTGTCCTCAAAGGGGGAGTCGCGGGGCTGGTCAAAGTCGACATTTCGTCCGATAATGCCGAACCCATTTCCCAATTCCGGGGTATTGGGGGTGCTGCCTTTCTTGTTGGCTTGCTTGCGCTTCTCCAGATATTCGCGCTGTTTGCGCTCCATTTCTGCCCGGTACTCGCTGGCCTCTTGTGCAAGAGTCTTGTCGTCCATTCTGTTTTCGGACATGGTATTGGATCTCGATGTCGGTGGCGAGGAGATGGATCGTTGACGAGACCCGTTCAGTTTCGCATATGCCTCCTCGTCCATGCCAGGCGGCAAGTGATTTGGTGTCAACAGACCAGTCTCGGTTTCTGGGCGATCAGTGTTACTGCCGTTGAGATCAACAAAAAATTTCAACGTCGTGGGCTGTTTTGGCTGCGTTTTGTATGTAACAATTTGCTCATCCCCCAGCTCATCTTTGTGTTCAAACTGTCCAAGATCCGTTGCAAATAGCCGGGCATTGCCAGAGTCGTTGATTCCCAGGCTCACACAGATCGCTCGCTTGATGTCTGACGCAGACTCGGCCCGAGTAATATCGCACATTCGAAAGTTCCACGAGTCAAATGTCGCCAGCACGAATACTCGAACGGATTTTGTTGGGCTGCCGTGATCGAGATTCATATCGCTGACATGTGTGTCGCGAATGCCTAATACTGTGGCCTTGGCAGCACCATTGGGCGAGTGTGGGTATTCGCCTTCGTCTGGGGACGGGTTGGCGCTCTCATCACGCTGCTTCTTTTTGCGATGCATAAAGCTGAGAAAGCTCTTGGAATCTTTCGCCGACCCAGGCTCCGTACCTGCAGAACGATCTCCGGATTCATGGGGGGAGTGGCTGGCGCGACCCTCGACAGTACGGCCGCCGACAATGTCGCCAATATTCATTCCTCGACTAAACATGTTTGCTGCATCAGCAGGGATACCAGATCCGTAAATAGCAGCATTGGAAGAGACGGAATCTGTGCTATGCCTTGAGCGGTGGCCGAATTTGGCAGAGTTGGGAGACGCGGTCACGGCAGATGTAAACAGTTTCTGTTGTGGAACAGGACTTCCACTTGCAGTTGGACTGTCGGAGCGTTGCGCTGTACCACGATAGAGTGCCCCTTCGCTTATCGTCGTCTTCATAACCGAAGTTCCAGGCCGCCCTGTGTCGGTTTCAGACATCTTGAGTCCAAGGCGGTGGCCGCTCTCGGAGCTGGACATTGTTCCAGTGTTCAAGGTAGGCATTGTGGTTGCTCTTGTTTGGGAAAATCGTCTAGCCGCGAAGCCCGGTCCCGGGGGATTGAGAGGCGTCTACGGGAAATCGTCAGTAAATTAAGTTTAGCGTCACGTAGATGATGCATACGTTTGGGGAATCAGACGGGTCGGTACCCGCGCTTGGGATGGTAGCGCTCTGCCCACTGTTGGTTGAGTCTTGTCGGCCATGAGATTTGGACGGCTCCACGGGCTTGCCAGTCACGATGCTTCGAATCAAGCGTCGCATACGCTTTCCTTCCTCGCGCTCGCCTGGCTGATTCCATGGCACACCATTCTGGGTGCACTCTCGTGCAAGCTGGGGATAAACCTGTTGATGCATCATGCTGTGATTTCCGCGAAGCCCGTGTGGGTTGCCAAGTTCGAGAAACTGCTGTCCGCACAGATGCAGAGTTCGAAATGTCTCCTGCCATTCTCTAGAAAACATGTTTTGCGCCAACCAGATGAGGACAGTCTCCAATGGCCACTGCTCGGCCATTTCTTTGGAAATGAGTCCTGCACCTGCCATGCCAGATCCACTGGCGAGACCTCTGGCTTGTCCCGCTGCGGATAGAAGATATTGCTGCCCCCTCGGATCATCGAGCGCTGTCGAGGTGCCAGTGTCCGACAGTGTCAGTCCTTGGGACGAGTCTGACGGCAAGTGTTCCTCGCCGCCGAAGCCTGGGATACCGACTCCTTCACCATACGAGTTGGCACTGGGTATATATGTCGCGCTCATCGCATCGCTCGGGGGCGGGGGTGGAGGCATTGCCATGACATGTTGCCGGGCAGCCATCTGAGCGTGTATCTTTGGGTTATAAGGTTGGTGCTGGCCCGGCGTCGGCGGCGGCGGCGGCGGCAGATTGAAGCCGCCGCGGCCATCGTACATCCGACCGTAGTTGCCGTGCCATGCCGGCTGCTGCTGCTGAGCAAGAGAGCCACCTGGCGGCGGACCTGGCGGCGGGGGTATCATGACGCTGGGTGCAGTTCCTGGTGGCGCTGGAGGGTATCGCGGTGGTGGCGGAGGAACGTTCATGATGCTGCCCATTTGCGGTCCGGCCATGGGAGGCGACGAGATCGGCGGCGGCGGAGGCACCTGAAAGGGGCGATTCGGGTCGTTATTCGGAACATGTCTTTGGCTGCCCTGATACATGATGGGCGACGTCTCGGCCTACGCTCGTCGTGGTGGTTGATGGGATAGGTAGCTTAGAGTGACAGCGCCAGCGCCGGTCGAAACGATGGATGAGCACAGCAAGGGGGTCGAATTCGCGTCGGTGTAGCACACATGCAGCCACAAGCAACTTTTCAGTCGTTGCCGATGGCAAGATTTGCGAGAGGGTGTCGTAGTATCACTGGGCTGGAATCGTTTGGGCGGCTACAGCTGCGTGCCTGGACAGGGTTGCAGGATGTCGGCAATGGCCGGTGAGCGGGGACAGTCGTTGTAGAGTGTCAGCAACTGCAGCTCGTACCTAGACTGGTGCCGTCGTCGTTCGAGGCGGCCAGGCGACGGGCCGTTTGAGATGGTAAGAGAGGACCAAAAATTAAATGGCAAGACAAGGGCAGGAGGGACGAAGAGAGCGGCCCGTGGTGCTTTGGCCGCTAGAACAGTGGAGGGCTGCCAACCGTCCTGCACGCCGTGGGGCTCCACCTGAGCTGTACGGAAGCAGGTGGATGCGACGATGCGTGGCGGGCAACGTACCTAGGTAGTCGGCTGTGTAGTATAGGGATAAAAAAACTTAAGTTACGGTCCATGAGATGGAAGCCCTGGTATGGATTTTGATAGAATTCCTTCGACTCTTTACCTGCTGAGAGCCTCTGTTCAGCCCAGTTATGCGCCGGGAGAAACATGCACCACTATCGCGGCATCTACAGTCGGTACCTACTAGTAGGTACCTACTAATCTGGTGGGGAGTCCAATCACAAGCAAGCCAGCACCTCAATCAAATCGCTAGTCATAGTATTGCAACATAGCATGTCAATGCATCATAGTAAAACGGAAACCTTTGTTCCAGCGTATCCTCTCATATAACCCCTCCCTGATACAATACTGTAGATAACCAAACCGTAACGCCATTACATCAAACTGCAGCTGTTGAGATAGCCCTGCTGGCACTGCTGCATATATGAATCGTCATCTGTTGTACCAGCAAGCACATCACGTTTACGGACCAGCCCGGTCACGGTGATACTCTGCTCGCCCTCGGGATGCCACCATTTCAGTCGCTGCAGAGGAACGCCCTCGTCTTCGTCAATGCTAATCTCCCACTTGCCCGAGGTCACGGCAACCTCGCATTCGTCTCGGGGGAAATGGAATTCGGGCAGATACACCACCGTCGGAAACTTCTCGTCCGTCACCTTGGGCGCCGTGAGCTTCAGGTCATACGCGCACCGCCGCAAGTCGAAACCTGCAGAAATCACCTCTCCGGCCACCACAGTGGCAGTGGGTCGGATAAAGGCTTCTGCGGCACGGTACCCAGGCGCATTCGTAAGCTCAGGGTTGTTGAGGGATGGTGTCGAGCTGATGGACGGGCTCGTCAATGACCGACGGAGGTTCGTGGGGTTGACGCTGTTCTCCTCCGATAGGCTGACATTCGAGTCAGAGTACTTTGGCATCGCAGATATCGGCGGAACAAGGTCGTCTAGCGAGTATATGGAAAGGTCTTCACCGTTCCAGTTCTCGCCCCATTGATGCACATTCTTGGCGCTATAGACCCATAGACAGTGGCCCTCCATGCCTGACCCCTCAGCAGCAAAGTAGTTGGCGTCTAGTGCTGCAACTTGGCTGCTATAGTCACCCGTCTTATAGGCCTTCTTGTCATCCATGTCGTAGGGGATGCCGAACTCCGTCAGCAAACAAGGGTGGTTTCCAGTACGGTCAATTCCTTCCTGTCGCAGTGTCGCGAGCTGGTCCTTCAAGCAATTGCGAATGGCAGTCTCGCCGATTTTAATGGCAAATGCCGGGTGAAGATATTTGCCACGCAAAACTCCAACCACATCAACGTTCCAGGTGCTATTCCAGTGTTTTGTCATCAATGTTATACCATCATAGTAATGAGGCGTGAAAACAAGAAGTCTATCATCATCTGGAGTACCTTTGATCTCTGGCGGAAGCTCCAGGGTCGGATACTGCATAAGCATGATGCAGTCCTTGTGGATAGCCCTGCAGGCAGTCTTGTATTTGCGCCAAAAGTCCATGAAATATGTGTTTGTGAATTCAGGATAGTCGATGTTCTTGCCAGTGTCAGGATTGTTGGCAAAATAGTCTTTTCTCAGAAGTGTGTCGGTGGTAGGGTCCCAGACACCATGCTGCGCCCAGATGCATTCTCCCAGTTTCCAACCGGGGTCTCGCTTCCAGCCGTACCTCGAGTCGTCGTAGCCAACAGGCAGCCAGGCAATTTCGCCTGCAGGGTCGACTAATTCTGTTCCCGTCTTGTATGGTCCCATACCACCCATATCCCAAGTATCAACCTCACAAGCACGGCCCATACCCGTCAGAAACGTCTGCCACATCGTTGGCGAGGTACCCTTCTTTAGATGCTGAGCCTTGGGAATGACAGTGAGATCTTGGTAGCCGATCATGCACTTGTTTGGCTCATTCAAACTCTCCCAGCCCATGACAACCTCATCTTCAAGGCCACCAGCTTCGTGTATACGCTTGGCAAGGTGCGCGCATGCGTTGATAAAATGATTCTGCAAGTAGTCCTGGATATTGACGCCGTCGATGATGCATTTCGGAGCAAACGCTTTTCCAGCGAAAAACATGGTGAAGATGGTGCCAGTTGCGAGCCGATAATAGTTTGTAGACCAAATCATCTTGGGATATTGGCTCGGGTCCGGCCAGGTGTTATGCACGATAGCGGCCTGCGTTGTCGCGAAGCTTTCTGGGTTCATCCCGCAAGCATAGATTGTCCACATTGGCGCGCCTGAGCCTCCGGTAAATCTCGACCAGACATCTTGATGCGGGTCCATGAAGATGTAGAAGCCGAAAGATTTGGCGATGCGCAGCACGTCAATCGTTTGCTGAATAAACTCCTCGTCATATTTTCCGGGCCCAGCGGCTTCGATGGCCTCCCAAGTGAATACGTATCGAATCGTGTTGAAGCCATATCTCTTCAGACGAGCAAAATGGGTCGATGCCTCGTCCTTGGGGAACGGTCGGTTGTGGAAAGTAACATTGTCGCCGTCGAAGAAGCGATCGCTGATGTGGGAGGGCTGGTCGGGTTCGCTGGGCAGTTTGGAGTCGCCGGCGACATTGATTCCGCGGAGAATAACCTCGCGACCTTGCTTGTCTCGAAACTGGCCGTCCTCGATGGTCAAACGGAACGCAGCCATGGCAGAGGTTGAGCGTGCTTTAGCTCGCTCGCTACCTACCTTGGTCTACCTAGGTACACCAGTCGTTGGTGGAGCGAGAGCGGACAGTGTTTCGTTCGGGCGTCGTCGAGTATTGGTTTCGATCTGAAGAGTCTGGTTATTTGCAAGTTCGGACGGCGAGAGAGACGACGAAAGAACGCTATCCGGCTTCATGAGAGTGAAGTTGAGGGAGAACAAGGATGGACTGGTGGTACAGAATGGCCGAGACCTGGCCAAGGATCCGGTCGGCGCTCCAGCGTGACGTGACCGCCTGAACATCTGCGACGCTCCCCACTCGGAGTGGCGGGGTGTCCGAAGGGCACTGAAGCGTCAAGCCAGAGGCGGGCCACAGCGCATCTCATCGCTGTCGATCGCCAGTTTCATTGGTGTGGTCTTTTCTTCCGGGCTCCACCACTGAGCTAACAGTGGAAGAAGCTTCTCACCAACACGACCAGAATCCGATATACGCGCAAGCCATCTTTGCGAGTCCGATCGCATACCGTACTGCAACTAGCGGGTTAGTCTTGGAAGTAGAATGTTATTTTATGATACAAGAATTGATAGTTGCGACCCTACTTAGGTAAAGCACGTGAGGGCGTGGACGAGCGTTGATATAATTTGTACTGACTCCCGATAAAATGCTGAATAAAAGGACTTAAATACCTATCGAATAGGTATGTATAATATGTCAAATAAATGGCAGTGAAGTAAATTCATAGATTATCACCCCAAACGCCAACTCACCCAGCTGGCCTGGCGGGGAATCTCCGGGTACCCCACTACCTGGAGCTCACCTCCACGCCGTTGAAACTTCACATTGCCTCATCGTTCATTTCTCACTGTGCGTGCTTGCTTATCCAATTGATTTTCGGGCTTCTTCTGCATTGCCATCACTCTGACCGACAATACCCGGGCAAGGACATAACGAGATGCCCCTCGTTCCCGCCTGAACCCACCCCACGCCAACCCCCGCCATTTGGCCAAGTCAACAGAGTCAACGTAAACACCCTGCCTGGTGTCCTAAACTGCACCATACAACACCATGTCGGGCTCGAAATCCTCACTGAAAAGCATCAATGATGCTATCAGATCCCAAAGCTTTGAGGACGCCATCACAAAGTCCCAAGACCTACTTAAGAAGGACCCCCAGAACTACCAAGCGTAAGTATGCTAGCGCCAACTTGTATTGCCAAGATGCCTAACAGTCCTTACAGGAATATATTTTTGGCATTTGCCCTGGATAGACAAGGCAGAACAGAAGACGCCGAAAAGGTCTACAAAGCAGCTACAGGTCTACGTCCTGAGGATGGCCAAGCCTGGCAAGGTCTGATCAAGCTCTACGAGAAGCAAGGCCCACGGAAGCTGGGAGACTACCAGCATGCCGTCGTGAAGCTCTCTCACATTTTCCACAAAGCAGACGACGCGTATAAAGCACAGGATGTCGTAGACAAGTTTGTCGACTTTGCACGCGTTAGAGGAGACCGTCTGGAATATGCCGATGCTCTGTGGATCAAGCTCCCCGAGAGTCCTCTATACTCTATTCTTGAGGGCCGATTTCCCGCGCCTGCCAAGACGTACGAAATCATCGCCGTCATTCTCGAAGATTTCGAGAAAAAGCGTATAATTGCGCTAATTGGAGAACGGAGAACTCGACTTGGTGCGAAACTGAGCGATGTCACACTCGACGTGAAGCGTGAAGTCTATGCACAAAGCAAACTGGAATTCATTTACCGGCAGCTTATCAATTGGACCACAGATGACGAGCTACGGCGCACGTACGAGGAGAAGCTTGTTCGATATTGCCATGATCGCCTTCTAGCCCTTCCGGCAGGCGAAAAAAAGGCGGCGGAACTGGTTAAGGTAATTGGTCTTGCCAACGACATGGTCGTAATCAAGCACCCTTTCAGGCTCGCGTGGGATATCGCCATAAACTGGCAAGATCACAAGGAAATCGGCAACTGGAGCGCCGAATTGTTACACGATTATTGCACTCATTTTCCGGAAAGCGACTTGTACAAAGTCATCACCGCTTTCCTGACGTCTCCTATATCTCCATTCCCTGCTGCGTCTACTACACAACAGAAGCCATCTGCCGACGAGCTTTCTGACGATAGCGACGACGACGACGGCGGCGGCGTTCCTACATCCATTGTTCCTCTCAGTGACGAAGATCGTATTATGATGATTACAGAAGGCATTGCTGGCGAGGAGTCGTCATTTGGGTACCGGCTTGTCGGTGAATTCTTCCTTCATTATGGAGAATACGAGAGCACAGTCGAATACATGCGAAAAGCGCTCCCATACCTTGCCAAAGAGCAATCTTTGAGCGCGTTTGACTTAACAAAAACGACAGACGCCTACTCTCTGTGCTTAGGCACGTCACTTGTTTACTATCAGTCACCACGGCATCATGCTGAGGCAAAGGGCCTGTTTGAGACGGTTCTCAATCACGACGCTACAAATACTCGTGCGATGATAGGTGTGGGCCTCATATACGAAGAGGAAGAAGAATATGACCAAGCCATTGACTTCCTTGAGCGTGCTTTGCAAAAAGATGTCAAGAATATTAGAGTCAAGTCCGAGGCTGCATGGGTAAAGGCGCTCAAGGGCGATTACCAAGCCGCCGCAAATGGGCTGCGTGAGTGTCTCACGGCTCTTGATGTAAAAGACCCAGACAAAGGGCTTCTTGCCGACGCGCAGTATCGCTTGGGCTACTGCCTCTGGCATTCGGACACATCCCCCCAAGCGAGGAAGCAGCGCAAGGGAGAATGCGGCTACGCTTACTGGCTCGCAGCTCTTAACAGCAACCTGGACCACGCGCCTTGCTACACCATGTTGGGCATTTATTATAGTGATTACGCCAAGGACAAGAAACGTGCTCGTCGCTGCTTCCAGAAGGCTCTTGAGCTGTCTTCTGCAGAAGTCATCTCCGCTGAGCGCCTATCTCGTTCTTTCGCGGACGATGGCGACTGGGACCGGGTTGAGCTGGTTGCCCAACGCGTGGTGAACTCTGGAAAGGTGAAACCACCTCCTGGATCGAAGAGAAAGGGCATCAGCTGGCCATTCGCTGCTCTTGGTGTTGCTGAATTAAATAAGCACGAGTACCACAAAGCCATCGTCTCTTTTCAGTCTGCGCTCCGACTCGCACCAGAAGACTACCACTGCTGGATCGGTCTCGGCGAGAGTTACCACAATTCCGGAAGATATGTCGCAGCGACCAAAGCAATCATGAATGCCCGAAAGCTGGAGGAGCAGTCAGATACGGACATGGCGGCCGATGCCTGGTTCTCTAAGTTTATGCTTGGTAATATTAAGCGTGAGCTGGGAGAATATGACGAAGCGGTTGAATTATATCAATCCGTCATCAAGACACAGCCAGACGAGGAAGGTGTCATCATCGCATTGATGCAAACCATGGTGGATAATGCCCTGGTCAGTGTTGAGAAGGGACAATTTGGCAAGGCAATCGAGTTTGCCACTGACACTATCAAATTTGCTACCACGGCGAAAGAGAACATCCTGGCGACTTTCAACTATTGGAAGACTGTTGGCGATGCTTGTTCAGTATTCTCTTCCGTCCAAAGTCGGACTTCTGACTTTCCCCTGGACGACATCCGCGCTATCCTTGGCAAGGCTCCCAAAGAAGCGTTGGAGATTAGCGCCGATGTCGATAAAGTCAACCTGGACGTCGTCTCCGCCCAAGGAAAATATCCTGCGGACGAGCAACCTGGTGTTGAGCTGACGATATGCATCCAAGCCACCATTCTATGCCACAAGGTTGCTGTTCATGCTGTATCGAAGGATGTCCACGCCCAAGCCGTTGCCATGTTCAATCTCGGCTGGGCTGAATACAGGGCGCACTCGTGCTTGCCGCCGAAGCTGCGCAAGAAGTCCAGCAACTACCTCAAGGCGGCTGTGAGGTGCTTCAAAAGGGCTATTGAACTGGAGGCCGGCAATGCTGACTTTTGGAACGCGCTGGGTGTTGTGACTAGCGAAGTTAATGGCGCCGTCTCGCAACACTCATTCGTGCGAAGCATCCACGTAGACGAACGAAGCCCTGTAGGGTGGACAAATCTTGGTGCGCTCGCTCTCCTATCTGGCGATATCAAGGTAGCCAATGAAGCGTTCACCAGAGCACAATCTACGGATCCCGACTACGCGCATGCGTGGCTTGGTCAAGCGTTTGTCGCTCTCCTATATGGCGATGGCAAGGAAGCTCGTGGTCTCTTTACACACGCGATGGACATTTCTGAAGCCTCGTCTCTGTCTGTGCGCCGGCAATATTCGTCATCCATGTTTGACCATATCCTCGTCGGTCCGACAAACGTAACGATTGCTTCCCTCTTGCAGCCAGTGTTTGCACTCAATCAAGTGCAGAGCCTGCGGCCGCTGGACTTTGCCTTTGGCCACCTGGCTAGCTTGTTCTTGGAACGCACACATGACCATAGCCGCGCCGTGGAGATTCTGGAGACGATTTGCGCCAGCATAGAAGAGGACTATGAGCAGACGGAATCGCGCCTGAGCCTGGCGCGCTTCACACTGGCGCGAATCGACCTCGCGCGCGCCTACCTTGCGTCCAAGTTGTATGAAAAGGCTATTGAATGCGGCGAGATGGCGCTCGGTCTGAGCAGCGACGAGCACGAGGGCGAATTGACCAGCGAGCAGCGCAAAAAGGCGCGACTGTCGGCGCACCTGACAGTGGGACTTGCGCAATTCTACGAAAAGGACTTTGGCGAGGCGGAAAAGTGCTTTGAAGCGGCGTTGCACGAATCCGACAACAACCCGGACGCGACGTGCCTGCTGGCGCAGGTTTTGTGGGCGCAGGGCACAGACGACGCCAAGGAAAGGGCGCGGGCGTCGCTGTTTGACGTGATTGAGACGCACCCGGAGCACGTGCAGAGCGTGCTGCTGCTCGGCGTGATTGGGCTGCTCGACGGGGACGAGGGCAGCGTGGAGGCGGTCACGGAGGAGCTGCAGGGTCTGCGCACCAAGGACACGGTCACGAGCACGCAGCAGGCGCAGATGGGCCAGGTGCTGCGTGCCATGGCCATACTCGCCGAGGGCAAGACGGCAGATGAGGCGCGGGCGCAGATGCAGACGGATATCATGCTGCACCCGCACCTCCCGCACGGCTGGTCTGCACTGGCGGCGGCGGCGACGGAGGGCGGTGGATACGCGGCGCAGACGTCGCTCCGGGTGGCACGGAGGGGTATACCGCCGCGCGGACGGCTGGACGCGGTGGATCTCGCGGGGTCATATGCGGGCACGGGCGCGGTGGCGGACGCGCAGACGGCAGCGTTTCTTGCGCCCTGGGAGACGGTGGGATGGTCGTCGCTCAAGACAGCGACGAAGGGTATATAGACATGCATACACGCCGGCGCTGGTATAGAAAATGTAGAGCTACAATGTCATAGATAGTCATCCTGCCATGTTATGAAAACCATATATTAATACGATAAAAATGACTGTTGTGCCGTCCGCCCCATCATCTCAGGACATGCCCTTGGGTATCATAAACGCCGTATCAAACTACCGACCCTTGCCCATCTTTTTTCACTGTGGTCGATCCGCGCCCCCCGCCGCCGCCGCCTTCAACCTCGCCAGTCGCGCACTCATCCACGCCTCGTGCCAGGCGTCGACCCTGCCGCCGAGAAACACAGTCTTGTCGGGCGTCAGCAGGACGGTGCCGCGGGCGACGACGGTGCCGGCGCTGAGCAGCATCTTCTCGCCGATATTGGTGGTGCCGATGCCGATGCCGGGCATGCGCGCCGTTTCGACGGCGTAGACGGTCCTGCCGGCGCAGTCCTGCAGCACGAGCCGATGGACGGCGTTCTTCCCCGCGGCGGCGGCGGCGGCGAGCGCCTCGTCATCCACCACCTGGCGGCCGCGCGTGCCGCGCGCCGCGGCCTCGAGCGCCTCGACCTGCTCCCACCGGCTGAGGCTGAGGTTCTCGGCGTCGACGACCTGC